TCGGTCTTAGAGTCGGTCTTGGACTCGATCTTAGACTTGGTCCCATCCGATGAACTCTTTATCATTTTGGTCATGCTTTCGGGGCTCCTTTAGCCTACGACACCTCGGCGAGTTGGTTCCTTACAGGGAAACACTATAACTTAACGGCCTAGTATGGGTATCTTTACTCCTTTACTTCCATCCCAAATAAAGGGCCCAATCCTCTAGGAAAGATCAAGGATTAATGAGTGGCATGGTACTCAAGTGGGGCACCATTCCACATGAGCCAGAAGCACTACAATTAATTTCCCTTTCAAGAGTGGGAGATGCTTTCAAGCACTTCCTTGGGTGGCCTCTTTAGCACCACCCATGAGTTTGTGCTTATTCCACCCAAGGCCCTTAACCCCTAGTCCCAACGTCAAGTTGGCTTAGAAGCACCACTAAAGAGTTCTTTCAAGACTGATTCTTTGACCTCACTATCCCTATTATATTTTTGGAACCCTCTATAGCCCCCCTCCCTAGGAGATGATCACTTTAGGCTTTCACCCCACAATTTATATTAGTACTTGAATTTGGTCTTGGACTCAATCTTAAGCTCGATCTCAGATTTAACCTTGAACTCGATCTCGGAATCAATCTTGGATCTAGTCTGGGACACAATCTCAGATCTTGGATTTGGTCTTAAACTTAGTCTTAAAATCAATCTTAGACTTGATCTCGAACTCAATCTCATTTGATAAACTCTTTATCATGATTTCAGGGATCTTTTAACCTATGACACCTTGGGGAGTTGATTCCTTACACCTTGATATGGATTGGTTGCAGTATAATCATATTAAGTGTGATTTTAAGGCTTTTCTTATTTATCTTATACTCTCTTATATCTCTTCCATTTCTCTCACTTTTATTCCATTTTAGCATTTTATTTTTACCTTTTCTTTTATCAATTTTATTTCTTTATTAATTTTTATTATTTTTCCTTTTTACTCTTTTATTCCCTCTCTATAAATCTCTCAAGTCGTTTTGTATTGAGGCTATCAACTAGCTTAAAAAGGACTGTGTTGATATTTTCAACTTTAACTTGTCATTTAGAACCAAGATTACAATGTATCATTCTATTCCAACTAGAGATGTTTATTTAATTAAGGTTTCTATTTAGCATTAGTCACCAAAGGAGATCAAGATCTTATGTATAAATGTTGAGGAGATGTTAGATAAGGGTTATCTAAAAATCTTGGAGTCCTTGGTTATGTAAACCTTATCTTATAACATGAGTGTTTAATTTTGCATCAATTATTATCCATTAAACTATATATTTATCTTAAATATACCTTTTATTTTATATGTGGATGCTTATGATATTGGTTTTAAAGGTGTGTTGATGCAAAAGAGCATAAATATACTTAGTCAGCATCATCCCATTACATATATCAATTATACATTATAACTAGTATATACTTTCTTCCTCATATTACCAATCTTCTAGATGTTTATAGAGAAGTTATTAGTTCATGAAGCTAAATTTTACTTATGGGTATTGACAAATGTTGATAGCCAAAAGGGATATTCCCAAAATTGTTTTTGGTACACCATTTAGTTTATATGAGTTCTTGGTGATGTTGTTCAATTTGAATAATGCTCTAGTGACTTTTAAATAAATGATGTATAAGGTTCTTTGCAATATACCAAAAATAACCATCAATTTTATCGAATGTTTTGATTCACTCAAAAAGGATATGGAAGGAGCACATTTATAATGTCTATAAAGTGTTAAATTAGTTATGGGAAGTTGGTTTGAAGCTAAAATGGTTAAAATGAGTGTTTAGGCCCAATAATATGATTAATCTTGGGTATTGTCTTTTATTGATGATCTTTCTAATTGTATTGCACCTTTACAAACAATTTTGAAATTGTTAACATTACTTTTTATCCTTTATAAAGATTGCGAATAGGCATTTGTGGATATCAAAGAAGTGTTGATGACTCCTCCAATTTTGGTATATCTTAACTATACTTTAGCTTTCATCTTCTGCATGAATGCTTTTGATATTAGTCTCAGAGGTATGTTAATATAAGAGAGCATTGAGTAGTGTTATCCCATTCAATTGTATATTTGTAATTAGTAGAGGTGAATTACTCTATAACAAAGGAGTATATAGTAGCACTTTAGGGTATCAAGAAGCTTTATACATACTTGTATAATTCTTGGACATTATGTTATTATGATTTTCTTATGATCACTTCATTATTGAAGTTAGTTGGTTGTACTATTTTGTAAGTTTTAAAATTTTAAATATATAACTTTGAGGTTGTTTATTGCTCAAAGAGTTCTATGGATAATGCTAACACTCTTTCTTAAGCTCATCTTCTTACTTTCTTCTCCTATTCCTGAAAAACCTATTATTTATACATTAATGGATTTTTTAGACGAGAATTTCATGCTATTGGTAGTTGTTGTGCTTGATGTTTAGTGTCTATGAAGTGTGGAACTAGATTTACCTTTATTGAACGAGGTTTGTCAAGCTTAAAATATGAGTGGGATCTCAAAGAAGTGTTAATAACTTTTCCAATTTTGGCATATCCTAGTTATACTCAACCTTTCATCTTGCACATGAATGTTTTTGATATTGGTCTTTAAGGTATATTGATACAAAAGAGCATAAACATGCTTAGTTAGTATCATCCTATTGCAAATATTAGCTGTACATTACAACTAATAAAAGTGAACTACTCCAGAATAAAGAAAAAGTGCATAGCAGTAGTTTAGGGTTTTGAGAAGTTTCATGCATACTAGCATTATTCTCAAATATTATTAAAGGGTAATTATGTTGTAGTCACTTTATTATGAAGTAGAAGAAATTACAAACCTATTGTTTTAGTATTAGTGAATAATCTAAATAAGAATTTCATACCATTGGTAGTTGTTCTATTTGATATTTAGTATTCACAAGATGTAGAGTTGGATTTACCAAAGTTTGTGAAGCTCAAAAGATTGAGTTATGGATCCAAAAAAATTTTAATGAGTTTGAGAATCTTACATCACTAACTGATAATTTACTATTTTAGCATTTACATTCTCCATATCGTCTTAAGGATGACCTTCTGTACTTTATGGGGACTAATATTGATGGCCATTTATAGCTAGTGGTGCCTTCAATTTTTATTTCACAATTTTTTCATGTTTACCATAACTCTTTTATTCAAAGTGAATATATGGGACATCATTATGTGTGAAAAGCTAAACAAGTTTTTCTCTTTAGCTGAAAATATATCCTGATGTCATCTAATATATGCATAATTGTGTTTGGTGCCTTATGCTGCAAATGAATGATTAGAGTCGATTGCAATTTCTCATTAGTTTAAGTTAATGGAATTTGATTTGATAAGGCCTTTTCCATGATAAAGTGTTGGGAATGAGTACATTATTATTACTTTTGACTAATTAATTAGTTTGGTAAAAGCAGTACTATTGTGTTTGTCACTACTATTAGATTTTTCCTCCTTAATTAAGTGGTTTTTCGATATTTTTATCTAAAGCAGGTCCTCTTAGATAATAATCATGTGTTTATAGTTGAGGTATTTTATGTTTTGATTGCTTGGTTAAGGATATACTACACTTTTGCAAGTACTTATTATCTATTAATAGATGGTTTGATGAAATAGGACCTCTAAAAGAATGTGATCATGAAGTATATAAAATTTTAGTAGTAGGATTAGAATGGTTATTTACTATTTCTCTTCTATACATATATTATAAGGATGCAAATTTCTATTGGTGCTTCACCAAAGAAATTCTTATATAATCATAATCTAATATTGCTAACATAGTTGAGTTTACATTTTTTATTTTCTCAAGCTGCCGATGCTAAGTCTGGGGATTAATATTTGATGAATATTTTCACACCAGTTTGAGTAAAGTTATAAGGTTTGACATAATATTTAACAGGTTCATCCTCCATAAATTATGTATGTGCAGCAGCTAAAATGGTTCATATAAAGGTATGATGCTATATAATATTATTAGTATATTGGGATTTTCATAGATATCATATTTGCTTTTATATAAAAGTGAGTTTTTTTTGGTTAATGATATTTTCACATTTTTGTATTCTATATATTTATAACTATCTAATTAATAATTAATTTTAATTTATATAATAAATTATCAAAAAACTGAAAGGAAGTGATTGATGAATTCTTTTATATTTTCAATAACTTAAGGATAATAGTAGAAACATTAAATTTTATAAAAGATTTATTTTCAAAGTCATAACACCACATATGAAAGTATAATTGATATAGTTATAATTATCATTAGAAGTTTTATATAGCTGTATACACATAATATAATTATATAATAGTCATTTAAAAAGTTTAAGGAAGATAATATATGCATTATGTAAATGTAAAAAGTTTAAAAGGAAGAATTTTGCAAACCTTTGATATAGGTGTATCTTAAATAATATTTTAGTTTTATAGGTCTAGATAAAATGTAATTAACATAATAATTTTCTTTTGGAATCTAAAATCAATTAAGAGGAAAGTCAAAACTATTGTTAGAATTGTTTGTAATGCAAACTTTTGAAATAATTTGCTACATGTTGCATGTAACAATGCTTGGTTTACTTGGTAGGTTATTTGTATTTATTAATCCATTTAATCAAATAGAAGTTTATAATTATAAAAATGTTTATAATTTATAAACACAAGATTAATCTTATTGAATATCAACTATTAGATGGTAGAATAAACTAGGATATATTAGGAAGTGTTTACAAAGGTTTATAAATTATAAACATATATTATAAACATAAAATTGATCTAAATGAATAGCAACCATTAAATATCTTAGAATTTCCAAGTATATTCTAGGTATATTTATTTGCTACTTTGCTTAAGCAAACCAAAAAATCTTTAAAAAATGTTTAGCACTGAACTAAATTTTATAATTTGTATGTAAAGCTAGTATTTATTATGGCAAAAATAATCAGTGAGAAATGTAATAAATGTTTAAAACAAGTTCAAAAAGATGGTGTTTTTCTAAGTATTTCCGATGACGTTTGTAAATTTTTCAAAGCAAAACTAAGCTGCTCTTTCTCAGCCACAACCTCAGCAAACTTCAGGCTCATTTGAGTATATCTATCTTGCATGTCTTTTAGTTCCATCTGCAATTCTGATGATCTCCGCATGTACATCTTCAAATCTGACAATATTCTCTCGATGCTAACATCAGTTTGCTGTACGTTGTCTGATGAAGCGATTGAACTACAAATAAACAACACAATTAGCTTCTGAAGAGAAGAATTCCATATAGCTTACTTTTGGAGCTGGGACTTATAGATTCTGCTTGTTTCTAAGGCCTCAGCCAATTCTGTTTCCAGTGTTAGGACTCTATCAAGAAGATTGCCACATTCAGACACAGCTCTCAATTTCATCACGGTGATCTCAAGCTGTTCATTCACCTGCCTTGCATCCAACACAACACATCCAAGTCAATAACTCGATAAACCTTGAAGCTCTCCAACCTGTTGTAACCGGCAAACTTCTTTCTCAGATATCTCCTGCATGCTTAACTTTGACACCAAGTCACGTTCACGCTGAGCACAGAGCGCTAGCTGCGTTTGAAGCCTTGCCACCTACAAAGTTGTAATTTCAATCTTGTGTTGCATTGCACACCAAAAGTCATACCTCAACTTGGAATTGCTCAAGACCAGCGTCCATTTGTCGTCCCATGGTCGTTTCCAGATAGTCGACTTTAGTTTGAAGTGTAGCCTCTTTTTCTTGGTGCTCTTGTTTCAGTGCTTCAATCTCATTCATTTTACAAGAAAGTTGAACCTGGAGAGTGTCAAGACTTGAGATGTTAGATTCCTTGATGAAATGTAACTTCTCACCTCCAACAAAATTAACTTGTCATGAACGTCAGCTTCCTCTTGTTTGTACTCCCGCTTCAGCTCTTCGATTTTCTGAAGCACGTTTCTCTCGCTTACTTTGTCCAGATTAGATCGAAGAGCTTGTAGCCTTGCCGAAATAAAATCCAATTTCTCACTCTCGGTGTGCCCTTGGAGGTGTTGAACTTGAACCTGGCATTGCAGCCTCAGCTTTTCAGCCTCCAAATCTTGTATCCTCGCTTCTAAAGCCAACTTGTCCTGCTTAAGATTTAATAGAGTGGTCTTCAAATCCACTATTTCCGGTTTGTACGCATCGTTTTCGACCTTCAAAGCCAGAACTTCTTGCTCACACTTGCCCAGCTTCGAAGCGCAGTCCCTGTTGGCAACCCTCATATCTTCCATCTCGTTTTCCATCTGACTGGCAAGTTTGAAGAGAGTTGCGACAGACTGCTCAACTTTGCATCCAATATCTTTTGCCTCGATCTCTTGCTTCTCTATATTGTGATCGAGTTGGCTATTCTTCTGGCGTGCTTCCTCCAGCGTTGCCTCTAGAGACAGTCCGCCTGCTTCGACCTGTGACATCTGTCGGGCAATGGTTTCCGTTTGCTGCAAAAGCCATTCTAGCTTTTCTCTGTCCTGAACAAACGTTTCCAGCCGTTGCTCGGCGTGGATTGCTTTGTTTTTCTCCGCATTCCACGACTCCATTAGAGCGTCTCTTTCTCGGCCTATACTGCTGAGGGTGGCAGTCAGCTCGGTCACCTGATCTTGTAGCACACCGTTCAACACTGCACTGTCTAAGGCCTGGTGCTTGAAATCTGCCACCTGCATTTCCAGGCCGTCCCGGTCGTTCTTGAGTAGGTTGCAATCGGACTCTAGAACCAACACCTTGGACTCCAAGCCGAGAAGTTCCTCTAGCTTTCCTTGTAGGCTATGCTGTAGAAGTTCCTGAGTACCAAGATGCACTATGATGTCGTTCTTGAGAGCTTCCACCTGTGTTTCCAAGTTCCGTGCATCCTGCTGGAGATCATCACGCTCGTTCTCAACCTGTAGCACCTTTTCTTCAAGCCTCGACTTCTCTTGGCTGTTTAGCAATTGTGTCTCTTCTGCATAGCACTTGCAGCTTTCCAGCTCCCTCGCCAGAGCGCGCACATTTTCTTGCAAACTTGAAACTTCTTCAGCATGCTTAACATGGTCCTCTTCTAATTTCTCCGTCAACCTCTTTTCGGACTGCTCAGTGATCGATAAGGTGTCTTCAAGTTCTCTGACACGGTTCTCACGTACATGTCCAGAATTTTCGAGGGAGCTGACTGTGCTTTTAAGGCTCTTGACTTGCAGTTCGAGGTCCTTCAGTGCCAGACCTTGAGCATCCCTCTCTCCTTCCAGTTTTGCGATTGTTCCCTCTAGCTCCTGCCCAGTACGTTCCCATTTTTCTACTGCAGCTTCGAGTTCTCTGTTGTGATCTTCAGCAGCAGCTTTCTCACGTTGGCACTCCTTTAAAATTTCCACCGTGCTACATATCTGATCTTCTAGCTCCTTGGCTCGTCTTTCCAGCAAACCTTGGGTGCCAACCCGCATCGCTATGTCACCCTTGAGAACCCCGATATGCATGTGCAAGTTGCGTCCATCCTGCTTAAGAGCCTCACGCTCGTTCTCTAGCAATACCACTTTCTCTTCAAGCTCTAGCATTTCTCCTCTGCTTCGCGCATCTCTGCTTTCAGCATCTAGCTCACAGCGTTTTAGCTCGCTTGTCAGCGTGGACAAATGTTCTTGTAGCATAGATATTTCTTTGACGTGCTTCACGTTGTCTTCCTCTAGTCCAGCAACATCTCTTGCAAGCTTTTTGACAGCCTCGTCATGATTGCTCTCCGTGACTTTTAAAGTCCCCTCCAGCTCCTTGATGGAGCTCTCCCGCACTCCCAAAGTATTTTCAAGACTTCTAAACGTATCAGTCAAATCCTTTACTTGTAGCTCCAGTTTTTCCTCTGCTAGTCTGTGAGCCTCACGATCTTCTTCCAGCTTCTCAACCTTCATATTGAGCTCACTGCAAGTAAGCTCCAGGCAATTCTTTGTAGTCTCAAGAGCCGTCTTCTCCTCTGCAATATGCACTGCCTCACGCTCCAATACAGCCTTCTCTGTTTGACTAACTTCAAGCTCTAACTTCAATGATTCCCTCTCGGCCTCTAAAGATGAAATCTTCTTTGCAACCAATTTACTTTCTTCCTCCATGTTTTGTGTTGTCTTGAGATGTTCTGCCGTCAACTCTGATAGACTTTCCTCAAGTTCTCTGATGCGGCACCGCAAAGAATGACTGGACGTAGAGGCCTTGGAAAGTTCAGCTTTTAATCTTTCCACCTGCGCTTCAAGGTCCCTTCGGGCACGAGAATGCGTCTCACAGAGCGTATCCGACGCTATCCATTTCGACTTATACTCGTTCATTGTAGCAGCAAGTACAGCTTTCTGTTTTTCGATTTCCCGACCTCGGCCCTGCTCCGCACTAAGTTGTAGTTTCAACGCTTCAAGCTCTGATACAAGAAACTGAACCTCTGCATCCTTTCTCGTGACCGTTTCATTGACTTCGACGTTTTCTTTCTTCGATCTGCTCAATTGCGCTTCTAAATCCTGTCTCGCTTTTTCTAAATCATCCTCCAACTCCGCAACATGCCTGTCGAACTCCATCTTTGCACTGTCCAGCTGACTTGAAAGCTTCTCAGCCTCTTTCCTAGTAGATTCCTCAAAGCTGCGGTTCCATCCATCATTTTCCGCTTCCAAGTCCACTACTTTCTCTTCTAATTCCTTCCTGTGCGCATCCGCTGCTTCTAAACTGCTCGCAAGGGTTGACACCTGTAACTCCAAATCTAGAATGCGTGACTTGTCCAGCTCTTGGGAGTCCTGCATCTTCATCTCCAAGCCATTGTTTAGCATCTCGAGCTGTAAAATCCTGGCCTCTAAATCCGTTACTTGCAGCAGCTTAGAGTTGAAGTCGTGCAACAAGTCCGACATTTCCTTGTCATGCTTCTGTGCTCGAAACACCAAAGCTGAAACTTCAGATTCCAGTTGAGCTTTAACTGTGTTTGCATCCTCCACCAGCCTCGTTAGTCTTTTCTGCTCTTGTCCGGCAAGAGTCAGCTCAGACTTTGCACGCTCCAACTGGTTGTTTAAGCTCTGAATATCGGCATCCGAGCTTCTCAGCTGGTTTTCCAAGTCTGCGTTAGCACTTTTCAAGCCCTGGATTAAAGTCTGAAGGCGGACCATAAGCTTTTCATTGCTGGAGTGCTGAACCTGATGGAACTCTTCAGTTGCTGCCAGCTTCTTCTCGAGCTCGTCTACTAAAGCCTTGAGCCTCTCCACTTCCTGACGGTCATCGTCATTTTGCTTGTCGAACTCTTTAGTTGCCTTGTTCAGCTTGAATATCAGCTCCATATTTTCGTCCGTCAACTCCTTCAACTCTTTAGCCATTTCTTCGGTACTCTGGCTCACCTCGTCGTCAGTGGCCAGCTCCCGCTTAATCTCAGACCGACTTTTCCGCAAGTCCTCAAGCTTAGCTTGCAGGCCTTTGATCGTGTTTTCTTTAGCTACAAGCTTCTCAGACCACTGACTTTCCCGATTCTCTTCTCGAGTCTTGGCAGCATGTACAGAAGCTTCAAGGTTGTGATTGAGTGAAGAAAGCTCTTCCATTTCTTTTCGCTGCTCCTCTAGAGACTCCTCCATGTCTTGTATCGCCAGTACGAGCTGCATGTTGGACTCCTGAGCTTTTCTCAATTGCATGCTCGCGTTCAGGCTTGCTTCTTTCTCGTAGGACAGCTCCATCTTCAAATCGCTTATGGACCTTGCTAATTCTTCGGCCTCCTTGCGCAGTCTCTGCTCATTAGCTTCGTGCTCCTGCTTTGCAGTTTGCAGCTCTAGTTTAAGCTTATCTGCCAGTAACTGCTTTGGTCCGCCACCATTCTCCTGCTTCAGCTTCTGGACTTCCCTACTCAGATTTCGGGCACGTCTTTGCCATGTTACGGCTTCCATGCGCAGCTCCTGAATCGATTTATCTGGAGCTGGTGCCTCGGCTTCAATCGGCGATTTACTTCGAAAAGATGACGACCTCACGCTCATAATGCTCCTGGGAGTGTCACTGTCCATATTGCTAAGCGACTCAATATTTCTCATGCCCGAGCCACTACCTGTTCTACCAAGCTGGGGCTCCAAAGAGATTGTTGGAAATGACCCCTGACTGAACCTGCGCCTTCTTCTCTCATAGCCTCCTACAGAGCTAGCTGGAGAAGGAGGGTCGCCAAAAAACTCTTTGACGCTACCGTTGAATTCTCTAGGTGTAAATGGTTCAAGATCGGTGTCACGCAGCGACGACCCATTATCCTGTGCAAAAAAAAGAGAGGTTTCACATCCTTTAAGTGTGTTCAAGAAAGAACTCACTCTTGGTGAAGAAACCGACTTCTGAACAGGACCACTAAGCGCTTGGCTAGTGGATGACGCCACAGAAATATTGTCAGCATCGACTTCAGAATCAGAGGATTGCTCATCTTGAACACTAAGCTCTCGCGATTTCCTGCAAAGATAAAAACGAAACTCTTATGGCTAACCTCGCTAAAATTTGTATTATCACCTCAAGGACGTTAAAGAGTTGATTTTTACCTGCAACATAAAGAACCAAGCTAGTGTCAAATCAGAAACAAAACAGTATAAATCGAGCATACGTGAAGGAGCGTATTTCCTCGACAATTTTGGAGAGGCACGGCTAGTGAATTCGATGGACCATTTGCGAAATCAGCCAAGTTAATGGTAACATCTCCGAGAATTTTTGTTCGCTGTGATGAAGAACATATCAACACAATAAAGGAAGAGCTCATAATCCTTACCACACCAACAACGATTTTGTAGAGCTTAGAGTCATACTTCCCAGACTGGGCGTCTTGTATAAGTCTCGTGGTCTCCACGAGAGGATCGGGCCAGCGGCAGCATCCATACTCGACGGCAGCCTTGGTGGTTTTATTGCTGCGTTTTCCAGTGTCCTGTGGTATAAGAGACACTTTAAGCTTCTCCCATCCAGCCGGTGGAACCTGTTACACAAGGAAGGACCGAGGATGTAAAGCGAATTAACGAGAGAGATCATACCCGTGTAACATGAAATTGGAACTTGAACACCACTTTCTCTTTGATCTTCCCTCCAGGATTTTTCTTGAACTTTAACATTGTTTAGACCATTCAGCATCCTTCGAGAAAAGAAACTTCCCCAGAAGCGCTTATAATCTGTGCTGGTTGAAAACAAGCGAGAGGGAAGTCCGCTAGACACAGCCTCATTCCAGAAGGAGGAGAGAAAGGAAAAATACTTAAAACAGCGCTCCTGTGAAGACGACAAGCGGGAGGCGCGCATCGCGTTAGTCGAAACGCGGCGCCATCCCTGTGCTGTCGGCACTCGCATTCTCGTCGCCCCATGACAAAGGGGGCGACGGATCTCGAGTCGATGCCGCCACGACAAAGAGAGCGATGCCGCCAACGCTCCATCCATCCGCCCTAAAACCTCTAGAACCCTAACACTCACGCGCTTGGCGGGCAATTTCAAATTTAAAATTCGACTAGCTCTTCGAGTTTCACAAAAATGAGCTTTCTTCTATATCTCTTTCGTTTTTTCTTGTGCCGAAAAGATTTTGAGTAGAACCTTGGCGTGGTCTATGTACATCCCTGTGCTACTATCAGGAAAACAAAAAAAATTCTCATGGTCAGCTCACATAGATTTGAAACGAAACTTGTTACCCGTGATTGCGAGCTTGGACGAAATCTCAGTCGAACAGCCTGGGAGCTCGATACGCTGGGCCGTAGAGATCGTCCACTGTCTCACTGTTGGCCTCGGCAGCAGTCCTCTTCAAGTTCTTGAGCCCCCTTCCGAGTCGAGCCACCGAGATCGCCGATGGAACCGCTTCCACAGCACCCCCGATCTGGTCGTCCGCGTAGAACAGTCCCACCGCGGTTAGAACGCTTCCTCCAAACACCACCCACGGCCGCCTCAGCGAAGACATCCCCGTGCGCTGGCGCATGAGACCGTAGAAGGACCAGTGCACTGCCCCGATGCTCTTTCTCTTTGCGAGCCCGACGAAAGCTCGGACGATCGAAGAGCGCGCTGGCGAGAATGGCGCCCATGGAAGCTTAGCAAGAACGGGAGCCTTGCTCGAGAGAAACTTCGTAGCCCCGGCAACCACAGCAGCCCCAGCTCCCAGTGCCACTAAGTTACCCCCAGCTTCGTCCAATTCCGTGCTGGTTGTATCATCCCCAGCCGAGAACAAGAAGGAGTCGGACATGGCTGCGGCTTCGGGTGGCACCAAGACGTTCCAGTATTTCCGAACTCCCAAAACCTGCGATCCATCCAAGACCGCCACCACGACTTTGGACCGCTTGGCCTGCCTCTGTAGAGCTTGCGTGAGAAGCACCTCGCATTTTTCCTGGTCTGGAAGCCCGGTGTAGGACGAAGCAAAAGGTGGCGGAGCGTTCATGGCTATTCGTCTCGAGATATCGTGTTGTAACAGCCGGAAGTACTCGAGCGTCACCCTGAATCCAAGAACCGAGTCGAGCAACTCTCTGCTTACTTCCTTCCCTGCGGCGGTGTCGGCGATGATCCTCTCGGCCGCAGCGACGGCATTGGATCCGTGAGTGCGAGGCCAGATGCTATCGTTGAGCTGGTCGAGCATGAGAAAGATCGGGAAGAACGAAGCAGCGAATTCCGGGCGGCTGGTCGATGGCAGATGGCGCGAGAATGCGAGACTCCAGTTGTCCGGACTTTGGTGCTGTGCTTCCGGAGCATCCGCGAGAAAGACCTGAAGAACGCCGAAGTTGGATCCGGACTGGAGCGCTGCGTGCTTCGCCGCCAGAACATAGCCATGATACGTCGTTCCAAAGATGATCCTCTGGAAGTCGAAAACCGCCAAGCTTTCGCTGCTGTAACCCCTGGTAGAGAAATCCGTGAAGGCGTCGAGAAAAGAATCCGGCACAACGACGCCGTGATCTAAATCGCTGGCGATCCGCTCCTCCTCGAGAAATTCCAGCATCCGGTGCGATTGCACGGCCGCGAGCACGGCATGCGGCCTCGCAGCCGCGACAAGCTGCTTCACATCCCTCACTGATCTTTCCGAGAGTACCTGCGCCGTGAGGAGGTAGACAATGCACGAGGGATCATCCGGCACGCGCAATGCGGCGACGAAGCGCTTGGAATCCGCTGGAATGTCGAGCTTGTCAACGAGCTGCTCGCTCCTGGCGCCGAAGATGCTGCCGAGAATCCACGAAATCCAAGCGAACATGACGATCGGAGGAGAGAGATCGAGAGAGGATTTCAATCGGGCGCCATCGCTAAAACCCTACCCAGCGCGAATGGCGATAGCAGCATTGTGTTCCCTCCCATTGCCTAGGGTTTGTCCCAAGGCCGATATTCCAAGAATTCCGCGCGCCCGGCGAGGAGTGATCCTCGGCTGTAGCACGGCGGCGCCATCGGAGGTCGCCAAGGTGGGAGCTCGATCGCCAGGTACGATGCTTTCGTTGAGCATTCGATCGAATGGATCGAATCGATCATCGCTTCGTCTTCGCAGTGGGCTGGAAAACCTTCTCCAAGAATGCGTCAGGGGAGTGGAGTGGCGCCGCTGTGGATTTCGATCGCGAGGGGAAGCCTTTGCAGCTTCCATCGGCGCTAGTCCCGCAAGAGTATGTGGAATGGGAGGTGGAAGTTTGCGACTGGGAGACCTACTGTGCCGCTCTCGCGGATGGAGACCCTCCAAGGTTCTACAACAAGACGCTTCGCTTGTATCCCACAGTCGGGTGTGGAGCAACGACGGTGTCCATCTACAGCACCCAAGAGCAAGCCTTGGACGAGGCGAAGGCCGAGAAGCAAAAGTTTCTAGCGTTCCATCCCAGCGGTTCATACGTAGCGGTCTGGGACAACGAGAATGAGGTGGTGGTGGAGCACTGCCTAGTAAACGAAGACATAGAAGGCTTGAGGATGAGAGTTCTTCACAAGTTTGGAGAGCTTGGGATGCCTGTGGAAGGGATCACTGTCTACAAGGAGCAGTGGGAGGAGTCCTTCCAATCTGGAAAAACTGTGGAGAGTTGCCTGACCCGGCATGCTGCTTTCGCTGGGGGCCCGCGACTCAAGCCATCGGATTTACGTGGGACTTGGCAAACTATCAGGCGTAGCTTCTCGCCGGTAAGTCAGCACTGCTTGTGTTTTATATGCTTTTACTCTCTCGCTTTCCAGGTTGAAGGATGTGGCTGCGTCAACAAGATGGTGTTAGAGGCTTCTAATCCGGTGGAGAGGACAAACGCGAAGGGCTGTATACTACTTCCAGAAGGGACATGGTCCTCCATCCGGAAAGTTGAGGACGAGCTTGTTATCGAGGCAGGCTTGCTAACACGTCCTGGGAATCTGGTTCTTTCTAGGTGTAAAGTGACAAGCTCTGGTGAAATACAGGTTTGTTATTCTTTCTTTCTTTCTTTCAAGCCCGTGACGTAAACTTTTGCAGAAGTTTGAGCTGGAAACGCAATATCGCGACACCCGGCTTAGAGAAACCTACAGGACGTCCTATTTAAATGACGAGGACGTCTTCTGATTGGAACCATCGCCGAACGAGCAACATCTCAGTGGAAAATGTGTTTGCAACAGTTACGTACTGTATGAATCGGTGAGTCTTGAATGCTCTTTTACGGAAAAAATGTAAATATAATACTCTGCCGTTTCCTCTCTTTCTCATCAGGCTCCAGCGTAGAGCTTACTCCAAATTTCAGGACGGATATGCACAACCCTGATAGCCTGTAGCAAGCCAGAGTGCAAGCAAGTGTAAGAAAACGAGTAAGTTTTCCTATGCGTCACTTTCGCGAGCAGACAAACACCTGTGGAATCCAGCCGCAGCAGCAGCCAGCGAGCAGTCCAGGCAGCCAGGCAAATAAATAAGGAGAAAAAATGAAGAGGACGCAAACGACGTACCGCAAGCAAACATCATCCACCGGTGAAGAAGCGACACTTACTTGGATTGGTATTGGTCACTATGGCGGTGCCGCCAAAGACGCAGTCGCTCGCTTGCCGTCCATTCAGCTGGTAGTAATTGTTGAACGCGTAAGACGAGTGAGCCAGCACTGTGTTCGGGACGTAGCAGGCTTTTCCGGGCTGTATGGCCGAGCAGTCGGCCTTGCCCGGGCCGCAAGCCCAGTCCAGCGCGGCTTGCAGCTGCGGTACGCCGGTGTCGGCCTTGGCGACGCACCAGGAGCCCGAGCTTGGCGACGGCGTCGCGGGGGTGGTCTGGACACCGATGCTGTACGACACCGACATGTCCGCGCGGTAGATGCCGTAGTGGTGCTCGGACTCTGGGCCGGTCTTGGTGTTCTCGTCGAACAGCGCGAATATGTAGGCCTCGAGGGGGACCTTGGGCCGCAGCGGCGTGCCGGACATTGACCGTACGTGCCGCACGACGCCGCCGTTGTATGCTGCGGCGTTGGCGGGTGACGCGCCGGTCTCGGACTCCGGGCCCGACGGCCAGCCCGTCTCGGTCACCACGACGCGGACGTTGGGGAAGCCGATGGCGTCCATTGCGGCGTACACAGTATCTACCTGCGCATCCAGGAGATTCGTGTAGAGGAGGCCTGTCCGGTTGTCGCGAACGCCGGCGCCGCGGCGGAGCTTGAAGGCCGCGTAGTCGAGCGGTGAGCCGCGGGGGTCCGCGCGGTACGCGAAGTAAGGGTAGGGGTTTACCATGAATGGCGCGCCGGTGGCGTTGAGAAACTGGAGGAGTGGGCGGAGGTATGGGAGGAGATCCTTGCGGAAGGTGCCGCGGCTGGGCGGGAAGGAGGGGTTGAGCACGTTGAGAGCGTGCGGCGTGCTGAGCTGTATACCGTGGAGGTCGTAGCGCTGCAGCGCGGACTGGAGGTTGTACAGCGCGGGCACCAGCTGGCTGGGAACGCGCTTACCGCTGGCGGCGACGTTGATGAGCACCTCATTGCCGACGCAAATGGAGGCGACGCGCGTGCCGCTGCGGACGAAGGGCAGTACGTTCGAGCGGATCCAGCGGTACGCGTTGAGCGCGCGGCGGCCCGTGCGGTAGATGAGGTCGTCCGGGAATGTGATGGTTACTTCGATGCTCGTGTTGGCGAGCGCGCGGAGGACGCTGGGGTCGGCGTCGAAGATCTTTACCTTGCGGATGGTGGTGGAGTGGGCGATGAGGGACACGGCTTGATCGACCGAGGGGAGATTGCTGCCCAGCCTTCCATAGTTGATTCCCAGGTACTTGTCCGGATGGGCTTCTCCTCCGGCAGCTCCTGCAAATGGATCCAACAGTGAATGGAGAGAGAAATAGTGGAGATGGATCGAGCGAGAGAGAAGTCCTAAGCAAATTTCTAGACGATTTTCTCTGCAATCTCTTCCTCGATCGAGTCCGAGGCAGTTCTCTAGATGACCTAAGGATTGAATCTCTGTGTACCTGAGTAGTGGACGAGGCAAGCAGCTGTGACAATAGCGAGGATCAAGCCGGGGAGAGATGTCGGGGCCGCCATTGACCGTTGGAGCGATAAATCCGAGAAAAAGCTTTAGAGTTGCGGGTTTATATTGCTGTCCGAGACGTGTTTCTCCTACTAACTTAAAACGAGGGAGCTTTCACGCGCTGCGAATCCGAAAAGAACAAAAGGGTATCATTATGTGGCTGCTGGGATTCGAGCCCAGGTCTCCACGGCCACAACGTGGAATTCTCACCACTAAACTACAGCCACCTTTCGATGATGAAGGTCTTCGAATATGTCAAGTACAAGAAGCTGTGGAATGGACTTCCAGCGCTTCCTCGTAGTTATGTTGAGATAAACCAACGATCAAATTCCTTTTCCACTACGATGGATATGATGTAGAACTCGTGTGATTCCTTGCAAAGAACTTGAAGATCACGGTACTCATGAAGAACATCATTGTATCCATAGGTATCACGAAAGAAAAAGGAAAAGACTAGAATTTATCCTGGTGCTAGAGTGGGAAGCGAGAGAGTGGAGAGAGAGCGACTTCTAACAAGGCCCACTTAGTTTTTGGTTGATTCCACAGGTCCTGTCATCTTCGACTTTGGATTCATAAGGACAGGGAAATCCGTATACTTAGGATTGACAGAATGAACAAATTTGACAAATTGCTAGCAAATGTTGAAAATCTTGCTTGCGCTTGCACCTCACTCTCCTACGTTTGGTCAGTTGATCGGTGAGATGTCAAAGGAAAGGATAGGCGGTTGGGAGATGAACTATCACATTAGAGATGGCAAACTTAATCTAAGCGTTTGGAGCTAAGCGCTTTGGAAAATTTCCATCCAAGAAGATCCAAATAACAAACATCCAAAACCTGAAATAGTGGTCATGCGTTAATGCGCCATTTTGATGTCAGCAGCATAAGAACCCTAAAGTCTAAAGGAATGTTCGTGCGCGCGCCAAAATTCTTTTGGATTCTTTTTAAAAACGTAAACAAGCAATATCATGTTAGCTTGGAATCAAAGCCTGGGAAAGCTGCCAAAGCGCCAAAGAACTCACACACCACTGCAAAAAGCATTGGACACCATGTACTCTAAACAACATAGAACCAGAAAAAAGAAAAAAAATCATAGAAAACGAACCGCAATAGCCGATCAAATCTCCGCAAGAGATCCACCCATGTAGGGGGGAGTGGAATGGAATGAAGGTCATAAGCTCGAGCTAACGCGCTGTCCATCCAAACGTGCATAGCTTTGAAATTTTTTCTATAATCCAACGATGCAGCGCAAGGTGTCCAAGCACAAACAGCGCTCAATCAAAAGATTTCTCTCTCTCTCTCTCTCCTCTCCAAGCATATCCCATCTGGTTCCCACCCATATAGGAGAGCGCGTACGGCCCATAGTACGGTATTGGCCATGGGGCCCAATCGCGGGAGACCATGATGGATGTAGCTCCGCCTTTGTCCTCCATGGCCGGGCTTGACGGGGAGACCGCAAGCATGCTGGCTTGTGAGAGTGGCGAGGAAGAGAGGGGCGAGGCGAGGAGGCGGAGGAAGAGGGGCATAGCTTGTAGGTTTCGTGTCTCTCGCGGGCTACTAGATCACAGTCCCTCGCTTTTATCGATTGCGTCGTCGCCTTGCTTGCGCTCCAGCATCTTGGGCGATCCAAATCCAGGGTTTCCAGGCGCATTGAGCATTGATCCAATTGAGTCCACCGATCGATCGATCGCCTCGTCGGGTTTGTCTACCTAAACACTCGTGTCCTGGTAGGTGCTGGGACGATTTCTCTCTTTGCTTCTTTCTTCCCCTCCCTCTCAATGTTCTCAATTTTCTTCCTCGCCAGCTCATGGTTTTTCGATCGTGGTGTTTCTTCCAGACCGGATCTTTGATTCTCCGTTTGGTTTGTCATCTTCCTTTTGTTCTTGCTGGAGTTCGTGGTACCTCACAAGTATGACTAGGATTTTTTGCTTCTCCCTCTCATGGTTTTTCGATCGTGGAGTTTCTTCCGGACCGGATCTTTGATTCTCTGTTTGGTTTGTCCCCTTCCGTTTGTTCTTGCTGGAGTTCGTTTCCGGATGGAATTCGCTGTTGTCACAAGGAATCCGTCCCGAGCATGACCAGGATTTTATGCTTTCCAATTCTCGACAAGTATGTGGTGGAGAATTCGTTTTCTCGATCTCCTCTTCTTTCTCCTGCTGCTGCTGGCAACTTCGACCCGGGACGAAGGTAACAAAAACTTGTGCATTTTAATCAGCAAGTTGGAACTCTTTCGCAGGAGCTTTAGTCGGTGCTATCCCAACTTGTAATAAGAAAAGCGAGCACGCCAAGAGCGAAGGATTCAAAGCTTTAATTTGGCACCATATCCAGCAGCGCGTTGGTGGAATCAAGGCCTTATTAAATTCGCATCCCCGGGTCATGATCACTGTAAGTTCTCCAAGTTCTTCCATCGAGGGACCAGCAACATCACCACCACTAAAGCAAACACCATCATCGTCACCACCACCACTACTAGATTCTTCTCCACCGTCGCCATCGATTCTTCCTCCAGCACCCGACCTTGTACCACCACCTCCAAGTCCACAGCAAACTCTACCACCACCTCCAAGCCTACAGCAAACACTACCACCACCGCCAAGCCAAAGTCTATTATCACCTCCTCCACAATCCTTGGAGACAGTTCCTCCACCTTTGATTTCCTCGATTCCTGTGAATCTTCCACCATTGCCAGCCGTTTCTGTTCCAGCGGTTCTCCAGATACCACCTCTGTTTTCCAATTCTAATTCAGTTCCATCGCTTCCGATCTCGATACCGCCGGCGCTGGGTTCTTCGTCTCCTCTATTGCCGCTACCACCTTTGATCGCTCCTCCAACTTTTATGGTGTCACCACCACTTCCATCTCCTGCTAATGCATCACCGCCGCTTCCATCGTCCGCTCCTCCTCCTATTGCATCACCGCCGCTTCCATCGGCTCCTCCTCCTACTTTTCTCGTATTACCACCGATCTTATCATCTCCACCCCCAGCATCTACAGTTCCATCTCCGATCGTGTCAGCTCCACCTCCAACAATTTTGCCTTCTCCTCCGCCCCCATTGCCATCAGCTCCTCCTCTTCCTCCTCCTCCACTATCAACGCCACCTCCATCGTTTGTTCCACCACCTCCAAGGGCTTCAATTCCTCCATCATTGCCGCCACTATCTTCTGCTGCTCCAGAAGTCCCTCACAACATTTCGTCATCTCCAGCATCGCCACTTTCATCACCACTTCCATCACCACCATCTCCGACTACTGTCCCTTCCGCTGCACCACCTTTTCAAACGTCACCACCGCCAGTTTCTTCACCTTCTCTCGAAGACAATGCTCCACCCTCTGTAACGCTCGGTCCTCCGCCTACGACTTTATCCTCGCCGCCACCATCGCTGTCTCCTCCACCTTTGGTTGCTTCACCATCTCAAGCACCATCCTCTCGTCGCTCACCTCCACCACTCTCTGGAGCTCCACCTTTCAAAAGCTCGCCACCTACATCGCCACCATCTCCGCGTTCGCTCCAGCCGCCTTCCTTGCCTCCAGAGGTGGTGTCTCCGCCACCCAAACTCTCGCCAAGTCCGATTCAAAACTCTTCCGCTACACTACCTTTATCACCTCGTAGTGCTCCACCGAGAAGCCCCACAAGAAAAGCAACGGCCCCGGCCTCTCTTCCATCACTCGCTGTTTCTCCAGTGGCCAGCAACACTCCGGCTCCAGTTCCATCTCGTCCCACTATTAAAGCTCCATCGCCTGTTACTAAAGCTCCATCGCCTGTTACCAAAGCTCCATCTCCTGTCACTAAAGCTCCATCGCCTGTTACCAAAGCTCCATCTCCTGTCACTAAAGCTCCATCGCCTGTTCAAAACCGTCCACAGCCTCCTGCACCTCGCAAGGCTCCTGTAGTTTCTCCAGCATCAGCTCCACAAACACCTATGCCACGACCAGGACCTCCTGCTCGTCTGCCAGGTATCGTGCTCCATTTTGATTCTATGAATGCGTATCAGTGAACAAAACTTACAGGTATTGTGGCTCCTCCAACGAAAACTCAGTTAGCTCAGCCTCCAGCAATGGTCTTTCCGTCACCTCCCAACGCAGGTATATTTTTCTTTCTTTTGCGTGTGTGTGTTTCACGTTCTTTTTATGCAGGCTGCGACAAAGTTTGCTCGGACCCGTCCGTGACAACTCTGCCTGGAACAAAATGCGGGTGCGTCATTCCTATGAGAGTGGGACTTGCGCTCGAAATTCCCATCTCAAGTTTCCTGTCGCTTGTCTCGGAGCTAGCTATGGAGATTGCGTTTGGAATTTCCATGCAGCAGATGCAGGTCCAAATAGCGGCTGCCAACTCTTTCGGCGAGGATTTTTCCCTTACGGAGACCAAAGTTAATCTCGTACCTCTCGGGAACGCGTTCAGAAACCAGACAGCCTATCACATCTCTCAGATGTTTTGGGGGCATCGCGTGCCTATCAACGAAGCATACTTTGTCAATTACACAGTGTTGTACGTGATATATCCAGGTAAATCCTTTCTTGGCAGCTCTAAAAGTTCTTAACAAATTTTTTTCTGGCAGGATTACCACTTGCTTCGCAAAATGTTAACAGAATTCCACCGAGTGATGGAAAGTTCCCAGATCAACCACTTGGAGTTGATATCTTCGCAAGAAGAAATCGCAACCTTCATCCGGCATTCATTGCGATTATCACGTTGAGCTGCGTGTTCCTACTAATACTTTGCTTGGGTGTTGGTTGGCTCATCACCGTCCGGCATCGCGGGCGGTACAAAGGTCACTCGGAGCTCACAGAAGCCGCACTAGAGTCTTGTGCAACCAAACGATCAAGTAAGTATCTCGCAGTGGCATGTTTTGTCCGAAAAACTCAAACTCTCTCGTGCAGCAACAGCGACTCTTTTATCGAACAGTTCTCGCGACTCTACGTCGGTGTCCTCGAGCATTGTACCATATGTGTCCGGCTCCGTGCGGACTTTCACCTTAGCCGAGATGACTGCCGCGACTAATAACTTCAACCCGTCTAATGTGATCGGCCAAGGTGGTTTTGGAAGAGTTTACAGTGGAGTTCTAACAGATGGGACTAAGATCGCTGTCAAAGTTCTCATTCGGGAAGACAAACAGGGAGATCGAGAGTTTTCGGCAGAGGTGGAGATGCTCAGCCGTCTCCACCACCGGAACCTCGTCAAGCTTGTGGGAATTTGCACGGACGATGACATGCGTTCCTTGGTCTATGAGCTCATTCCAAATGGAAGCGTCGACTCTCACTTGCATGGTACGCTTGTCAAAGTTTTTAGACACTAAGCAATGAGCTCTTCAGGTGATGATAAGAAGATCGCTCCTCTAAGTTGGGAAGCTCGTCTCAAGATCGCTCTTGGAGCAGCTCGAGGCCTTGCCTATCTCCACGAGGACTCGTATCCCCGAGTCATTCACCGAGACTTCAAATCTAGTAACATCCTTTTGGAGGACGACTTCACGCCCAAAGTCTCCGACTTTGGCCTCGCCAAAGCAGCCTCGGAAGAACTAACTGGACATATTTCAACGAGAGTCATGGGAACTTTCGGGTACGTTTTCTCCATCTTTTTTTTTATATCTTATCTCATGTGTTCTTTTCTCTCCAGTTATGTGGCACCCGAGTACGCCATGACCGGTCACCTTCTTGTTAAGAGCGACGTTTACAGCTACGGCGTGGTACTCCTCGAGTTGCTCTCGGGTAGAAAACCAGTTGATATGTCACGGGCACAGGGACAGGAAAACTTAGTGACTTGGGCTCGTCCGCTCCTCACAAGTCTAGAGGGATTGGATTTTCTGGCTGATCCCGACTTGAGAAGCAGCGTGGCACCGGAGAACCTGGCGAGAGTGGCAGCCATCGCATCCATGTGTGTGCGACCGGAGGTGTCGCAGAGGCCTTTCATGGGAGAAGTTGTCCAGGCTTTGAAGCTGGTTTGTAGCGACATGGACGTGGAAGAAGGCGAGACGAGTGGGGCTTCAAACAGTGTCTCCTCGCCAGAGGCCAAGGCCAAAGTTACTGCCGCTTCTACTTCTCGCCAGCGTGAGTGGGATTTCCTATCATACAGAAGCTCCTCGGACTTTGACGACCAACAAAAGAGCTTACGAAACCATCAGCGGCAACAAGGACAGGGTGGGAATTTCTCGGCTTCCTCGGCCTTGTTGAGGCAGGTCTCAGCGTCGTTTGGCCGGCACAGTGCTCCGGAGCCTCTCAAGTTTTTTAACAAGTCTGAGAGATTCCTTACACTGCCTCCTGGGTCCGCGAGCGAGCACGGTGTACATCACTACAGAGAATCGACAGTCTGGCCGTGAGAACTCCACCTTTTTTTCCGGCTTAAGTTCTTTCTTCTCAAATCTTCGGTTCTAACAGTTCGAGCAAAAACAGCACAGCACCAAACAGGTTCTTTCTCGCTCCTTTATAAATGTATCTTTCACAGAACTTTGGTTTCCCGAGAAGCCGAGTTACTGCCACTGCCGCGTTCTAACAGATCGGATTCAAAGTAAAGATGCAGAACGCGACAAGTTTTACTTTGGAAGATCTGGCCGAGCGGAGACAAGCGGGTGCCTCCATATAAGTTTACTGCTCGTCACGTGAAAGAAGAAGCAGCACAGTTGCTTTCGGGAAAAAGTTTGGAGCAGCAGCGCACACTGTTCTTCTGAAAAGATATCTTCGCAGATTTGGAAGCACTGGGAGGGACGCGAGCCACGGAGTCTTGTTTCTCGGTCCGTGGAGCAGCAGGCACTCTTGTACCCGATGAAAAGAAAGAGTTGAGATGTATTCTAGGAGAAAAAAGAAAAAAGCCTTGTTTCTCGTGAAATCTGGAAGCTTGAGAAGCGAAATGCTGGCCAGCCAAGACCCAAAGAATAAGAAAAGCTTCAAGATATCACAGTGTAAACTTAAAGAAAAGCTTCAAGATATCAGTGTGATCAATCAAAAACTTATACCTGGTCTTGCACAGAGAGAGACGTGAAGCTCTGCAGGGCGTTTGTTTATAAATGTTCGCTAGTGACAAGTGATTCCTGTTCCATGAAATGGATGGGCATCCTGGCACTATCCACCAAAAGAGGAGAGCACAAAAACAAAGCCATAAACTAAGAGCGAGTGGGAAAAAAGAAGAAGACACTCACTCTCATGTCGTAGTCCTTGCATCTTTGAGTTGTGCTGCCGCTGAGCTTGCTAATCCACAGGCTGGGATTTGGAATCCACCTTTCCCTCATCATACTGTCCAGATTTTGGGAGAATGTAGCCAATTATGAAGCTCCGGGAACTCGGAGGAGGAGGAGGAACAGCACCACCACCAAGAACAAGAAGATCAAGACGAAGACGAAGATGGTCACAATGATTTTGCTCTGGAAGCTGCTTTTGCTGCTGCTGCTGCTCGGAGGATCCCAGGTAGCCTCGTCCACCCGCGGCCTGGAGGAGATCGAGCAGCATTTGAAGCGGATAAACAGGCCACCGGTGAAGACGATCGAGGTAGGACTTTCACATACTTTCGGAGCTTTTCTTGGGTTGGTTCCTCTCAAACTTTGCTTTTGTAATGTGTAGTCTCCCGACGGGGATATCATCGACTGTATACTCATCCAGCATCAACCCGCTTTCGATCATCCCGGACTCCGAGGATCCACAGCCAAGGCATGTCTTCTCTTATCTTTCACTCTTACCGAGATGAAAACGTTTGATGGTTTATCACTCCCCAGGTAGCTCCAGAGTCGAGACCAGTGAGCCACCAACACCGGCTGCAATCCTTGGAGCAGCGAAGTTTCCAGCTATGGCAGCAGCACGGCAGATGCCCCAGCGGCACCATCCCGCAGAGAAGAACGACCACCAAAGACATCCTTCGCTTCGGCGGCTCCGCTCGAAAGTATGGCAGAAAATCTCACCGCAGCGCCCACCACCGGAAGTTCAACTCGAGCTTCATACCTCCGGGAGCAAACGGAGTATCCATGAGTCACGAGGTAACCTGGATCATCGTCTCTTCTCTTCGAGTTAAACGTAGTGTAGCTCTTGCATAGCTGCCTCCCTCCTTGCAACCTTGTTCTCTCTGGCCTCTTCTCAGATCCATCTCTTCTTCAAACTCTTTCTCAAAGCTGGATATCTTTGTCAGCATGCCATAGCTTACGTCCAAGGCGGTGAGTACTACGGAGCACGAGCAAGCATCAACGTCTGGAACCCAGCCGTGGAAGGAAACTCTGAGTTTAGCCTCTCACAAGTGTGGATCCTCAGCGGATCCATTGGCAACAGCATCGAGGCCGGATGGCAAGTAAGATATCTGTTTTTGGTGCTGCTTAAACATGACTTCCCGGAACTCTTCGTGATGTAATTGACGCTCACAGGTGTTTCCAGGCATGTATGGCGACCAATATCCCCGGCTCTTCATCTACTGGACGGTAAGCTCTCCGAGGAACTTCCCACCTTGACAAGCTCAAACTGCCATTTTCAAACAGAGTGATTCGTACCAAGCCACTGGCTGCTACAACCTTCTCTGCTCGGGCTTCGTCCAGACCAGCACCGAGATCCTGATCGGTGGTGCCATTGCTCCCTCGTCTTCCTCGGATGGCACGCAGTACGATATCAGCATTCTCATCTGGAAGGTAACTCGTTGAAACTGTCCATCCAAGAGCTTGAGCTGTTCTTCCAAAGTTTGAGCCTTGATGATCCTTTGCTCGCTCTAACTTTTCCTGTCCAGGATCCTCAAGAAGGTAACTGGTGGCTGGAATACGGTGACCGGATCGTTGGCTACTGGCCAGCATTCCTGTTCACGGAGCTCGCTTCGTCCGCCAGCGTCGTCGAGTGGGGCGGCGAAGTCGTTAACACTCGTCCGCAAGGCAAGCACACCTCCACGAAGATGGGGAGTGGCATGTATGCCGACGCCGGGTTTTCTCGAGCGAGCTACTTTCGAGACCTGCGAGTTGTCAACGAGCGCAACTCGCTGCAGCTCCCCAGCAACCTCCAGACGTACGCGGCGCATCCAAACTGCTATAATATCATCCCGGGGATCGACAAGATGTGGGGGAGCTTCTTCTACTATGGAGGTCCCGGAAACAGTCCAAACTGTCCCTGATTATGTTGTGAAGCAAAAGTGAGGATAGAGAAACACAAAGAAACGAAGCGTACCTTTGAGCTTATCCTCGAGGAGTTTTCTTAGCTATCTCTGTGCGCAAAAGAGTTCCTCAGTAGATTAATGCTTAGCAAACTCTAGCCAGAGAAAAAAAAAACAACTTACCTTGAGTTGTCTCATGTTTGCTTCTCCTCCGCAAAGATGTTTGCCAAGAGCATGTAAGGCCCGACACTCCCTGGATCAACCCCAAACGCATTCTCCGCAGCCAAAGCACCAAGTTTGTCCTCCCCGTGAGTTCTACAAGACCCCGCCAAGGAAGTCCAGGCCACAACGTCCGGCAAAAACGGCATCGTTTCCAGCAAGCTCTCGGTCTCCATCAATCGTCCGGCTCTTCCCAACATGTCAAGAAAGCAGTGATAGTGATCAACCTCGGGTGCCACCCTGAAGTCCCCTTGCATCGACACAAAGTTCTCGCGAGCTCGCTCCAGGAGTCCGGAATGGCAGCACGAAGTGAGAACCGCAGTGAAACTTATCCCATCTGGTCTCACTCCACAGAGTACCATCTTCCAAAACCAGCCAAGAACAACGCTGCAGTGATCCTTGTCCACGGCAAAAGCCGACAGCATGATGTTCCACGAGAACACATCCGGCTCCGGGATCTTTCCAAAAATCTCCCTTGCTTGAGCCAGCCTCCCGTTGTTCACGTAAGCAGCAAGGATTCCATTCCACACCACCAGATTTTTGTGCTGGATCGTGTCGAAGATCTCTCTCGCCTTGTCCAAGTCCCCGGCATGAGCTTGTGCTGCGACCACCGCGTTCAAGGCCACAACACTTTGCTCGGGCATTTTGTTTAAGACGCTCTCGGACTTTTCCACCAGGCCATTGCTCGAGTAAACTCCAAGCATCGCATTCCAGGCCACCATATCTCTCACCGGCATGGAATCAAACATGGCCTTGGATCTCTCAACCTCTCCTGCTTGAGCAAGCGCAGTGATAATCGTGGTCGATGATAGAGCGTCGTGGAGCGGCATTAGATCGAAAGCTTTCTCCATATCATCTTGGAGCTGGCCAGCAGCCAACCCGGACAGCAGCGAGTTCCAAGATATCGCATCACGCTCAGGCATCTCATCGAAAGTCCTCTTTGCTTCGAGAGAGTGCCCGTTCTGCGCATATCCCTGGAGAATCGCGTTCCAGGACACCACGCTTCTCTCCTCCAGCATATGGAACAAGCTCGCGGCCTCCTCCAGGCGTCCGTTCTGGGCCAGCGCGCTCAGCATCGCATTGCAGCACTGCGAATCCACGCTGGGGATCTTCGCGAAGATGGCGCTGGCCTCCTCCACGAGCCCTCTGGCGGCGTACGCCTGGATCATCGCCGTGCAGTGGACCACGTTGCGCGATGGCATGGAGTCGAAGAGCGCCCTCGCCTCGCGCACCATCCCCCTGCGCGCAAACGCCTGGATCGCCGCGCCCATGGTCACGGAGCTGGATTGCGGGATCTTGCCCAGCATCTCCATCGCCTGGTGGGCGCTTCCAAATTCCGCGATCGCGGCGAGAGCCACCGTCCAGGAGACCACATTCTTCCCAGGAGGCATTGCTGCAAAGAGTTTCAGCGCTTCCTCGAGATGCCCTTTTCTGGCATTTGCTGCAATGATGCAAGTCCACACAAGAGCATCCCACTGCGGCATCCGATCGAACAGCGCTTTTGCCTCTCCAGCCTGGCCATGATCCGCGTAGCCTTTGAGGAGATTCGTCCACGAGTAAACGTCCGATCGGCCGATCCCATCAAAGAGCTGCTTAGCCTCGCAGAGATGCCCGTTGCGGGCATATGCGTGCATCATCATGTTGTGCGAGAAGGCGTCGGGGCGGGCGATGCCATCGAAGACGCGCCGCGCGTCACCAGCGCTCCCACACCGCCCATACATCTCCACCACCAGATTCCACAGGAAAGTAGCGGTGCTTCTGCGGCTGCCGCCATCACCGCTAGCAAGGAGATCGCCTGTGGCGTCGTGGAGGCGGTGAGCGTGGCGGAGATCCAAGCACGACCGCAGCAGCTGGGCGAGGGAGGAGACATCGATCCGTGGATGCTCCTCTTGCAGGAAATGCTTAAGCAGCATGTAAGCATTATGTGGCGCCAAATTTCAAATTTATGCGAATCTCCGTTCTAGGGCTCTTGAGGGCGGCCGACAGTGCTCGATCGGATGGGCCGATCAGCATGTTCGACGTGGATCGTGGACTACTAGGGCGGCTGCGTAATCCAGGCTAGCCAAAGGTATGCGATCTACCTGGATTTCGTCGTGGTCTGCGACAGCAGCCAAGTTTCCAGCCTCTGCGCATCGCGCTTGCACGCCGAGCTCTTGCAAGCTAGATCCGGAGGACTATGGATCATCCACCTAATTGGGCATTCGAAACTATTGTTTTTAGTATATCTTTCTTTCTATTGTGAAAGAACACATGCACATGAGAGAAGTAGTAACAATAGTCGAGGACGTTGTTCTTGAGCCAGGCGGGGCGGGGATGCTGTGGATGCCGTTGCTTGGGTGATTTAGTCTATATATGTTACATATTTTAAATCTTGTCATGCCGAAATTTTCCTGATTTCTGCCCCGTGCTTGCCAAGTTTTGTTGGTGTTTCCTCAGGGTTGAAAAACGCTCCAGATGAGCATTTGAAAGCTCCGAAAAACACTTTGTCCAAAATCAAAACTATTGTTTATCATTAGCGTGCCAACACAAATTGTTTAAAAAGTCTTAAAAGTTTCACTATATAGTTGATGAATTTCTATCTTATGACAAAGAATATTTTTGGATTTATGAAAATTATCCCTCAACAGTGCCAACCTTGTACTCTTAGATTCCATGCCGTCGCCCAATGCTGTGGTGCCTCGTGGAACAAGCAACACAGCAGAGAGAGGAGACATCGATCCGTCCTGGCGGAAATGCTTGAGCATAAGCCAAACATACTTCTTAGCTTTGGAGCGTCTAAAGCACCAAATGTGGCGCCAATTTCAAATTTATGCGAAGCTCTGTTCTAGGGCTCTTGAGCGCCGAGGAAAGAGCCCACAGTGCTCGATTGCAGGAGATATCATGCGCCCAGCTGCTCCGATCATGCGCCAAATCCAAAGATTTGCAGCTTGGCAGAGAGATCCACGCCCGCATCCGCAACAGCGATCGCGGGCGCAGCCGCTACCTTGCCAATCTCCTCATCACCATGTATGCCGAGTGCGGCAGCGTCGGGGAAGCCTATCGCGTCTTCCAAGCCATCGAAACCCCCAACATCTTCTCCTGGAATTACATCCTTAATGCATTTGCCCAGAATGGGTATCTGGCAGAGGCTAGAAGAGTCTTCTCCTTCGCTACTGAGAAAGATGTTTTCACCTGGACCACCATGGTCAGCGCCTTTGCACTATCAGGACACTTGAAAGATGCTCGCAAGTGTTTTGAGAATATGCCCGTACGAAACGCTGTGTCGTGGACAGTGCTTCTTACAGCAAATGCTCAAGCGAGGCATCCTTTTGCAGCAAAAGTAATCTTTGATGCAATGCCTCACTGGGATGCTGTTGCGTGGACTGCGATGATGGCCGCATACAACCAGGCAGGAATGGTTGAAGAATCTAAAACAGTGTTTGAGACGATGGCAGAGCGCGACGAAATCGCTTGGATTTCTATGATTGGTGCATATGCCCAGAGCGGGGAGTTGGATCAATCTAAGGAGCTGTTTGATCGAATGCCTGCGCACAATGCCGTAGCGTGGAACGCAATCACGTTCTCTTACACAAACGTCGGCGATCTTGAGACAGCCATCTCGATCTTTCAGTCGATGCGGGAGAGGGATTCGATAACTTGGGCAGCTATGGTAGCGGCATTTGCCCAAAAAGGGGAAATGGACATTGCTCGGGAGTTTTGGAGACGATGCTCTCAGTGGGATTCTGTGTCGTGGAACGCAATGATCGCCGGATCTGCGCAGTCGGGGGATCTCTTCGCAGCAAGAACAATCTTTGCAAGAATGGTTGGCCGCACGCTCATTTCCTGGAATGTTTTGATCGGAGCTTGCGTGACTGCGGGACATCTGGCAGCTGCAGTGGAAGCGTTTGATCGGATGCCATCGCGAGATGCTGTGGCATGGAACGCGATCATCACCGGGCATGCCCAGGAGCGAGATCTGGCCGCGGCGAGAGAGATCTTTGATCGATCGCCCGAGCAGGACGTGGTCTCGTGGAACACGATGATCACGGGCTACGCGCAGGCGGGGCGATTGCGCGACGCAGACCAGCTCTTCCGCGCCATGCCTGTGCGCGAGGTGAGCTCCTGGAACGCAATGATCGCAGCGCTCGCCCAGCGCGGGCAGCTCGAGGAATCGATGCTGCTCTTCCACGCCATGGTTCTGGATGGATTCAAGGCCGACGACGTGAGCTTCGCGAGCGTGCTGGGGGCGTGCGGCCACTCGGGGCTGCTGGAGAAAGGGTGGAGCTACTTTGAGCTGATGATCCGGGACTGGCGAATGCGCCCGCGGATCGAGCACTACCACTGCCTGATCGGTGTTCTTGGACGAGCTGGCGAGCTGGAGAGGGCCGAATCGGTCGTCCACTCCATGCCATTCCAGCCGGACCTCCTGTCCTGGACGGCGCTCCTTGGGGCATGCTCGATCCATGGCGATGTGGATCGAGGGCTGCGAGCTGCGAGATGGGCGGCGATGGAAATGGATCATCGCGAGGACAGTCCCATTCACGTACTGCTCTCCAATCTTTTCGCTACAAACTCACTGCCCTTTATAAAAGGTCTTTCATAGAAGTATATGCAAGAACCCTAATTTTAAGGACATGGCGAGCACGGTGATCATGCTTGGCTATGGCGACATGGATGCGAGTGAAACGGCCCGCATGGAGATGCGAGCCAACACCGAAGGACGCACCACGGATGGAAGCTTGGATGATTTGCGCTGGGGTGCGTGCTCGATCCAGGGCTGGCCAGATTACATGGAAGACAGGTATGCGATCTGCGTGGACAACAAGGATCTCATCGTGGGGGTCTACGACGGCCACAAGGGCAGCAAAGTTTCCAGTCTCTGCGCATCGCGCTTGCATGCCGAGCTCTTGCAAGCTCGAGCTGGAGGACTCCCACTATCAGATTCCTTGGTCAAAACCTTCATGGCGATAGACGAAAAAGTTGGACAAGACGAGAGTTTGAAGTACGAGGGAAGCACGGCTTTGGTGGTGGTCATTACCGACGGGAAGATGGTGGTGGCAAACGCGGGAGATTGCCGGTGTGTGCTTAGCAGGCAAGGACGAGCTCTGGAGCTATCCACGGATCATCACGGGGATGTGGGTGATGAGAGATCCCGGGTGATGAGAGCTGGGGGTTATGTGCATGGTGACCGTGTCTACCACGGGAGTTTGGAACTGGGAGTGTCCAGGGCCATTGGGGATTTTGGCTTCAAGACCAACGCTGGCTTGCGACAAGACGAGCAAGTGGTGATTGCCAAGCCTGAGGTAAGGGAGGAGGAGATTGGGGAGAATGACGAGTTCCTCGTGGTGGCGAGCGATGGCATTTGGGGTTCAAGGTCCAGTGATGAAGTGGTGGACTTTGTGGCGGACAGGCTGAGGAATGGAGTGGCGAGTTTGTCTGGTATGTGTAGGGATCTAGCTGAGAGCTGCCTGGTTTCTGATAGCAAGCATTCTTCTTCTAGAGACAACATGACTGTTGTGATTGTTCGATTCAAGTGAGTTAATATATGATCCAGAGATCGACTTTTCCTTCAAGGTCTCGGCAATGATCATTGCAGTAGCTCAAGTCAGGTCCTTGAACTGGGCTACATGATATTTTATCCAAAGAAACGCAACGCATATCATTGCGGTCTGAAGAGATTATCAAGATGAGGAAGAGCTGACACCAGCGTAATAAGATGTCTAATGCCCACTCGTCTGGAAGCTTTCAACAGTTTTGTAAGGCACAGTGCATATCAAATGAGTGAGTATTATATCACTTAGAAAAAGACAACACAGTTTTGTTTCGTAATAATTATATAAACTTCAATCACAATTAGAAGTAAAAATTTAAAACTAACTTCTAAATTTTCAGAAAGTAACAGTAGGAAGCCAAAGGTTCATATGATTGAATTTTAATAAACTGCTCCTAACCAACTATGAGATTACTTGGTCCAGAAAGATGGTGGTGCTTAGCAGGCAAGGAAGAGCTCTGGAGCTATCACGGGGATGTGGGTGATGAGAGGTCCCAGGGAATGAGAGCTGGGGAGTATGTGGTTGGTGACTGCCTTTCGGGATTTGGCTTCAAGACCGATGCTTTGCTTGCCAGAAGTTTGATGTTCAAGTGGTGATTGCCATAAGGGAGATTGGGGAGAACGATGAGTTTCTTGGCGAGTGATGCCGGTCGAGTGATGAAGTGGTGGACTTTCTGGCGGACAAGGAGTTATCTGGTATCTGTATTCTTCAGGGATCTGCCTGAGAGCTGCGTTGTTTCTGATAGCAAGCATTCTTCTTCTAGAGACAACATGGCTGTTGTTATTGTTTGATTCAAGTGACTTTTCCTTCATGATCTCGGCTGCGATCATTGCCGAGCAGCTCAGATCCTGTGCCAAGCTCGAGGATCTCGTCCGAGGGAAGCAGATACACAGTTCTATCCGTCAATCCTACCTCCGCAACGACAGATTCCTTGCAAATTTGCTCATAGACATGTATGGCAAATGCGGGTGCCTGGATTCCGCTGTAAGCGTCTTCCAAGCCATTTCCAATCCAAATGTCTTCTCGTGGAATATCATAATCGCTGCCTGCTCTCACAACTCGAATCTTGAACTAGGTACATTATATTTCATGAAAATGAGCCAACGAGATGCTTTGTCCTGGACAACACTTGTCTCTGCATATGCCCATGGTGGGCAATTGCTACTAGCACAGAAAATATTTTCTGCCATGCCGATGTGGGACGCTGTGTCGTGGAACTCGCTGATGTGGGGACTCGGGGAGGATGGTCAAATTGAAGAGGCGTGGAAGATGATCCATGCAATGCCAGTACCAGACCTAGTATCATGGACCGTGATCATCCAAGCACTCGCTGATGCCGGCGACGTTCCAAGAGCTCGAGAAATATTCGATGCGATGATCCAGAGAAATGGAGTCACTTGGCAATTGCTAGTCAGCGGGTATGCCCAGCTCGGGCATACGAACGATGCAAAGTTCCTGTTTGGTCGAATGCCACAGCACAGCCTCGTGTCGTGGAACTCAATGCTTGCTTGTTATTCGCAAGCCGGGAATCTCGAGGAGTCAAAGAAAACCTTTGATGGAATGAGAATAAAGGACGTAGCATCTTGGACTAGCATCATGACAGCATATGCCCGTTGTGGGCATCTTGCAGATGCCGAGAGAATTTTCACCGAGATGCCCAAGAAGGACGTGGTTGCATGGAACGCTCTCGCGGTGGCCTACAACGACATGGAAATGTTTGAGAGGTGCGAGGAATGTTACAAGAAGATGCCGCATTGGAATTTTGTGTCCCTCAATGGGTATCTCCACATGATATGCATTGAAAATGCCAAACAAGCCAAGGAGTTCTTCGATTCTATGCCAAGGAAGAACTCAATCTCCTGGAACAACATCCTGGCAGCCAGCCTCCGCCATCACAAACTCACAGACACGAAGGCGGTGTTTGATCGATCGCCAAAACACACTCCAGTGGCCTTAAGCACGATGCTCCAAGCGCTTGTCCTGGAAGGTGATCACAGCTCCTTCGATCAAGCAGAGCTTCTCTATCGCGAAATCCCGAACAAGGAACAGGACCTCTTTGCGTCGAGCCTCATGATCGCGGGGTACGCCCAGCGTGGAGAGCTAGATAAATCCAGGAGAGTGTTCGACTCCATGGAAGCGTGGGACTTTGTGTCGTGGACGGCGATCATCCAGGCCCACGCTCACAATGCCCAGATCGATCCGGCGCTAGAGCTCCTGCGACTGATGTGCCTAGATGGCTCCAGCAGCCCAAATGAGGTGACCCTCCTCGCCATCCTCAATGGCTTCGCCCATTGCGGCTTGGCGGAGGAATGCTGCGCTTTCTTCCTCTCAATCGAGCCCGACTTTGGAATCCATCCCACACTGGACCACTACTGCTGCGTGGCTGACCTGTTCGGCCGCGCCCGGCGGCTGGACGAGGCCGAGGAGCTCGTCGCCACCATGCCCTTCCTCCCAGACGCCATCGCGTGGGCAACTCTGCTGGGAGCCTGCCGGATCCACGGGGATGCCGCCCGGGGAGCCAGGATTTATGGCCGGGTCATGGACCTGGATCCCACGCACGCGCCATCGCTGCTGCTCGCCTCGCGCATTGCGGCCGACGAGTGATCGCGAGCATGCGCGCATTTCCCTTTACATGTTTTAAATCCGAAAAGAGGATTAGTTAAAAGTGTAATTATATTTAATATAAGTGTCACTAACCAAAAAGAAGGATTTCTATGCTCTAGATTATGTCCAGTTCAATGAGCGGAACCTTGTTCTTTTCAGGAATGTGTCTCCCAAGGGCTTTGAAAGCAGTGGCCATGAAGCAGGACTTAACCTGTAGATCATACCCCGACCTTCATGCTGGATTATGTTGGAGGCACAGTGAGTGAACGGATATGCGATGGTGTAGAGATCGTTTTGATGGACCGCAAGAGCAGCAGTGTTGATATTGCTCGCCACCTGGTTGCAAAGCGAGGTGGAACACTGTGGGAGGTATGACTTGGCAATGGTGTGTGAGATAGGGGAGGGATTCTAGCGTTCCAGTTGATGGCCAAGGATATGCCCACCCCCAAATGTATGGTAAAATGTTTAAAATATTAGATAAATATGTTAGATAATGCATTCTACCCTGGATGATGAGCTTGCTCCTACTTGCTTCCCTATCATGTCCAAAAAATTACGTTCCAAAACAAATTGGGCTTCCAAGTTGAGGTTCATTGCTATCTTTGATATTACAAGAAACCTATAAATCATCCTTCATCTACTGACTAGCACTTGAAATTACACCTTTTGAAGGATGATAAACTCTTAATGGTCATCAAACTCAACCATGAATCAAACTTTAGTATTTTCTTAATAAATATAACAATCATTTGTAAGTTAATCTTCTAGAGCTAAATTAACAGTTTGCCACGATTCTAAGCCGGTCACATTGCCAATCTGTCTGATTAATTGGCTGAAAATGACAGTTGCTAAAACTCTTAGAACCAAAATCCTTTTTAGAATCACCATGATGCCAAACCTTTACCTGGTATACCCAATATGATCAGTAATGGTGCTTCAATACCACTGAGATCCACCCAAATCCTACCTTCCATATTGTGTTCTCCCTCCTTTATAAGGATTCCTTGACATACCTTGCTCACCAAGCCTAAACGATCCAGGCCAAAACTATTCACCATCCAAACATGTAGAGTCCCATATAAATGGAACCCCAAAAGTTCATTCCCATCATTATATTCCAAGTGCTTGTTTTCAGATACCATGAAACTTTTGTTGTCAAGCCTCAATTACTTGTGTTTCTCCTCACCTCATTGTAATAGAGTCTTGAGTTGCATTTGTGGAAGCATAGAATGCAAGATTTAATAGATATAACCCATATCCAAGGGGAGCACATGCTACTTCACTTCCTTTTACACTACCCTGCATAAAAAGAAGAAAACTATCAAAAATAAAAAAATCACAAAACCTTGAATAATGCAAAAATGGAAACACCTCCAACAACTAGAAAGGTGCAAAGGTACTCAAGACACTGTACAAAATTGTCCTCATGAGCACCACTGGATTCAAAAGAGAAAAAAAGGAGCACATATAAATAACAGCCAGCTTTTCAGATTCAATCCATATACTTGCAATCATTTTTGATGATTTTGCCAAAACCTGGAAACAAAACTCTCAACTATAAACTTTAAAGAGCAAGTGAGAAAAGCAAGTGAAAGCTCATCTAGGATAACTAATGTATTTCAAAGCCTAAATTCCACAAACGGGATCAATAAAATTTGTAATGCTGACACTCCAATAGGCCCATATTGGAGCTTGAGAAGTTCTCTTGAAGACAAGCACTGAAGAAAAAGAGTAGTAGTGTGAGCTCTTCCACTACAGCAAGACATTATTAACACCAAAGCTTCCACTTTGAAAATGGAAAATATTAATTTGGGAAATGTTGATAATACTAATATGGGTATGACTATGTCTTTGCCCTTGTTCTTAAATTTAGGTAACAACAACATTAATCTCTCAAATATAGATAACAATAGTATCAATTTTTATTAAAACATGAGCATCTCCTACAAGAAGTGGAACTTGCAATTACAAGTGGAAAAAATAATATTTTATAACGTTATGTTAGTTGAAGAGTATTGTTAAGGGTGGCTAGAGTAAATGCATGTAGAAGTCCCACAAAGTTTTGATAGAATTCTAGCTAATATACTTAACTTGGTTTGCTTTGATAGATTTGGCTTTGTATGAAATAAAAAGCTTTAGAAGTGAACACTAAATTGCATAATTAATTTAGATAACTTTTGATAAAGACAATTACTAGAAAGTATTGTCACAATTTTAACATATCCAAATACATGTTTGAAAATGTCCGGCTATGCTCAAACCCTCCACTCCCTTTGAGTAATATGGGAAACTCATGCAGACATTGTAAAATGATTAAACTGGATTTATTTTATGAGGATCATGAGGATGTTAGCTAGACATAAAAATTGGCAATAAGAGCAAAAATAATTGCACTAATGTTGCTCTAGAGTCAAAGGAGAAAGTTATTGCAAAAGAGTATGAAATCTAACTCCTTTATTAAAGTGCTCAATTTATATATAGGAATAAATTGTTTAAATTGAAATTAATCTAATAGCTATCAAAATCCCACATGCTAATAAAATATATAATATCGTTAACATCAAATATCAAATCAAAATACAAAAAAAAAAAAAAACACTTTCCTGAAAACTTCATCCACCTTACAAGGATAACAATCTCACATAACTAAACCATATCATCTTTTCCAAAAGAGCCTAACTTCTCCTAGAATGTGTCACAATAAGCAAGGGAGGGACCAACATATTCACTGAATACTTCAAAGCTTTCAGGGAAATCGAGCTTCGCTTGTTGCATGGTTTCAATATGCTCTTTCCGCAAGCTTCAAGACGCTCGTAGACGCTTAGAGTTACTGACAAATAGAAATGAAGAAATCCACTCCAGACTCCCCGGGATCCCATTCGCACAGCACTTTCAAATGCATTTTCCCTGTAGTAGGAAGTTCACCCTCGTCACTAAGCAATCGATCCGACTCGCGAGAAAAATTTACCACCATTCTTACCAAAATATTTTCCAACACAAATAAGCAAACAAAACCACAAAGACTGGCATTGATCCGAGAACAAATCCCAGACTCGCGATCTCTCCCTCTCGATCGATCCATCCTCTCATAGATCAGCGCTTGCCGCCACCGCCGCCGAGCTTGGGCCCCTTGGAGACAGGCCCCCGCTGGATGGGGGCTTTCACCTTGGTGGCCTTAGACAGCACCTCGGCCTTCTTCGCCTTCTTCTCGTCCTTGGTCTTCTTGATCCTCTCCTTGATCTCCTTGAGCGCCGCCTGGCGTGCCGCTTCTCTCACCTCCGTCTTCTCGGCCCTCTTCTTCTGGATCACCTCCAGCGACGCGCCGACGATGGAGCGCGAGTAGGGCTTGGTGTTGGCCCGGCGCTTCCTCTTCACCGCCTCGGCCTGGGCGTCCTTCTTGTTGGCCTTGCGGTAGAGCTGCGTCCAGGTGAGCTTCACGGGCTTGAGCCGGTTGTGGAAGTAGCGCTTGCACTTCGAGTTCACGAAGAGGAACACCTGCGAATCAGCTCGCACGAAGCGAATGCCGCGACCCGGGTAGATCTTGGCACCGCTGAAGCGGCATACCTCCGTCTTGAGCACCATCGCCGCCCTCCTCTCTCCCCTCCGCCGGCTGCGCAAGAACCCTAGCAGGAAACCCTAAACCTAACTTTTTGCCCTGTTTACCTACCGGGTTCGATTCCTGTCAACACCTCTAAACCCTGAACCCCGTGCTCAGGGCTTTAGTGGATAAACCACATGGGCCATGACACGTGGCGGGCATCGAATGGCCCCGCTCAGAGATTTTTGCGGATAAGAATATTTGAGATTTTATAACCTAGAGGACGGGAGACAGGACGAGAGAGATCTTTTGTTCTTGCGGAGGAGCTGGCTATGGCGGCAGTGGCGTCGTCCTCGGCCACTCTCGGCCTCGCCGCCAACAAAGAGGTACATTTGCAGCATCCCGCATTGGGGATGTAATTCCGCTCGGGAATCACAAATGTGTGTCTGGATTTCAGGTTCTCGCCACATCCGCGAGCAATGCCGGCGCTTCTTCGTTCCTCGGCGCCAAAGTGCGCTGGAATCCGACAATTCAGGTAGAAATCTCGTGTTCTTGTCGAGAATTCACCGAATTCTGTGCGATTTCTCCAGGGTCTCCACGCTGCGAGGCAAATCAGCGCTCCTTCCACGGGCATCAGAGCTGTGGCTGCGCCGGTAGAGACAGCCCGGCCAAAGGAGGCGAAGAAGACGGCCAGGCAATCCACGGTGATAATTACGGGGGCTTCTTCCGGGCTGGGCCTCGCCACCGCCAAGGTCCTAGCCGAGACTGGCGAGTGGCACGTCGTCATGGCGTGCCGGGACTTTCTAAAGGCCGAGAAGGCCGCGCGCTCGGCCGGGATTCCAAAGGGGAACTACACTGTCATGCATCTCGACCTCGCCTCGCTCGACAGTGTCAAGCAGTTTGTGGAGAGCTTCCGGCGCTCCGGGAGGTCGCTGGATTGCCTGGTTTGCAATGCGGCGGTCTACTTCCCGACTGCCAAGGAGCCGACTTACAGCGCCGAGGGATTCGAGCTGAGCGTGGCGACGAATCACTTGGGCCACTACCTGCTGTGCCGGATGCTGCTGGAGGACATGGAGAAGTCGGATCATGCCTCTCGACGGATGATCATCGTCGGCTCCATCACAGGTAAGAAGACGAAGAATCTCGCGAAGATGGATCGAGTGACGAGAGTTTTTCTTGAGCAGGGAACACCAACACGCTGGCTGGCAACGTTCCTCCAAAAGCCAACCTTGGAGACCTCCGGGGCCTCGCAGCTGGGCTAAACGGAGTCCAGTCCTCCCCCATGATCGACGGCGAAGGCTTCGACGGTGCCAAGGCGTACAAGGACAGCAAGGTGTGTAATATGCTCACCATGCAAGAGCTCCATCGCAGATACCACGAAGACACTGGCATCGTCTTCGCGTCGCTCTATCCCGGCTGCATTGCCACGACCGGGCTCTTTCGAGAGCACATCTCGCTCTTCAGGCTCTTGTTCCCGCCGTTCCAGAAGTACATCACCAAAGGGTTCGTGTCCGAGGAGGAATCCGGCAAGAGATTAGCTCAGGTACTGCGAAAAACCATTCCTTTTTCTTTCTCGATCTTAGAGCTTTCTCTCTGCTACCAGGTTGTGAGAGATCCGTGCCTCCAGAAGTCCGGAGTCTACTGGAGCTGGAACAACACCTCTCAATCGTTCGAGAACACGCTGTCCGAGGAAGCCAGTGATCCCGAGAAGGCCAAGAAGCTGTGGGAGATCAGCGAGAAACTGGTTGGACTGAGCTAGAGTGAGTGAGCGAGAGATGAGAGACAGACGAACAGTGCAAGGAAAAATCACGCGCTAACTATCTAGAGAATATTTTGCCGAATGTTCCTAGTTTGAAATATTAGTGGTCAACTATTCAACGAAAAAGTTTTTATCCGCCAATTATACAGATCGAAGAGGTCTTACAAGGTCAACGCTCAGTCCCAATCCATTTGGGTTTCATCCTCTTGCTCGTCAGATCCTCCCGGAGGTGACAATGCCAGAAGAACTTCGCCGAGAACTTCCAGGCCTTCGTGAAGATCCTTGCCACTTTCCAGCGACAATCCTCCTCCTCCAGACGCTACTAAGTAGATCGATCCGGCTTTGATCTCGGACACGGTCCCCTTGTCCACGAGAAGCAGCAGCTCCTCGCTTGGATCATCGCTCTTCTTTCTCTGGAGCCGGAGTTCTCGAGCGTCCGGGAACAAGATGGTGATCGGGGACACCGCTGCTAGAACCGGCTTCCAGCCGGGGAGTGGCACCCAGCCCCGCCACGCCGTGCTCGACCTGTGAATTCTAAACGCTCCCTCGCCGAGAGCCCCGCCGGAAGGAGCGGCTTTGATCGAGCTCGCGTCCGGGTCCGCCACCGGGAGCATCACCAGCCCCGCGGTCTCTCCATACTCGAGCCTCACCACGCTCACCATCTTGGCCGGCTTCTCCTCCTTGCCTGCGAGTGCTTGTTTCTCCACGGGATCTTTCTCACCCAGCGAGCTTGACAGCAAACTCCTGGCGCTCTTCGAGGTGGCGAACTCGAGAGCTTTCCTCAGCGCGTCCTCTCGCTCGCCATCCTTGAGCTCCTTGCTCTGGCGGTACCACCAGAAGGCCAGGCAGTCACCCGGATCCGATGAGAAGAACTCCCTCCCAAACTCACGCTTCCTCCGCTCGAAATCCTTGAGCGCCCTCGCCACGTCCCTGGCGGCCTTGGAGTCGCCCATGGCCCTCTCGATCACGTACTCCGCCGCCACGCGCCGCTGGGGCGCGGACAAGATCCGGAGCTCGTAGAGAATGGCCGCGCCGCCGACATCGAAATCGAAGAACTCTAGCGATTTCGCGTCCATCCCAGTGGAGATGAGAGTGTCCCTCACCTGGCACGCCACCACAATCTGGTTTTGCTCCACGCCCGTGAGCCCCGTCGCCTCGTCCAGTGACGCCGGCGTGTAGCCGGAGCGCATCAGTCCGGGGATGTGCTTGCCATAGTCGTGCCACTGCCCCCGCCGCTCCCGGACGATCTCTAGCTGCTGCTCGGGTGACACCACCGATTCCAGCACGCCCGGCGGTGGGCGGAAGGGCTGATAGAAGGCGTCGCGCCCCCCTGGAGTGTTACTGAGCAGCAATCTATCCCGCAGGCTGCTGCCACACGCGAATCGGGCGCCTCGCCTGATGCTTGGAGCTGCCGAGTGGATATTGGCGACGGGGGAGACGGGAATCCGGAAGGAGCAGCAGCCGAGGGCGTGAACCTCCATGCCCGCATTGCCCGCCATGGCGTGACGCCAAAGAACCCTAAAGCTAAAACTATTTAAAGCTTTCAAGTGTAACTCTTTTTAGGGCAAAGATGTTAGAACCAAAGTTCTCGTGGTGGGAGGATTGCGTCCCAGAGACCGCCAAGGCCGAGGAGCTCGTCAAGAAAGTTGGCGAGCTTAGCAGGACGTTCCTGTGCGCCGGCAGCGGTACGCTGCCTCTTCCCAAGGATGGCCTCTCGATCTGGTTTCTCAAGGTATGTCCTTCTTGCTTTTGGAGTCGATTGTTCCTCTTCCTTCACAGGCGGATGGCTCTCCGACGTTGCTGGCTTTCGATGGATCGACGAGCCCCTCCCCCGCGGCCGTGGAGGGAATCAAAGCCGCAAAGCCTCCGCTTGCCTGCGATCTGGACGTGTATCAACTCGGCAACCTCGCTGCCTCGCTCGTCCAGGGCTACAACGTCAAAGCCGAGTTCCACAAGCTCTGCCTCCGGGAGACCAAGGACAAGTTTGAGCTTGTCCGCGGTGGCGAAGCCAACTCCTCCATGGGAACTCTAGTGCTGGTTCTTCCGCTGCCACACACCGGCGGCGACGTGCTCGTCCACCCGGCCTCTGGAAAATCTGGCGAGCTCAAGTTCCCCGTGACATCAAGTGGAGCATCAGAGCTTACCTGGGTGGCGTGCCTCCGGCCGCACAGTGTCGACGTGGGCGAGATCGAGTCCGGGCAGCAGCTCGCGCTCTGGTACAACCTCTACCGCTTTGGGCGCGCGACGGGGAAACGCAAGCGTGATGATCCCAAGAGGCTGCTTGGTGATCCAAAGTCTTCGCCTCTCTACTGGGTCCTCCGGGAGATTTACGAGAACGACGAGTTTTGCCCCGTCGCTGGCTGCATCCTGGGAATCCCTGGGACCGGAGATAAGCAGTGGGACGATATGATCGTGGAGATGGCGAAGGCGGCAGGCATGGGTGCGAAGAAGGTGGTGGTGTTTAGCCGGTCTGCTGGTGACACTAACATTAGTCTTCGCAGCGAGACTGGTGTGGGATTGAAGAGTGCTAAAGCGGTGGTGTGGTGCCGGGGCATGGGTTCGTTTCATTGGGAGAGCGATATGGGAGCGATGTATGGCGATCAGTATGATTATGTCAAGGCTGACGCGGTAATGGTGGTGGTGCCTTGCCTGGACAGGAGGCGGGCAAACCCGGGTGATGACGATGGTCCGCTTGTGGACTATCAGATCATCTTGGAGGCATCTGATGATGGAGAAGACGAAGAGTGCGATTTTTTCTTTTGCGACGAAGAGAAAGAGGAGGAGTGACGAAGAGGAAGTGAATTGCAACGGAAGAAGTTTAAAGGAGAGGGAGACAAACCTTTGAAATCTTTGCAGCAAAATATCAAATGAGCTTTTATTTCCACCTTGCAAATCCTCAACAGTACCCAGCTCTACACTGATAATTCTCTGCGTTTCTTCGTATTAGAACAAAACGGGTAGAGACAACTGAAGAGAACAAGAGCTCGATTTTCTTTCTCGTTCTCGTTCGTTCCTGTAGAGTCGACTTTTAGTGTCTTTTCATGTTGATCGGTGAAGCTTCTTATCATCGCTGTCAGCAGCACAAACATTTCTCATCGATGCGGCTGTGACACAAGAAAAAAGAGCTGGAGAGAACTAAAGAAAACGCGAACCTGATAACATGAAGCTCTGTCGAACCGTTGTTTTCTTGTGATCACAGTGATCACGTTGCTTTCCAATGTGTTTTTGGACTGTTGTTTTCATGTAGTTTGCACAGCCGTTGCCCTTCACTCCTTGGACCCTCTTGTAAGACCGTTGTTCTTAAAAACCGTTGTTCCATAGCTCCATGATCCCTAAATCCAAATAAGAGCATAAATAACAACACCTAGGGCCAAAGTTGGCAATGGAGTTCTCGTGGGCGGAGGATTGTGTCCCAAAAACCGCCAAGGCTAAGCAGCTCGTCAAGAAAGTTGGCGAGCTCAGCAGGACGTTCCTGTGCTCCTCCAGCGGTACGCTGGCGCTTCCCAAGGATGGCCTCTCAATCACGTTTGTCAAGGTATCTCCTTTCTCCTTGCTTTTTCATTGTAAATCGATCATTTGCAGGCCGATGGCTCTCCCGCGTTGCTGACTTTCGATGGGTCAACAAGCCCCTCCCCCGCGGCCGTGGAGGGAATCAAAGCAGCAAAGTCTCCGCTTATCTGCGATCTGGACGTGTATCAACTGGGCAACCTCGCCGCCCCACTCGTCCATGGCTACAGTGTCAAAGCTGAGCTCCACAAGCTCAGCCTTAAAAAGGCCAAAGACAAGTTTGAGCTTGTCCGTGGTGGCGAAGCCAGCTCCTCCACTTGCGTCGGAACTCTAGTGCTGGTTCTTCCGCTGCCACACACCGGCGGCGACGTACTCGTCCGCCCGGCCTCTGGAAAATCCGGGGAGCTCAAGTTCCCCGTTAGAACAAGTGGATCATCAGAGCTTACCTGGGTGGCGTGTCTGCGGCCGCACGGTGTCGACGTCGGCGCGATTGAGTCCGGGCAGCAGCTCACGCTCTGGTACAATCTCCACCGCCTCGAACGCGCTACGGCGAAACGCAAGCGTGAGGATCCCAAGAAGCTGCTGGGCGATCCAAAGTCTTCGCCCCTCTACTGGGTCCTCCGGGAGATTTATGAGGACGACAAGTTTTGTCCCGTCGCTGGCTGCATCCTGGGAATCCCAGGCACCGGGGACGAGAACTGGGACGATATGATCGTGCAGATAGCGAAGGCGGCTGGCATGGGTGCCAAGAAGGTGTTGGTGTTTAGCCGGGATGCTGGTGACCCCGAAATGTTACTGGGGGAGAAGGATGACATTCCGAACTATAGCTTAGACTGCACTGAACCGGGATTGAGCAGTGCTAAAGCGGTGGTGTGGTGCCGGGGCTTGAGTTCGTTTCGTTGGGAGCACGAGACGGGAGGGAAGTATTACAATGAGTATAATTATGCCAAGGCTGCCGCAGTGATGGTGGTGGTGCCTTGCCTGGACAAGAGGCGAGCAAACCCGGGTGATGACGATGATCGGCTTCAGCACTATGGGATCATCTTGGATGACTCTGATGTATGGGAGGAAGAGTGCACCTTTGAGTATGCCTTCCACGGGGACAATGTCAAAGAGGACGAGGACGAGGACGAGAGCGGGGAGGACGAGGGCGAAGGGAACGAGAGCAAAGAGGACGAGGATGAGAGCGGGGAGGACGAGGGCGAAGGGGACGAGAGCAAAGAGGACGAGGACGACGAGTGACGAGGGAGCCACTGGAGAAATTTATGGACTGCAATAGGCAATATTAGTAATAGACTCCCATCTTTTGAATAGAAATGACCACCACCACCAAACTAGAACAAACGAGTCCTCTCCAATCCCCCGTGTTCAAGCATCCATTCAAGGCCATCAGTCTGCTGACGGCTGCTGCCAGATCAATCAGTCTCCCACAGTTTGGCCATGCCGTGCTTAGCAAGCCGCAAGCATGCCTTACCTCCGAGCAGCACTCCTATCAGCAGTGGATAAGAAAAAACCAAGAAAAAAAGAACATCGAAACTTGTCAGCGATCTTTGGTTGATCCATGGGATTCAAAGCTTGCTGTCATCGTTATAAGTGCATTCATGGACAGTCACTAAAGCTTAAACTGTCCCAATGACCCAAGGCCAAGGAGCTCGTCAAGAAAGTTGGCGAGCTCAGCAGGACGTTCCTGTGCGCCTCGACTGGTACGCTGCCCATGGCCTCTCAATCTCGTCCAATCAACTCCTGATACGAGCTGATCGTGCTAAAGCCACAAAAGAAATGAGAGAGCAAGAGCGAGATTGAGCGTTACTTTCCTCAAGGTATCTCCTTTAGTCAAATGCTTTTCCTCGATTGATTCTTCCCTCACAGGCCGCTTGCTGATCCTCGAGCCCTTCCGAAGGAATCAAAGCCGCTAAACCCCCGCTGTCCTGCAATCTGGACGTGTATCAACTGGGCAACCTCGTCGCCCCGCTCGTCCAGGGCTACAGCGTCAAAGCCGAGCTCCACATAAAAAGGCCAAAGATAAGTTTGACATCCCGGACTATAGGCTTGGCAGCAAAATGACGAGTGCTAAAGCAGTGGTGTGGTGCTGGGGCATTGGTTCGTTTCGGTGGGAGCACGAGACGAGCGGGAAGTATTGCGAGTTTAACTATCCAAGGTTTGCCTGGGTGATGAAGCTTGAGAATTATGAGATCATCTTGGAAGCGCACCTTTGAGTATGCCTTTCAGGGGGACGAAGTGAGCAGTCGCTTGATTCATAGACTCCCACTGAAACCACCACCACGGTGATCATACTGCCCAGTCTATAGAAGAAACGAAGGTGAGAGAACTTAACGAGTACCTGAGTAAATGCTTGAAAGCGTCACGTAAGTTGGAGGCTCCTCCGGTACGAGGCCGATACATGTCCGTGCCGCCCGTGTTGCTCGCTCCACATCGCCGTGGACCCTGCAAGCATCCAGCAGCGACGTCAAAACCATGGGATTCGACGGCTGCTTCAAGTGCCCCGCAAACTTCTCGGCCTCCTCCAAGCGTCCGGTGCGTCCTACCAGATCAATCAGGCTGCCATAGTGCTCGCTCGTCGGCAGCAGGCCGTGCTCTCTGGTCATGGAAGTGAAGCACTCGAGCGCTTCCTCCAGCAGGCCGGCGTGCCGGCAGGCCGAGAGGACAATCACGTAAGTGATTGCGTCCGGCTTTACGTCCTCCTGTTGCATCCTCCGAAATGCGAGGATCGTTCCCCTGGCCTTGCCGTGCTGAGCATAAGCCGCAAGCATCGAGTTCCATGCCGCTGTGTCTCTCTCGGCCATCAGCTCAAAAGCAGCCTGAGCTTCCATGAGGCTACCACCCTTCCCATACATGCTCACGAGCGCCGTTCCCAGAGAGAGCTCTATCGCCAGGCCCCTCTCTCTCACGCAGCCATGGACAGCCTTGCCATCTTTCAGCGACGGCAAGCTTGCGCATGCGTTAAGAACCGTCGCAAACGTGAGCCTGTCAGGAACCACGGCTTCCAGGAGCATCCGGTGGTATACGTGCAGTGCTTCCCTGTCTTTCCCTTGCTTGAAGCAGGCCGTGATCATTGACGTCCACGATATGAAGTTTCGAAGCTCCATTTTCTCGAACAGGAGACGGGTGTCCCCGAGGCTACCGCACTTCCCATACATGTCGAGAAGAGAGTTGGCCACGCAGACGTCGTCCTCCAGCCCAGCCTCGGCAGCGTGAGCGTGGACTACCTTCCCAGCTTCGAGAGCTTCTTCGCTGGCGAACGAGTTCAGCAGGGACATGAAAGTTATCCCGTCCGGCTTGACACCTTCCAGTTGAATCCGCTGGTAGAGCCGGAAAGCTTGCGAGGAGCACTTGGCGTCGGCATAAACTCCAAACATGGTGTTCCAGGAGACGAGATTTCGCGAGCTCATGTTGTAGAAAACACGCTCCGAGTCTTCCAGAGCCCCGCATTTGCCATACATGTTGATCAGCGCAGTCCGGACCACGAGATCCGGGTCGCAGCGAACGTACTCGTGAATCATCCGGCCCGTCCGAAGAGCTGCTGGACCGGAGCACGCATTGAGCAAGCTCACAAACGTAGCTTTCGTCGGCCTTTTCCCTTCCAGCAGCATCTTGTAGAAGAGCTTGAGCGTGTCTCCATAGCTACCGAGCTCCGCGGACGCTGCGATGATCGCGTTGTAAGACACCACGTCCTTGTCCAGGATCATCCGGAAAGCCTTCCTCGCCTCGGCCAGGCAGCCACACTTGCTGTACAAGTTGACGAGAGCTGTCCCGACTAGAACGTTGGAGATCAATCCGCCAGCGGCAGCCTTCTCGTGGATGATCCTCCCTTGTTCTAGATCACCCGAGTCGGCACAGGCATTGAGCACCGCCACGAAAGTCACCTCGTTCGGAGCCACCAGCTTGAGCTCCATCTTCTGGAAGTTCTCCAGAGCTTGATCGTAGAACCCATGGTTGGCGTAGGCAGTGATCAACGCTGTCCAGCTTATCACCGTCTTCTGGCGGACTACATCGAAGGTCTCTCGCGCGGCATCCACGTCTCCGCATTTGCCAAACATGTTGACGAGCGCGGTCCCGACGGTGGAGTCCTTGCAGTGCTCGGTCTCTCCAACGTTTCTGGAAAGGAGATAGGCCTCTCGAGCAAGAGGCCCGCGAGCGCAAACATCGATGGCCGTGAAGAAGGTGACCCTGTTTGGAGCAATCCCCGCGAGCAGCATCCTCTGGTAGATCTCAAACGCCTTCCAGAGCTCACCGTTCTGCGAGAAGGCCGTGATCATCGACGTCCACGACACCACGGTCGTGGATCGCATCGCCTGGAACACGGCATAGGCGCGCGCGGGGCTGCCGCATTTGCCATACATTTTGATGAGATTGTTGTGGACGAAGACGTTGTCGTCGATCCCGGCCATGGCGAGGTTCTCGTGGACTTGGATCCCCAGAGCCAGGGATCTCTCGCAGGAACACACCTGGAGGAGGTGGAAGTAGAGCTCTGGATCCGGCCGCGCCTGCGCATTGATGCTCCCCAGAGCGTCCCTCACCTGGCCGAGATTTTGGATCGTGCTCTGGTACCCCAGGCATTCCTTCAAGATCGCCTTCTTCTTGCCCTCCTCGGTGCCGATAGCTGACGATCGCACAAATTGGATACATTTCTTGCCGCTGCTCCTGCGGATCATGAGATCGCTGGATCATCCATCGCGCCTCTCGGAAGAACCCTAATTTCTGCTCATAGGAAGAGAAATAAGATTTCTTGTTGGATGCGCGGCTCCGGCGTGGCGGGTTTAGGGTTTTAGATGTCTTCCTCGATCGCGCTGCTCGGTCCCTGTGGATTGGTCGCCAGGAGTAGTAACAGCGCAGTGCCTCGCGCCTTGCAAATCGATCGCGGAGGCCAGAGATTGAGAATGCCGCCAGCGATCGCTGCTGCGCGGCTAGATATTTCGGAGACCAGCGCCATAGGGACAAATTTTCCCGAGGTATCGATGTTTTCTTTCTTGTTCTTCCCCTTTTTCCAGCTAGAGATCTTTTCTCTTTGATTGACAGGCTCTTTCAAGCTTCGTAAGCCCGTCTGAGGGCCTGGAACTCACGGAACTCACTGCGATCTCGCCTCTAGACGGTCGATACGCGAACAAAGTGAAGTTTCTAAGAACCATTTTCAGCGAGTATGCGCTCATTCGCTATCGAGTCATTGTAGAGGTGCGTTGGCTTGCCTGATAGCTCTAGAAAAAAATTCCTTGACAGTCTCGTCCTTGTTTTTTCAGGTCCAGTGGCTGCTGAAGCTGTCACAAATTCCAGAGCTGAAAGAAGTTCCACCTTTTACGGACAACGCAAGGTCGTTTCTACTGGGTGTTCTTGCCGATTTCAACGTGAACGATGGAGCTGCTGTGAAGAATTTTGAGAGAGTGACAAACCACGACGTCAAGGCTATTGAGTATTTTCTCAAAGGTAGAATCAAGGATCATCCAGAACTTTCAAAAGTAAGTGACTCTTCCTTTTTACAATGAATGTTCTATCGTCTTGGTGTTTCCAGGTGCTCGAGTTCATACACTTTGGCTGCACTTCCGAAGACATAAACAATTTAGCATACGCTTTGATGCTCCTCAATGGTCGAGAGCATTTACTGAAGAAAATGGACGAGGTCATATCAGCTATACGATCCCTTGCCCATAAGCACGCGAATGTGCCAATGCTTTCACGGACTCATGGACAGGCAAGCGTTTTTTACGTTTTCTAAACTTTATCTTTTCATTAGTCGCCTTACTTGTTTTATAATATAGCCAGCGTCACCAAGCACCATTGGGAAAGAAATGGCTAACTTCTGCTACAGAATGGAGCTCCAGCGCAACCAAGTTGCGTCCGTGAGCATCAAAGGAAAAATGGCTGGAGCAGTCGGAAACTACAACGCGCATTGTTTCACGTATCCGGAAATCAAGTGGGAAGCTGTCGCTGAGTCTTTTGTCACGTCCTTGGGCGTGGATTTCAACCCATACACGACTCAGGTACTACAACCTTTTTCTTCTTGTGTTACTAAAAGTCGATCAACAGATTGAGCCCCATGACTGTATAGCCGAGCTCTTCGATGCTGTGAGGCGATTCGGAAACATCCTCGAGGACTTCGACCGCGATATGTGGGCTTATATCTCGTTGGGGTACTTCAAGCAGGCAAGCTACTGGCTTTTTCGATGTTTGTTTGGATGATTTTTTTTCCATCAGTAGAAAGTTGTCCCAGGCGAGGTTGGATCGTCCACGATGCCGCATAAAGTTAATCCCATCGACTTCGAGAACAGCGAAGGCAACCTTGGACTGGCAAAGTCTTGGTTGTCTCACTTAGGCTCCAAGCTTCAAGTCTCCAGAATGCAGGTAAGCTGCGTTTTGTAGCAGAACAACTCGTCATGGATCGTGATCTTTTGCAGCGGGATCTCACTGACTCAACTGTCCTTCGTCAAATCGGCCAAGTTCTCGCGCTGTGCGTGCTTTCGTACGACAGCACGCTGAGAGGAATAAACAAGCTCGAGGTCCGTGCTTGAAGTTTCGAGTCCATAACAAATCCCGTGCGTGATGATTCAGGTAGACGAAGCTGCAACACGGCGAGATCTCGACGCAACGTGGGAGGTTCTCGCGGAACCCGTCCAGATGGTATGTTTTCCCGTTTGAACCCCACAGCTAAAACCGATCGATCGCTGGTTTTCACAGATGATGCGACGCTACGGCATCGAGAAGCCTTACGAGAAGCTCAAGGAGTTCACGCGCGGGGCTGCGGTGACCAAAGAGAGCATGCGCGAGTTTATAGAGACTCTAGACCTTCCAGAGGCGGCCAAGGAGCGCTTGAGGCTCTTGACGCCACACACGTACTGCGGCAAAGCCGCGGAGCTTGCTTCTAATGTTTGACACAATCAAATCTTTCACAGTATACTGTTAAGGTACATGTCCATCAGGTTTGAATTTATTGTTGATACAAATTGATATGTTCTCATTGTTTAGAAACATGGTTTGATATGTTCTCAAATTTGTTGATTGGTTCTCAAAGGTAGTTTTTACGTTACAAGGCTTCCTCTTGGGTCAGAGTTATGTTACCAAAATGTTCTCGGGGGGGTCAACTATGGTCAAAAGAGTTGACCTCCGGATTATAGTCAACGACGTGGAAGATGAAGTCGGGGTACGCGAGCGTGAGCTCCTGGAGCGCCTTTAGCGTGAGCGGCCGCAAGATTGTCTCGTGCTTGGCCACCATCGCCTTCCATTCATCGCGATCGATCCTCCCATCCAGATTGGTATCCGCCTCGGCGAACGTAGCATCCACGATGGGATCCAAGTTCGTCCCCGACGGTAGCGCGCCCGCGAGGAACCCCTCGATATCGGACTTGACCAGGAAGCCCTTGCGCTGGAGGTCGTAGAAATCGAACATGAACTTGATCTTGGCGTCGCGCGGCGTGCTGGGGTGGAAGACCGCGAGGCCGCGCGCAAACTCGTCGAAATTCAGCCGCCCATCTCGGTCCACATCGAACATGTCGAAGAAGCGCGCGCTCATCCGGCAGCCCTGCGCCCAGGTGGCCTTGCTCAGCTTGAAGCTGCGATCCTCGCCCTGGCACAGACTAGCGAAGAGCTCGTGGAGGGCTTCGAGCTCGCAGACCTGGAAGGGCGTGGCGCTGGCGATCTTGGCCAGGCAGTCGATGTTGTAGAGCTTGTCTTTCGCGGGAGCGCCGCCGCCAAAGCAAGAGAAAACCCACTTGGAAATCAGACTGGCCATCCAATGGAAGAGCCCTAATCTTCTCTCGTTCTATATATATGGGATTCGCTAAAAAGGTACATCCTATCCAAGAATATGCCAGGTTAGGGTTTGTGGAACGATTGTAAGCTAGATCATCCAACTAAAGCACTGCTGGTCTAGTGGTAGAATAGTTCCCTGCCACGGAACAGACCCGGGTTCGATTCCCGGGCAGTGCAGCTACTTACAGTTTGTTATCCATGAGCTTCATATAATAGTTCTTATACTTCTAGTTGCAGCGTATGTAAGCTCGAAAGCATTTTCTCCTGTTCAACAAAGTTTATACTTGTGAAATCTTTGAATTTCTACATAAGATTTATGCAATGCCAAGACAGGCCCGAATTCCTGCTTCGAATGTGCTTAGTGCAGCGTATGTAAGCTCGAAAGCATTTGCTACTTCAGTCCTGTTCAACAAAGACGAGTAAACTTAAACTATACGTAATCTAAAAAATGCAAGGAACACACACTTACGATGAAGTAGGGGCTGTCACAGACTCATCTAAATACGTGAATGACCTGTCTTAAAGAAAACTTAGAAATCTAGGATGAGATCTTTCAAGTACATAGCCATACCTTATCAGATTTTCCAATGCCAAGTAGGCCTTGATCTTAACTGGATCAGAGTTATCGAGCAAAGACGCCGCATTCTTGACAAGGAGTCTAAATGTACACACCTGATCATCAAAATGGAAGTTTTGTACTTGAGAAAGAGAGAGTAATAAGAAAAGTTTGTAAGAGACCTCTACACCTGTGCGGCTCTGAAGATCCAAGATTGATCCAGCTTCCACGGGGATGCAATCACGAGCAGCAATCCTGATGAGATTTCCCGCTTCTAATGGATTTGACGAACCTGCAAATTTACATGAAAATCTTGGAGCACGAAGAAAGAGATTGACTTAACTGAAAAGAAGAAACGCACTCTCCAAACGTTCTCGTGAGCGAGCAATTGGTACCAGCAAAAAATCTGCTGTTCGTTTCTTCTGTTGTTTGAGCCATTCCTTTGGTCCTGCTGGAACAACAATTTAAAGATCTCTATCATGCAAAAACTCTAAAGAAGAAGTATATAAGCTTCTCACAAGTCCCCAAAGAAAATGCTTGGGCCGTGTCGATCTTCTGCGAGCAAGCTGTGATGGCCACTGCGAGTGAAACTAAGCTCAATCTCCGGCTAGCAGCGCTGCATTTCGTAGAGACATTTTTGTCTGCCTGCTGGAGTGAAAACTGGCGAATTTCACTGTGGCGTGCCTCCATAGTTGCCGCCGCCATAGCCATTCTCGCCAAATCCTGTTATCCTTCCACGTTGCAAGAGAATATATTAAAGTAATTGACCTAAATTTTGTTAATTAGGAGGCTATAATCTTTAGCTTAGTCTAGTTGAGTCCGCCAGCTGCAGCATAACATCGCAAGGGCGTTCTTTCAAGATCCAATTCGATCAACATGGAGATATCTGTGAAGCTCGCTTTTGTCATGTTAGCAGCTCCAATGTGTCTCTTGAATTGCGCAGCTCCATCGAACGCGGACGCCACAATCGACTGTCAGATGGGCGACTTCCAGGACGTGGGCACCTTCCCTATCGGTATCTGCAAATGCAGCGAAGGATGGACCAACATTCTGGGCTCGCCCTATCTCCCCTGTGGAATACCAAAGTGTAAGGATCATGTACCTATGCTTTGTGCCTCGAGCTTTATCTCTTCTTTGCTCAATCCAGGCGACTTTAAAATGAGCTGCGATGGAGTGGATCCCGGCTCCCCGCCACCAACCCCAAATATCTCATTCAGTCGTAAGCGCTCGTGCCATTTGTGCTTTGATGATCGTTTCTCTAGCAGCTTGTTTGATCCCTTCCATCTGTGGCGAGGGTGGAGACTGCATATCACAAGGACTGAGCCTCGCCTACACTTGTGTGTGTCGCAACGGATACAGAAACCTGCTGAATCTTACGTCGGGAGTGTGCTTTCGAGACTGTAAGTTGTCAAGTTCCAAAGGTTGACGGACATATTAAGGGCCATGCAGGCCAACTTGGCGAAGGATGCCAGAATTTGGTGCTTGGAATCAACCCAACGATTGAACCGCTGTCGCCACCACCACCAGTCCCATTCCAAAATAGTGAAGATAAAAGTGGTCTAGGCAAAGCATTCTAACATTTGCTTATTCCTGCAGAGGGTACCTGGCTGCTTCCATCGCCATCCCTTTTAGTGCTTGTGCTCCTTGTCACCATGATCACAACTCTTCTGGGCATATAGCTGTTTGACAATAATTTGAAGTAGCGAGGAATCGTCTTGAACTCCATGATCGTGGCTTGTTTCATCGCTCGAGCTCATCCATTTTATTACACAGCACCATTTTTTGTCAAGTCGAGCCGAAGCCTTTCCATGATTTCTTTTGTAGTTTGGCTTTCATGGCCCACAATGTCATCCAAACTAATTGGGGCTCAATTTCTTCGAAGAACACACACTTACGCGCTGTAACCGACTTAAACGACCTGTCTCAAAGAAAACAAAAGAAATCTAGCATGAGATCTTTGAAGTACATCGCCATACCTTTTCAGCACCGGATTAGAGTTACGCCGCATTCTTGACCAGGAGTCTAAAAGTTCACACCTGATCATCAAAACGTTTGTGCTCGAGGAGAAAAAGTATATAAGAGACTTCTGCACCTGTGTGGCTCTGAAGATCCGGGAGGGATCAGCAATTGGTACCTCGTTTGTTAGATTAAGGTGTGATTGCCACTGCTAGAGAAACTAAGCTCTCTGGCTAGCAGCGCTACATTTCGTAGCTACACTCTTTTCTACCTGCTGAAATGAAAACCGGTGCTCTCGCTGTTAATAGTAAAATTGAGCTAGCAGTAAATTAAACATAGTCCAGAATTAATTAATATTTTAAATTTAGAGGTTAAAATTTGTTTGCTCTTGTTGAGTCCGCCAGCTGCAACATAACATCCGCAAGGGCGTTCCAAATCGATGAACATGGAAATATTTGTGAAGCTCTCTTTTTTCGCGCTCGCGTCAATCTTGGCATCTCCAAGTCCGTGAATGCTTTTTGTTGAAATCTTGACTCCTCTAAATCTCTTGAATACACAGCTCCATCGATCGCGGATGCTACAATAGACTGTCAGCAGGGTAACTTTCAGGACGGTGTCTGCAAATGCAGCGAAGGATGGACCAACTTTCTGGGCTCGCCATATCTCCCCTGTGGAATGCCAAAGTGTAAGATTCACGTAGTCCGGTAGCTTTAATTCCACACCTCAATCCAGGCGACTTCAGGATGAGCTGCGATGGAGTGGATCCCAGTACCCCAGCACCACCCCCAAATTTCTCAATCAGTCGTAAGCGCTCGCGATTCCTCGCCCAGATTTGCTCTGATCGTTTCCGGCAGCTTGTTTGATCCCTTTCATCTGTGGCGAGGGTGGGGACTGCATATCACAAAAGTTGAGCTTGGCGTACACTTGCGTGTGTCGCAAGGGATACAGAAACCTGCTGAACTCTACGTCGGGAATGTGCTTTAGAGACTGTAAGTTCTAAAGTTTCAAAGGTGTTAATGGACATATCAATGCGCGACGAATAACCATGCAGGCCAAGTTGGCATGGGATGCCAGGATTTGGGGCTTGGAATCAACCCAAAGATTGAACCTCCGCCGCCACCACCAGTCCTATTCCAAAATAGTGAAGAATCTCAAAGTGTTCTAAAAGCAAAGTATCCTAACATTTGGTTTTCCCCGCAGAGGGTACCTGGCTGCTTCCATCGCCACAGCTTCTGGTGCTCGTCCTCGTTGTCGCCATGATCACGACTCTGGGCACATAGATGTTTGACAATATTGTAATTCGCAAAGAAGTAGCAAAGTTGTACGTTGCATGCAAAGGAATCAACTCGAGGCCCACTGTTTGATCAGATCACTAGAGCTCATACATTTGATCACAGCACCACTTTTGTCAAGTCAAGCTTAAATCTCTGGAAGCCCTTGCATCTGTGGTCCAAAAGCTTGACTTCCCCGGTCCACAAAGTCATCCAAAGTTGGAGCTCTCTCGCAATCTTGTGATCACAGTCCAAAAGGAGAAAATTACTCAAGCTTTACAGACCTCTGAAAGAGCCACGGTGATGGCAGCACTTCTTCTTCTTCTTTTTCTTCGCGCTTTGCCACAGTGATGGCACCACTTCTTCTTTTTGTTCTTGTTCTTCTTCTTGCGACCATCGCATCCCCGGCTCGTTACGAATGGGATCACGATTGGAAGGTGTTCAACAATGGGAGCTTGAGGACGATCCCAGCCGGAATGGAATATGGAAGCTTTCGCCAAGTGGTGGACGGTCGCGGCCATCCAATCTCGAGCGACAACAGCACGCTGTGCCTCGCCTTCCTCGACTTGAACAGCACCGGCGGCTTCTACCTCTCGGTGATGCTGGGAGTCCACACCAACCAGGCGGTTCCCATCTGGACCGCGAACCGGAACTCCCCAGTCTCGAGCAACGCCGCCATCCAGATCCTCAGCGGCGAGATGCGGCTCGTCGACTCGCAGAACCAGCGCGTCTGGAGTCCCTTCAAGCTCGGGATCCGCGGCATGGAGCTCACCGAGGACGGCAACTTACGGCTCTTCGACGATCAAGACGCAACGCTGTGGCAAACTTTCGACGATCCGGTCGACGTTCTCATGCCCGGCCAGAGGTTCCGGACTGGCAGCAAGCTGGTGGCGAGCTCCGACAAGTCGAGCATGGTCGAGGGCCTGTTCGTGACGAGCGTCGAGGTGAGCGGACTGGCTCTCTACTTGAGGTCCTCGGACGCGATGGTGGCGCCGCAAGCTTATAGCATCTCGACCATGCAGAGCACCGTCGTGAAGAGGCAGCTTAGCACGGTTCTCCACGAGTGTCCCTCGTACCACGCCGTGTTCTCGTTCTCCGGTGCCGACTATGTGCTCGAGTACGAGGCCAAGGATAACTCCACGGCCGCGTCTGGCTTGCTGCCGTGCTCGGCTCCTCGGAGAGTCCACTTCCCGTTCATCGACACCAGCTTGGAGTTGAGGTTCCTCCGCCTCGAGCACACCGGCGATCTTGTATCGTATGGCTTCGACTCGAGCTCGGGCTCGTGGAAGGCGGACTTTAGCTGGGAGTCCCTGGTGCAAGATAAAGTTTGTCCGACTCCTCTCGCCTGCGGTCGATATGGTATGTGCCAGTCTCGAGGCTCGGCTCCTTGCAAGTGCCTCTCGAGAGCCACTGGGCGGTATGAAGTAGACTCGAGCACCGCTTGTCCATCGCCACCACCTTTCATCACTGCTGAGACGTGTTCCGCTAGATCAGAGGCCCCTTTGCAGGATTTCCTGGGAGTCTCGTATTTCCCGAACAAGCTGCTCCAGCCGGATATGGTGTCGCCCCTGGACAAGTGCCTGAATATGTGCAAGGCAAACTGCTCCTGTGCCGCGGTCTTCTATAGCAAGAACTCGAGCGGCTGCTACTTCGTCAAGGACATCCTGGGAAGCTTGGACTTTGATGCCACTGCTGCGGTGCAGTACTCCGCCCATCTCAAGCTCGAGAGTGGCAGCATTGTCCTGAAGCCTGGAAACAATAATGCTCAACGAGCTGCAAAGCTTGCCGGAATTGCTGTTGCCTCTGCGATTGCAGTGGTAGTCGCCTTGGGTGCCTGTGTCCTTGGACTCCGGAAGCGAAGGAGGCTCAAGGAGGAGGAGATGACGATGAAGGCCCTGCTCAATTCCATGCCTGGTGCCACGCCTCACAGGTTCTCGTACAAAACTCTCAAGGTGGCGACGAGAGGTTTCACGCAGAAGCTGGGATCCGGCGGCTTTGGCTCCGTGTATGCTGGAGTGCTCGCGAACGGGACACGGTTGGCCGTGAAAGCTCTTGAGACGGGTGGCGGCCATGGTGGTCACAAGCAGTTTGTAGCCGAGGTAGTGTCGCTGGGGACCATCAGTCACGTGAATATCGTCCGGCTCTGCGGCTACTGCGTGCATGGCTCGTCGAGGTTGCTGGTGTACGAGCACGTAGCAAATGGTTCCTTGGATCAGTGGCTTTTCGACAGCGGCAAAAGGAGCTTGAGCTGGGAGAGCCGCTGCAAGATTGCTCTTGGAACTGCGAGAGGGCTCGCTTATCTGCACGAAGAGTGTAGAGATCCAATCATGCATTTGGATATAAAACCGCAAAACATACTTCTGGACGAGGACTTCACAGCCAAAGTGTCCGACTTTGGGATGTCCAAGCTGCTGACGGGCAAGGACATCACACAGGTTGTGACTGGGGTGCGAGGAACTCCCGGCTACCTGGCCCCCGAGTGGCTTCTTAACTCCATAGCCACCAAGAAGTGTGACGTTTACAGCTATGGAATGGTGCTGCTCGAGTTGATCAGTGGAAGAAGGAACATCGACCCAGGCAAGCTTGCATCGTCCGGGAATGCTCTCGACTGGTACTTCCCAATGTGGGCTGTGAACGAGTTCAAGGCAGGAAGGCTTTTAGATATAGTGGACGAGACGGTACGTCGTGTGGAGATTTTACCTCTTGTAGAGACGCTGTTTAAGGTTGCGCTGTGGTGCATCCAAGATAGTCCATCGGTCAGGCCTTCGATCAGCAGAGTTTTGCAAATGCTTGATGGGCCTTGCGATGTTCCAGAGCCTCCGCTGGATTTTCAGTTTTATTACCAGCAACAGCGTGCACCTTCAGCCAACGTCTCAGTTATCGCTCCAGTTTCACTGTCAATCGAAGCTAGATAAGTTGGAAGAAATAAGAAAACAGCTGCCTGCTTTGCTTACCGCAGTAAAGGCTCGAAGGCTACTAGAAAAATGGCCTGAGAACTTAGAAACTCCACCTGTATGATCAGATCAAAAGGTTATTAACGACTCAGATAAATTCAACAGTACCTGCTTTTGCTTCCATCGCTACACCTCATAGTCGTGATCACCAACGTAATTGCTTGACAGTAAACCTTTACTTAGAACTCGTTTCTCATCCCCTTGTACGTTGCATGCACCCAGTAAACTCATCCATGCTGCTTCACTCGGCATGAAAGGCATCGACTCAAGAAGTTCTTCAGCGACTTCTATCCGGCCTGCTCGAGCAAATCCGTCAATCACACAGTGATAGTGCCGTAACATCGGCCGCACTCCATAGTCCACAATCATGGACTGGAACTGCTTGCAAGTTTGTTCGATCAATCCCCGGTGACTGCATGCCAGAAGAACACCTATGAACGTCACCTCGTCTGCCTCGACGCCTTCGGAGCTCATGAGAGACAGAAGCTCCAGAGCTTTATCAAACTGCCCGTTCTGAGCAAAGCCTCCGATGATGGCAGTCCACGAAGTCGAATCTTGCTGTGGCATGTTGACAAATATGCTCAGGGCCGTTTCGGTGTCACCCTTCAGCGCATATACTCCCATAGCACAAGTGAAAGTCACCAGGTTCCACACCGGCATTAGATGGAAGAGCGTAAGAAACTCTTTCGAGCAGTCGAGCTGAGTAAATGCCGTGACTATGGCGTTCCAGGAGAGCTGGTCTCGCCCCGGCATGCTCTGGAACATAGACACTGCTTCATCCAGGCGACCAGCGTGAGTGTAGCCTGAAACCATGATGTTCCACGAAGAAACGACCCACTGTGGCATTCTATCAAACATCGTTCTCGCAGCATCCACTTGATCGCTCTGTGAAACCGCTGAAACCATGACGTTCCACGACACCAAGCTCCGCTCCTCCAATCTCACGAACATCTCCTTGGCCTCCGCTAGATACGAGCTTCCAGCCAAGACCAGTGCCGTGAGCATTGCATCGTTGGAAACCACGTCCCACTCTGGCATCCTCGCGTGAGCGCCTCTGGCCAGTCCAACTTCACCGTTTCGAGCATAGCAGCCAAGCAGCAGCGTCCAGATGATCAAGTTCCTCTCGGGCATCTCGTCGAACAAACTCTTGGCCTTGGAGAGATGCCCGGCATGGGCATAGACGGTCATAGCACTGTTCCAGGCCGGAAAGCTATGCTCCGGCATCAGGATTAGAATTATCTCTGCGTGCTCGCAGTTCTTCTGTTGATCGTGAGCAGCTATCAGAGCCGCCCAAGACACCGCATTCCTGGATTCCATCCTCTCAAACAATGCCTTTGCTTCTTCCAGATGCCCTGCCTGGGCATACGCTGCGAGCATCGAGCTACACGCGACCACATCCAGCTGTGGGCACCTGCGAAAGACCTCCAGGCACGATCCAAAATCCCCAGCCTGCGCGTGAGCGTTCATCACGCTTCCCCAGGAGATGAAATCCCGCCGCGGCATCGATCCAAACAGCGATCTGGCCTCCTCCACAAGCCCGTTCTGTGCATATGCCTGGACCATGATGTTCCACGAGTGGAGATTCGCATTGCGAATCCCATCCAAGACCTCGCGCGCTCTTCCGGGTAGCCCGCAGCGGCCATACGCCTCGATCAAGTGATTGCACACAAACCTGTCGTGGCAATGCTCGGATCCAAGAATGCCGGCGTGTAGCGCCTCCAAATCTTGCGCGCAGCCGCAAGATTTCAAGCCCTGGACCAGCGCTAGTGCGGGATCGTCCTGTCCGGAGAAGCGCCGGGTGATCGATCGCATCAACAAGTCATGCCCTAGTCTCGGATAGAATGCGCCAAGAATGTCGATATCCAGTCAAGCAAAGCGGACAAGCTATAGTGCTTTCCATCCATTGTTCGATGCGACGGCCAGGATAGACGACGAATCGTCAGGCGATGGACGGCTCGGGTCGCACCATTTGGATTATGGAATGTTCCAGCGTCTGGTGTATATGACAACAGAGTCGCCTATGGCAAAAGAACGTTTTCCTTTCGGGGTTTGAGATTTTGGCTATGGCGGGCGGCCGCTCCCTCTTGACCATCCTCGTCTTCCTGGCGATCGCGGAGCTGGGCGCGAGCAAGAGGTACAACACCACGGCCGGCATTGTCGCCGGCAAGATCAACGTCCATCTCGTCCCACACACGCACGATGATGTCGGATGGCTCAAGACTGTGGATCAGTACTACATTGGATCCAACAATACCATCCAGGTGTGTTTTCTGCGTGAATCCAGCTCTTTCGCTGGATTTTCGGATCATCCGCGGCAAGAAATTGGGGGAATAACCTAGCGATTGACAGGAAGCTGGAGTCCAGTACATTCTCGATAGCATTCTCATGTACCTGACGAGTAATCCGGATCGAAAATTCGTGTATGTCGAGCAGGTACTTGCATTGATTCTTATCTCTCTATTTCTTTCTTTGAGAATCCAGCAGTAATTTTCTCGAGTTTCAGGCGTTTTTCCAGAGATGGTGGAGAGAACAAACAGAAGAGGTGCAAAGTGTTGTAAAAGAGCTGATCCATTCCGGAAGGCTTGAGCTCATGTAAGTCGATCGATGGCTCTTTTACTTTCGTGTTTGTGAGAGGAATTTCACGGCGCTTCCAAATTGTAGAAACGGGGGATGGTGCATGCACGATGAAGCAGCGACGCATTACATAGATATGATTGAGCAGACGACCCTTGGACACAAGTATATCAAGGAGCAATTTGGAGTGACTCCTCGCATTGGATGGCAGATTGATCCTTTTGGTCACTCCGCCGTTCAAGCATATCTTCTAGGCGCCGAGGTACGAGATACAGCTTTGTCATGGCTTCTGGCCTTACGTACTCTTTGTTTTTGTCCATTCAGCTTGGTTTTGACGCATTATTTTTCGCCCGAATTGACTATCAAGATAGACGTCAAAGATACAAGGACAAAAGCTTAGAAGTTATTTGGCAGGGCTCAAATACTTTAGGCTCGGATGCACAGGTGAGTTGCTATTTAGTAAGGCTAAAAGATTGATTAACTCTCTCTGGAGAGCAGGTATTTACAAGTATTTTTCCAGTCCATTACGGTCCACCAGATGGTCATGGTTTAGCTTACGAAGAATCAGACGAGATTCCAGTTCAAGTAAGCTGGTTTTGATTTTTAAAAAATCGCGCTATTTACGATGCTGTTCCAGGACGATCCTTTGCTTTTTGATTATAACGTGAAGGAGAGAGTGGACGCATTTGTAGCTGCAGCTCAATCCCAGGTTGATTGCTATTGTAAAAAAAACGATCTGCTAACTGTTTCTTGCAGGCAAATATAACACGTACCAATCATATAATGTGGACCATGGGAAATGATTTTAAGTACGCATTAGCTGGCAAGTGGTTTGTGCAAATGGATAAGTTCATTCACTACGTGAATCTTGTGGGTACGTAATATTTTTTTCTGCTAGACTGACGAGGGGACTGATGCAGGATGGTAGAGTCAACGCCCTATACTCAACCCCATCAATGTACCTTGACGCCAAACACGCTGCGGATGAAACCTGGCCGCTGAAGACGGACGATTTTTTCCCGTAAGCTTACAACTAGAAGTAGTATTATTCATTTGAAGTTGTTGTTACAGGTATGCTGATGATGGAAAATCTTTCTGGACTGGATATTTCACCAGTAGAGCTGCGTTCAAGGGATATGTCAGAGAAGTCAGCGGATTTTTTCAGGCAAGAACTTTGTGCGTTCTGTCTAGCTACTGATAGGTTTACCAGGCAGCAAGACAACTTGAGTTTCTAGCTGGAAGGAAGAAAGATGGTCCTAATACTGACAGCTTGTGGGATGCATTGAGTATTTCTCAACACCATGATGGTGTTAGTGGAACTGAAAAACAGCACGTCACAAATGATTATGCGAAGCGCCTGGCCATTGGTGCAGCTGAGGTATGCTTTAATTCTATAGGATGCTACGCTTTTTTATTGACGATGACTTTGCAGTCGGACTTGGTTGTAAAGTCGGCTCTGAAGGCATTAACAAGTTCTTCTGAAGAGAATTTTGTGAAGGTAACTTTTAAGCATGATATTTTCTCCTTAGAACGCTTGTTAATTCTCCAGTGCCCGCTTCTCAACGTCAGCTTTTGCCCGTTGACAGAACACGCAAAAAAGAACTTGGTATAGACTCCAAGTTTCATGCAGCAATGCTAACCCTTGAGTTTTGCAGGTTGTAACAGCATACAATCCACTGGGATGGCAAAGAGAAGATTATGTTCGGATACCTGTATGTACATTAAAAAATTGTTGAGGTATGCTTATGCTGAGGCCTTGCAGGTTAATGAAGAAGGACTAGTTGTAAAAGATGCCTCTGGTAAAGCAGTGCCCTCTCAGCTTGTACCTGTGAGTGACGCAACGAAAAGAACCAGATCCTATTACGTACGTGCTAATCTCGGGGTGGCTCCGGGGACACCTCCTAGTTATTGGCTTTATTTCAAAGCTGCTGTACCTCCTCTTGGTGTAAGCACATACTATGTTAGTATTGGATCGGCAGACACTGGTAAGTTTTGTGCTACTAATTTGACTCTATATAATCTACTCCTCTGAATGCAGCAACAGTGTCAAAGTTCGAAAGCAGCAACGGATCTAGTTCTATTGCAGCTGGATTTGATACTAAATTGACATTTTCTTCAAAAACTGGTCATTTGACAAGAATATCGAATGGCAAATCTGGGGTATGTAAATAATGTCTCGTGGCGTTACCATTCATTTTTATTTTTATTTTCAGGCTGAAACTCCTGTTCAACAATCTTATTACTGGTACGCCGGCTATGCTGGATCCGGACAGGTATGACACATAGATTACAATGTCTTGTCGTGATGGATTTTTCATCTGTGTCAGCACTCGGGAGCATATATTTTTCTTCCAGATGGGCAAACAGCCACACCGGTGGCAAGTGAGGTAACTTAATATTTATTGCATAATGCTGAACAAGGTTTCACGTGCCTTTCTCTTGGAAGGTGTCTTTAAAAATTGTTCGAGGGCCTTTAGTTGAAGAGGTTCACCAGGAAGTTGCTCCGTGGATCTACCAGGTGCTGTGAAGTTCTGCCTATATTCTTAGTTTATATGTTGTTGCTTGAGTTTTGCAGATTTTCAGATTGTACAAAGATGTCGGGCATGCAGAAGTAGAATTTGTGGTATAAACAGCTAGATTCTGGACTGCAGATCTTAACTTTCCTTCCTTTATTCAGGTTGGCCCGATTCCAGTTGACGATGGAATCGGCAAAGAAGTAATAACCAGATTCACAACTGGCATTCCCAGTGAGGGCGTGTTTTATAGTGATTCAAATGGTCGTGACTTTATAAAGCGGGTAAGAAACTGAAATATATATTTTTCTCTTGCTGATGTTTCTGCAGGTAAGGGATTTCAGATCCGACTGGAAGCTAGAAGTTACACAACCAGTTGCTGGGAACTATTACCCGGTAAGGCTGCTACTTGCTCTGCTTTGTGGTTATATACTTCGGTAATACGTGTAGGTGAATCTTGGAGTTTACCTGACGGACAAGAAAACGGACTTTTCGATTTTGGTTGACCGTTCTGTTGGTGCCGGAAGCATTTCAGATGGTCAACTTGAAGTCATGCTACATAGGTGTGCCTTTCTCGATTTTCTTTTCTTACTGTATAAATTTTCTCTGTAGACGCTTGCTAGTTGATGATGGGAGAGGAGTTGGAGAGGCGCTGGACGAAGTTGTCTGTCTGCCTCAACGAAACTCGAGCAACTGCGAAGGCTTGACTGTGAGTTTAAGTTTCTTTCGGTTCTTTGGACTAGTCGCGTTATGTTATTTCTGTTTAACAGGTGCAAGGCATTTCTTATATTAACGTGAACCCGGTTGCCAAAGCTGCTCGTTGGCGCCGGTATGAAGGGCAGAAGAAGCTGTTTCCTCTACAACTTTATTTTGGAACAACGGTACGTGATGCTATAAGTACGTGCAGTACGCAGTCTAACTTCGCATTGCAGGATGGGGAGAACAAGATAAATGGTTTCACCCCATTTGCGTCGGGATATGCATTACCAGAAAACGTTGGACTTATAACACTTCAGGTGGATCAATCTCTGTTTGGGTGAGCTTCTAACTTTTTGTGCTTGACAGGCATTGGACAATGGAGATGCTCTGTTGCGTTTGGCCCATTTGTACGAGGTACGACAATAAGTTGGTTGGCTAAAATACTAAAAAACCGCATCCGACAGGCTGATGAAGACGAAGATTTATCCAAGACCGTAACTGTCGACCTGAGCAAACTCTTTCCAGGCCGCAAGGTAAGCTAAACTTTCTCCACTAAGTAACAATACTAAACGCTTCCCACTTGTGTCACGCTCCAGATCAAGTCGGCGACGGAGCTCTCACTCTCCGCGAACCAAGAAAAGTCCAACATCAAGCCTCTCAAGTGGACGATCGCAAAGGCCGGAATCACTCGAAAGTCACCGCGGGGAGCGGCACTGGACGCGAGCAAGATGGAGGTGGAGCTCGGATGCATGGAGATTCGCACCATCCAGATCCACTTCGAGTAAGTTTCCTTGCTACTTACTATAGCGTTTTGGCGCTGGACAGGAACAAGAAAAAATGTGCTAATGCCGTAGGGACAACAAGCTCGAAGAGAACGCTGCTGGCGCTGCCACTCTTCGTGTTGCTTAAGCTCACGCAAGCGAAGAGAAAATAATCCAGATTTCCTATGGCCAGAAGGACACATTAAGTAGTTCCAATGTTGTTACATTTGTTTGATTGGCTAGGCTAGGGTTCTTTAATCGAGCGCGTGGAACGGGAGCGCAGCGACAGCTCGATTTGTTCGATCCATCCAGCGCAAGTTGAAATCGTTAGCTGTCCTGTCCTGCCCTGTTCTTGTCGCTGGAGCACGATCGAGCGATCTATTCGATCTCCGTGCTTAAAGGCGCGATGATCCAGTTCGTGAGCTCCAGATCGACGTCTACGTCGGCCGCAGCATCTACAGTGGTGAGCTCCAATTGGCAGATTCTCTTAAACAATGCCGCTGTTGCTGCTCCTTGGCGGGGAATCTACGTTCACAGCAAGATTGCAAGCAAAGGGTCCACTTTTGTGAGGACGCTCGCTTGTTTGAGAGCTTGTCCCTCTCAGCCGGCTATGGAGGTAGCAAGGCTTGACTCGCATTTTCCTATTTGCGTTCGCTGGTTTTGATTTCGTTTCTCCAGCGCCACATCGAGGCAGATCCAGGAATGGGGCTGCCAGCACTGGCGTGGAAGCGGAGGCTGGATACTCCTGTGGTGGAGCTCACAGAGTTTAAGCCAACTCTCAGAGAAATACTTGAGATGGTTTGTCATTGTTTTGTGGAAGTCAAGATCTCACAGGCTTTGGTTTTGTTTGCTCGAATTTCATAGCTGCCGATGGGTGTCCGGCTGTGGAAGTTTTGCAGAAGTGAGCACGAACAAGGACGGGTAGCGTTTTCTCTAGATCGATGGAAAATTCGGTTCTTAGCTTGGTTTTTTCTTTCTCTCGCAGAGAGCGCCTATCGATCCATTCTACCCTCAAGATACGCCGGCTTCTTCGTGCCAAGGTGTTCCTCTCGGTGGAATTGGGTCTGTATATTACTGCCTTCGCTTTGGAAGAGTGAGTCGAGTCTTGTTAACTCGTGTAGAGTGATTTTGGAATTAACGGCCGTGCAGGGGAGGAAGCATTGGTAGAGGTTTCCGAGGTGATTTTTCACGATGGCAACTGCTTCCAACCGTTTGCCAGACTTCTGCTGTTCTAGCTGATCAGTTCTCGGTATGAAGTGAAGCTTTCCCTTCTTGCAGCTAACGTATGCTGAAATTCTACGCAGGTTTTTATCACCCGGCACAGTAAAGATGGTACAACGCAAAAGACCTCATCAGTGTTGTTTCCTGGTGAGCCAGTTTTTGAAAGGTACATTTTCGGACCAAAGCCTGCTTTTACGCGCTGACTTATTGTTTTTTTTCTTTTTCTTACATAGTAAGGAGACTGAGTCCGGGATTTCTTCTTGGAACTGGAATCTAACTGGGGTAAAAAGCACTTATTACGGGTTATTCCCTCGTGCCTGGACAACTTATGATGGTAGGCGAGCATCTTTCCTTTTCGCAAATGATAAGTGTTTTAACAATTCAGGAGAACCGGATCCCCAAATGAAGATTACATGCCGCCAGGTTTCGCCATTCGTACCACACAACTACAAAGAAAGTAGTTTTCCTTCTTGTGTCTTCATCTATGAGGTGGGCCAGTTAGAACTCATTATCAGCACTAGATGAGCGGTTCTTTCAGCTTGTAAATACAGGAGATGAAGACGCGACGGCTACGCTGCTTTTTACGTGGGCTGTAAGTCGTTTCATGTCTTTGACTTCATGTAATTCCGACGGATATACAGAACAGCATTGCTGGAGGATCGGAAACATCTGGAGGCCATGAAAATTCTCCTTTCATGTGAGTAAGCGGTGATACGCATGTCAAAGTTTTAACTTCATGAAGCAGGGAAGAGGATGGAGTCCGTGGGGTGCTTCTTCATCACAGGTAGTAGAACAAAGGTTTCCAGGTTTCAATAAGCAAGACTTTTTATTTTTATTTCACTTTTTTCAGGAAAGAAGAACACTCTGTGACGTTCGCTATTGCGGCAAGGGAAACGGACGATGTTTCCACATCTGTCTGTCCTTGTTTTCTAGTCGCTGGTTCCCCGGAGGGAAATTCTTATCAAACGGCGAAGGATATGTGGAGTGAGATAACAGAGGTCGGACCGCTTAGCGTTTTCAAAGAAGACATTTCCTTGTCTTGTTTTTACAGAAAGGATGCTTTAATGCCAAGAATTCGACGATGTCCGCTTCGTTGTCGCAACCGGAAACCGTTGTGGGAGCTGCTGTTGCCGCAAGTGTTGTTGTTCCAGCACACGGAACAAAATCCATCACCTTTGGACTGGCATGGGATTCACCTAAAGCTACCTTCTTGGGTGGTAGCTCCTACTACAGGTAAGGAGATAATCTTCTTTATATTAGCTTCTCGAGCGGAATTCGCAGGAGGTACACGAAGTTTTATGGGAAGTCTGGCAACGCTGCATCGAAGCTTGTTCACGACGCCATTTTGAGTGAGCGAGGACATTTCTCCGCATTTTACCTGATTTCGCTGTTGTCTATAGATTACAAGCGCTGGGAATCTGAGATCCATGCTTGGCAAGAACCGATCCTAAACGACCACAGCCTTCCAGAATGGTGAGCGTAATAACTTACTTGCTGCTAAGTTTCTGATGAGGCTGTAGGTACCGCTACACTCTATTTAACGAGCTTTACTACTTGGTGGCTGGAGGAACGATATGGACAGGTATGAACATGAAACGCATTTACACGACCTTGCTATGTGATTTAAGTTTTTCAGATACTTGCCGTCAGGCGTGTTTAGCTCAGAAGCTTAACCCGGTAAAATCCAATGGAGTCTCGGAAGCATTGCTAGACGCTATCAACGCAAATTCGGAGGCTCAGTCATTTTGGTCCATTGGTATACCGGCGGTCGAAGATAACGTGGGACAGTTTCTCTACTTGGAAGGAGTGGAATATCATTTCTGGAACACGTACGACGTGCATTTCTACGCCTCATATGCACTGCTGGCCTTGTTTCCACGGCTTGAACTTCAACTCCAGCGAGACTTTGCGGCCGCCACCCTTTCGCATGATCCAGAAAAGATGTTTTATCTGGCATATGGCAACACCGGCATCAGAGCTGTTTTCGGTTCGGTTCCACACGACCTCGGTACGCATGATCCGTGGAACACACTTAACAGCTACAACTTGCACGACACTAGCAAGTGGAAGGATCTGAATTGCAAGTTCGTGGTTCAGGTAAACAGAGACGCAGCTGCTACAGGGGATCTGGAATTCGCGAGAGCTGTCTGGCCAGCCGCATATGCAGCCATGGCTGTCACAGACCAGTTCGATAGAGATGGCGATGGTATGATTGAGAACGACGGTGTTCCGGACCAGACTTACGACCTCTGGACTGTCGACGGTGTGAGCTCGTATTGTGGAGGACTGTGGGTGGCAGCACTCCAGGCAGCGTCGGCATTGGCTGATCTAGTCGGGGACAAGCCTTCATCCAGAATGTTTCACGGCAAGTTCCTACGAGCAAAGGCTGTCTACGAGAAGTCACTGTGGAACGGCTCTTACTTCCACTACGACAAGAACAGCACCTCGGTCCAGTCGGATCAACTCGCAGGGCAGTGGTATTCTCTGGCTTCTGGACTTCCTGGAATCGTCCGCGAAGATCAAGCTACCAGCGCGCTTGGGACGGTTTTCGCCACAAACGTCATGCGGTACAAGGGAGGAAACGAAGGCGCTGTCAATGGAATGCTACCGAGTGGCGGTGAAGATAGGACTTCGCTCCAGTCTCGGGAAGTTTGGGCAGGCACCACTTATGCTGTGGCAGCGGCTATGATTCAGCAAGGCATGCGAGAAGAAGGATTCCGGACTGCCAAAGGAGTGTTTTTGAATGGATGGTCCGACCAAGGACACGGGTACGTATCGCTCGTTTCTCTGTCGAGTTTGCCAGCGATTAACGCAGTGTTTCGATGTTTAGATATGCTTTCCAGACTCCAGAAGCCTGGGACAACGATGGAAAGTATCGCTCACTGGCATACATGCGACCGCTTTCGATCTGGGCGATGCAATGGGCTCTCGATCCTCCAGAGCAGCTCAAGCAGCGAAGTTGTAGCGTCGAAGTTGGCGATATCACAGCGCAGGAAGTGGAGGCTTGCAACAAAAGCTTTGCGAAGCTGGCTTCGCAGCTGAAGGAGCTATCGCCGCCGGAGGCGAAGGCTTACTCGTCGGTGTGGATCTGGATGTTCGACTATATCCGCAGCCGCGTCTATCCCAGGGGATGATCCAATTCGAGAAAAGGTGAAAGAGGAAGATCAAAGGGATTGTCTACTAAAAGTATAAATTCGATCGAATGGTGAGAGATTTTTTGGATGTTAAGGAAGAACGGGCAAATCGTCGGATGGAGCGTTTCGCAAGGTCTATCGCCTCTACGAGAGAGGTAAGAGCGTCCATTTGCTGTACGTGAGCAGGTTTTCTGAATTGTTTCTGGCCCACAATCGGAGAAGCTATGGATGGCCATTGTCGCATTGTTTGCCACAGCCCACAAGGATGCAGAATTTTTTGAAATGGTGAGCATATCATTATCAGATGAGCAATACATTTCTTCACGGAGTTCCTTGTCAGCATAAACGAGACATTTCTTGTTACAATCTGTAACAGTCTCTTGATAAGATGAGAATGAAAGCACGTCAGCCAACTTTTGAAGAACAGCTCCCCAGAATTGATTGACTGTGTAAGTAACTTTGAGGTTGATTTGGTTTGTAGCTAAGCGTTGCCTGTTTTACAGGATCCCAGCAGATGCGGTAACCTTTTCACGAGGACTTTGTGGTGTTATGACCGAATTACAAAGGTGGATACTAGGCCTTCCAATCATGCACGGTTCCTCGAGTTCATTAACTTCCTTGCTTTTGACTGATAACCAGTCCTGTTAAGATGTTGGGCTGGCCATCCATTCGGCTACAGCCTACAGGGGGCAAGAAGAGTTTGGTCCAACACGGTTTGTTGATTTTATCCAGAGTTCGGCTATAAGGATTGCGCAAACGTGACAATGAAGAGGTAAGCTTCATCCACTCGTGAGAGCTATGAGGACATGGATTCATCTTCTTCTTGTGCTCCTCCAGGTTGCATTGGCATTGGCTGCAGACCCTTCGCACCTTGTGCAAGGGCTTCCTGGGCAACCAGAAGTTGGATTTAAGCAGTACGCAGGTCAAGCTGAGATAAACGCCACAGCTGGACGTGCACTGTTCTACTGGTTCTAGTCATTTCTGAGGAGCTTTACCAAGAATATAAGACCTACTGTGGGAGGGGGAGGAACGATGACGAAGCATTAGCCAGATGTGGAAATGCTAGCTCCCAGATCTTTGATTTGACTGGCTACATTGATCGTTACAACATCTATGCACCAACATGCAACTTACTTTCAGGACCGGATGATGAGGCTTGCCTTGATTCTGTGACACCTTACCTCAATCGCCAGGATGTTCAGGCCGCCTTGCACGTCGAGACAAGACCAGTTCGGTGGCGTTTATGCAAGTAGGCGTTTAATCCAAGACTGGATACTGAAAGCTGATTTTGATATTGTTTTTGGCAGCCCGGATATTGACAGGAGCTACTTGCCACTCGATAAACAGCGTTCAATGCTTCCCGTATACCAGAGTTTGTTCAAGAGTGACTTGAGAATCTGGATTTACAGGTTTGTGAATTACATTACAAGACAACAATCTGAAGCACTTTTAACACATGTCATTCATAGTGGGGACTTGGATTCTATTGTTTCGACGCTTTCAACCAGGAGCTGGATCAAAGCACTCAATCTCACTATTGTTACTCCATGGTATGCGTGGAACTACACAAATCAGGTAAGCATCAACTAAATCTTGTTGAACGGGGGTATACTAGTTAACTCTTTTAAACTGCAGGTTGGTGGATGGACTGAAGTGTACTCAGAAATGACATTTGCGACAGTAAGAGGCTCTGGACATCAGCCTCCAGTTGACAAACCTGGCCAGGCACTTACCTTGTTCCAACACTTTATCGAAGGCAAGGCACTGCCGTCGTTTTAGCTGTAACAAGGGATTGTCAAGAAATAAAACTCAACATTTGTTTAGTACATTTGAAATTTTATCTCTTGTTGTAGCTTATGTTACTTAAACATGTACTATCCAGATTAAGCACAATGAGGTGCTGGCTCTTGGCATCTGCTGGTGGACTCGCATTGGGATGGTGGGAAGCTGAGGCTTTCTAATAATGATCTTCTAGTGAATTTGCAACTACTTGTGATCTCCAGATGCTATCCACCATGTTATGAGTGATTCTATCTTCATCAAATTAGTTGAATCCTTTTATGGTCGTGCAAATGTTGTAAATCAAATGTCAGGTGTGACCAAGAAGTTGCATAAATCTCTCTATTAACCAGAGATGCAACTGTTCCTAATAAGTGATTGTTTAATTACTTTAAAGTAATTAAAGGTCCCCAAACCTGTCCCCAAATATAATTGGCTTTGATTATAAACCTCAGAGTACATCGCTTGTCAAGATGGGGATTCCTTGTTAGCATGAACAAGGCATTTCTTCAAGGATGAAAGCACGTCAGAAGAACAGGTCCCCAAACCTGTCCCCAAATATAATTGGCTTTGTATATACTGATTTTCAGGCTATGATGATTGATGACATCTGCAATGAACAATATTTATCAATACAACAATGAAGATCTGTGACTTCAAGATCTTTGAGTGCATGCACTCGTGCTTTTAAAATTATTTTAGAGTGTTGATGTGTACTTGTAATTGCTCTTGCAGCCTTGCTTATTTGCTTATTGCATAATGTTACCCTAGCGCCTTTGTTTCTCTCAATCATCAGATAGTACTCTTCGCAGTTTTGACACAGCCGGCGCCGCCTTCATCTGGCAGCTTCCAGCCGTAAGAGCGTCCATTTGCTGTGAGCGAGTAGGTTTTCTGAATTGTTTCTGTCCACATTGTTTGCCACAGCCGCGGGCAAGGATGCAGAATTGGTGAGAATATCGTTATCGGAATGCACTCAGCTCAGATTACATCGCTTGTCAAGATGGGGATTCCTTGTCAGCATGAACAAGGCATTTCTTCGAGGATGAAAGCACGTCAGAAGAACAGGTCCCCAAACTTAATTTACTGTGTAAGTAGCCTTGAAGTTTGTAGCTAAGCGTTGGATTCCACAGACTCAGAAGCGGCAACCTTTCAGGATTTGGGTTGCGGAAGTCTCCAAATTTGAAACATGTTTTGAATTCGGCTCCAGACGACAGGTGGCAAGAAGAGTTTGATCCAACACGGTTTGTTGACTATAAGGATTGCGCAAACGTGACAATGAAGAGTTAAGCTTCATCCACTCGTGAGAGCTATGAGGACATGGATTCATCTTCTTCTTGTGCTCCTCCAGGTTGCATTGGCATTGGCTGCAGACCCTTCGCACCTTGTGCAAGGGCTTCCTGGGCAACCAGAAGTTGGATTTAAGCAGTACGCAGGTCAAATTGAGATAAACGCCACAGCTGGACGTGCACTGTTCTACTGGTTCTTCGAAGCAGATCACCCAAATGCGTCTTCCTTGCCGTTGGTATTATGGCTCACCGGAGGTGCTTCTTTGATGATACGCAGCATTTGTAATATTTGTACGTTTCTGCAGGACCGGGATGTTCATCCATTGGCGCTGGAGCTCTTGGAGAGACTGGTCCATTCAGCACAAATAACTCAGGCACTGGGCTCGTTCGCAATCCATACTCTTGGAATAAAGGTTTTTTCTTTCTCCTAGATCCTAGGAGTTTCATCTGCTTGATCCGATTTCATGTGCAGCTGTGAATCTCATCTGTTTGGAGATCCCTTATAATACCGGTTTCTCATATACAAACTTGCTTTCTGATGGGGGAAATTACACAGACAATCAAACAGGTACTATACCACTTGCTTGTGGTTCTCAACTTCTCATAAAACGTGTTTGGGATGCAGCCAGCGATACTTTGCTGTTTCTGCTCGAATTTCTCACAAAGTTCCCTGAGTATAAACAGAATGACTTCTTCGTTGCTGGAGAAAGCTTTGCAGGTATGCATACTTGAGGTTTGCACAGTACGTAACACTTGATTCCCTGAAGGACATTACATACCAACGTTGGCATCGCAAATCATTTCACATAATGAGCAAAATGGAAATCGTATCAACCTGAAGGGGTTTGCTGTACGTTCACTCTTACACTACACTACATTGAAAGAAGCTAATTTTTATACATTCAGATTGGTAATCCTTCCACGGACGTCGACTATGACGGTCCTGGTAACATTGAGAACTTGTACTCGCATTCAATCATTTCTGAGGAGCTTTGCCAAGAAGAGAAGACCTACTGTAGGAGGAATGATGACGAATCAATAGCGAGATGTAGAAATGCTACCTCCCAGATCCGGAACCTGATTGCCTACATTACTCCTTACAACATCTATGCACCAGCATGCAACTTACTTTCAGGACCAGATGACGAGGCTTGCCTTGATTCTGTGACACCTTATCTCAACCGCCAGGATGTTCAAGCCGCTTTGCACGTCGAGACGAGACCAGTTCGGTGGCAGTTCTGCAAGTAAGCGTTTAGTTCAAAACTGGATATTGAAAGCTTTGATTTTGAAATTGTTTTTTGCAGCCCGGATATTGACAGGAACTACTCGACACTAGATAGAGAGCGCTCAATGCTCCCCGTATACCAACATTTGTTCAAGAGTGGCTTGAGAATCTGGATTTACAGGTCTGTGAGTTACAATACAACAATCTGAAGTGCTTATAGCTTACAACACGTGTAAAACACAGCGGGGATTTGGATGCTGTCGTTTCAACGCTTTCAACCAGGAGCTGGATCAAAGCACTCAATCTCACTGTTGTTACTCCATGGTATGGGTGGAATTACAGAAATCAGGTAAGCGTCAACTAAATTTTGTTGAGTGCCAGGAGTATATTAGACAACTCTTTTAAACTGCAGGTTGGTGGATGGACAGAAGTGTACTCAGAAATGACATTTGCGACAGTAAGAGGTGCTGGACATCAGCCTCCATTTGACAAACCTGGCGAGTCACTTGCCTTGTTCCAACACTTTATCGAAGGCAAGGCACTGCCATCGTTTTAGTTGTATTAAGGGATTGTCAAGAAATAAAACTCAACAAGTACATGTGAAATTTATCTTTTGCTCTAGCTTATATTACTTGAACATGTGGTTTAAGTTGGAATATCAAATTCTTTTTCAGTTCAGCTTCAAATTCATTTTTATTTGATAGTTTACCAAGTCGGTGGTGATCGATCACGAGCCTGGAGCTGACAGCCCTTCTCGCCCATTCGCGAGAGATCCCACTCTGGGGATAGATATCGTGCTAGACGCTCAACTCACGAGATTCTTTAGCGGTTTCTTTGTCACGCCGCCCTTTCGATCGATGGAGGGCGATCACAGATCGCGCTCTCGGCCAGCTATGTATCAGCCGATCATGGTAGTGTTCTTGGTTGTCTTGGCGCTTTCGTCACTCCAAACTCCTTCCGCGGCACTGGATTCGATTGCGCGGCTCGGGCGTTGGTGGCGAGCGAGGATTTCTCGTGCTTCGAGGCCGCCAGCGCCGAGAGTGATGGATCCTTCTTCCTGCCTTGCTCTCCCGGCGAAGTTCCCGCCTCGCGGCCTTTCGTGGCGGCGTTCTCGTATCCTTCCATGGTGGAGCTCTTGAGCATGACGAGCGAGGAGCTGGTGCTTGGCACCGCGGAGCACGGCGTGTGGGAGCGCTACCGCGAGGTGGCGACGAAGAAGATGGACATCGCCACCAAGGAGGAGCTCTTTGATCGGCTCAAGGAAACGTTCGCGGACTTTAGAACCGGAGAGCTCCTGTGCTGGCCGGGGTGTTTGGAGAGCTCGGCCGGATCGAGGCTGGAGATCAGTGCCTCGGTTCTGGATGGTAGCAGCGGAGGTCCGATCGTTCCTGCAAATCTTCCAGGATACTTTGTTGGTGTTCTCAGCGGTGGAAGCAAGGAGAAGGACGTGAACCTTGCGACGTCGACAGACTCCATGGAATTCGTGGAGGCATATGAAAGATTTGTGCTGCCTCATCTTCCACCGAAAGGATCCATCGCGTGGAAGAATCGCGACGTTGCTGCGTTTGAGAGATGGATAGAGAAGCACAACTTAGATCGGAAAAAGAGCTCTAGCTTGTAAATCAAAGCATTTGATTCCTCAAACTTAGAACACAAACAACTTCCATAACTTTCTTTCAGTTCCCAAGAAACATTGCAAAGCATTCGATTCTTCCACTCCGGATATCAAAAACACAAGAACAACATCAAAACAACGAAGAACTTTCATACCTGTTCTTTCTCTCATTTCTCCAGAAGCATTGCTCGGACGCGAGTGGGAAGGCCATACAAGCGGATGAATCCGGCAGCGTCACCCTGGTTGTAGATCCCACTGCCCTCCTCGAACGAAGATATGTCCTGCCTGTAGAGGCTGAAGGGGCTGGTCCGGCTGGCCACCACCGCCGACCCCTTGAACAGCTTTTGCTTGACACTGCCGCTCGTCGTCTCCGTCACCTTCTCCATGAAGGCGTCCAGCGACTCCCGGAGAGGATCAAACCATCGCCCCGCGTACACCAGCTCCGCGTACTTGAGCGCCATCGTGTCTTTCATCTGCATCGTCTCGCGATCCAGCGCCAGCGACTCAGCTCCCGCGCTGCTAGGCTCAGGATGGTTCCACCGGGCGTCTCGTACACTCCGCGGCTCTTCATACCGACGAGCCTGTTCTCCACCATGTCCACTCTCCCGATGCCGTGCCTGGCTCCGGCATCGTTGAGCGCTTCCAGGAGTTTGGCGGGGGACAGAGCCTTGCCGTTCACCGAGACTGGAAGGCCTCTCTCGAAACTGATCTCCAGGTACCTGGAACGAAGAGATTTCTTTCAGTGAAAGAGACTGAGGGAGAGCTTACTCTGGCGTATCAGGAGCTTTCTCTGGATTTGTAGTCATGACAAACATGTCCTCCTTGGGTTCGTTCGCGGGGTCCTCGAGAATGTCTCCCTGGAAAAGAGGTCGCTCGTCGTTAAGTCACGAAACAAAAAGGAGATTTGCGATACCTCATGTCTAATGTGCCAGAGATTGCGGTCTCGGCTGTAGATAGATTTCTTCGTCACGGGCACGGGTACGTTGTGCTTCTTTGCATACTCTATGGCGTCTTCGCGGCCTTTTATGTCCCATTCTCTCCAGGGCGCAACAACAGCTAGCTTCGGGTTCAATGCGAAGAACGTTAGCTCGAATCTCACCTACAGAAACACGAGGAAACCACTTCTCATGTATACGAAGAGAGGAGAAAAAAAGCACGAAACTTTGTTACCTGATCGTTCCCTTTCCCTGTGCAACCGTGAGAAACGGCATCAGCTCCAACTTCCTTTGCAGCATCAACCATGGCCTGCACAAAAACCAGCACAAGCTCAATGACCATACAGCAGTTCCTCACTTTCACAAACTTGCCTTTGCAATTACAGGGCGAGCCATCGAAGTTCCAAGCAGATACTTCCTCTCGTACACGGCACCAGCTCGCAAGCAAGGGAAGATAAAGTCTTTCACAAACTCTTCTTTCAAGTCCTTGATGATCAGCTGGCTTGCACCGCTTGCCTTCGCTTTAGCTTCCAACCATTCGAGCTCGCCCAGGCCCTGGAAATCACAGAACAGAGTGGCAAGGAAGAAAAAAAGAAATGCTAAGAATCGGCAGAACAAAAAACACGAGATCGACTTACTTGCCCAACATCAGCTGTGAAACACACGCAGCCATAGTTCTCCCTGATCCAGTAAAACAAAGCCAAAACTCTCAATCCAAAGAAGAAATCGCTGCATGAGATCCAAATTACCTGAGCCACGGCACGATCACGGACGTGTCCAAGCCCCCACTGTACGCTAGAACCACCTTGTTGAGCTTCTGCCACTGATCGCTGAGCGCTAGAATGCGCCTGCTCGCTGGCGATTGCTGCTACATTCCCGGACGAGGAGCAAGCCATCGCCGCCACTCTACTCGCTCTCGAGATCGGGATCCTCACAGCGAAGTGCGCCGCCCTAGATCGCGGAGCTACAGCAATGCTGCCGGACGAGGGAGCCAGAGCCGCCATTCCATAAACCCTAATGGAGAATCATACTATACTTTAAACCAAAAAGTAAAAGTATTTCCAGTGAAATACTGACACCATGGTGGTATTTACACGTAAAGTCAGGATGGCCGAGTTGGTCTAAGGCGCTAGTTTCAGGTACTAGTCCGCAAGGGCATGGGTTCGATTCCCATTCCTGACAAAATATTTTTTCTTCATGTGAACTTCCAGAGTTCGGAAAAATCGACGTCCTCGTCTCCCACGGGTTGGAGCTCCTCCTGTTCTTGCGATGGTTTTAATTTCTTGAGTGGCGGCTGGAACGAATCGGCCGTGCTCGTCGTGGTACCCGAGGCTTGGTGGATCTGATCGTCGCAAGTTTGATGGTGTTTGCGCTGTTCTTGTTCTTGAGGACCGGGCGAGGGCTCGTCCGAATTCTTGTGACACGATCGCGTCGCCTCCTCCGTCTTGCTGTACATTCTCTCGAGATATCTTCCGTGGTCCTCGATCTTCTTCTGCAAATCTCTTTGAATCTGCCAAGGTTTACGAGCACAATTCGATTAGACCATCAAATGTATAGTTCGAGAAATTTGTGCAGAGAACCTCGAGCTGTTCGTGGAGTTGCTTTTGGACTTCGAGCTGCAAGCGCAGTGTCTCGGTGATCTGCAGCCCACTGAGAAAGAGAGAAACAAGTTAAAATAAATAAAAGGTGAAAAGAGTTTTCAAAGAGTTTTCCTAGTCAAGTACTACGTATAACGTACGTTTCTACGTTCAATGATGGGAGCTCCAGCGAACATTGCTTAGATTGCTGCTGTTTTGCTGTGGGCCAAAAACGCACAAAATATTGGACCATCCAAAAGCAAAAAAAAAAAAAACAGAAGAAAGAAAAAAACAGTTGATCATTCGTACCAACGGGGCTGGGTGGAAGATCTTTGACTAGCCTGTACTTCTGTAAAAAATATTTTAAATTAAAAAGTATAAATAGAAGCCAATCCGACCAATAAAACCAAAAAACAAAAACCAAACAAAAAAAAAAACAAAAAATAACAGAAAAAACAGAGAAAAGCTGACCTGGAGATGACTCTTTACGTGAAGAATGTTGACCCCGTCCACGCTCGAGTACGTATTCATGACCCTTAGAATACACTTTGGTGTGGCATCTGTGCGGGGTCATGTCGAAAACATCAGCCTCCAGTTGACAAACCTGGCCAGGCACTTACCTTGTTCCAACACTTTATCGAAAGCAAGGCACTGCCGTCGTTTTAGCTGTAACAAGGGATTGTCAAGAAATAAAACTCAACATTTGTTTAGTACATTTGAAATTTTATCTCTTGTTGTAGCTTATGCTACTTAAACATGTACCTGTCCAGATTAAGCACAATGAGGTGCTGGCTCTTGGCGTCTGCTGGTGGACTCGCATTGGGATGGCGGGAAGCTGAGGCCTTCTAATAATGATCTTCTAGAGAATTCGCAACTATATATAATTGGCTTTGTTTATACTGATTTTCAGGCTATGATGATTGATAACTGTGTGTATGACATGTGCAATGTATTGATCTGCATATATGAAGATCTGTGACTTCAAGATCTTTGAGTGCATGCACTCGTGCTTTTAAAATTATTTTAGAGTGTTGATGTGTACTTGTAATTGCTCTTGCAGCCTTGCTTATTTGCTTATTGCATAATGTTACCCTAGCGCCTTCGTTTCTCTCAATCATCGGATAGTACTCTTCGCAGTTTTGACACAGCCGGCGCCTTCATCTGGCAGCTTCCAGCCGTAAGAGCGTCCATTTGCTCTAAGCGAGTAGGTTTTCTGAATTGTTTCTGTCCACATTGTTTGCCACAGCCCCGGGCAAGGATGCAGAATTGGTGAGAATATCGTTAGCGGAATGCACTCAGCTCAGAGTACATCGCTTGTCAAGATGGGGATTCCTTGTCAGCATGAACAAGGCATTTCTTCGAGGATGAAAGCACGTCAGAAGAACAGGTCCCCAAACTTAATTTACTGTGTAAGTAACCTTGAAGTTTGTAGCTAAGCGTTGGATTCCACAGACTCAGAAGTGAACCTTTCACGAGTTGCGGAAGTCTCCAAATTTGAAAGATGTTTTGAATTCAGCTCCAGACCCGGCTCCAGACCAGACGGCAAGAAGAGTTTGATCCAACACGGTTTGTTGACTATAAGGATTGCGCAAACGTGACAATGAAGAGGGAAGCTTCATCCACTCGTGAGAGCTATGAGGACATGGATTCATCTTCTTCTTGTGCTCCTCCAGGTTGCATTGGCATTGGCTGCAGACCCTTCGCACCTTGTGCAAGGGCTTCCTGGGCAACCAGAAGTTGGATTTAAGCAGTACGCAGGTCAAATTGAGATAAACGCCACAGCTGGACGTGCACTGTTCTACTGGTTCTTCGAAGCAGATCACCCAAATGCGTCTTCCTTGCCGTTGGTATTATGGCTCACTGGAGGTGCTTCTTTGATCCTTGCAAAATGATACGCAGCATTTGTAATATTTGTACGTTTCTGCAGGACCGGGATGTTCATCCATTCGCTCTGGAGCTCTTGGAGGGACTGGTCCATTCAGCACAAATGACTCAGGCACTGGGCTCGTTCGCAATCCATACTCTTGGAATAAAGGTTTTTTCTTTCTCCTAGATCCTAGGAGTTTCATCTGCTCGATCCGATTTCATGTGCAGCTGTGAATATCATCTGTTTGGAGACCCCTTATAATACCGGTTTCTCATATACAAACTTGCTTTCTGATGGGGGAAATTACACAGACAATCAAACAGGTACTATACCACTTGCTTGTGGTTCTCAACTTCTCATAAAACGTGTTTGGGATGCAGCCAGCGATACTTTGCTGTTTCTGCTCGAATTTCTCACAAAGTTCCCTGAGTATAAACAGAATGACTTCTTCATTGCTGGAGAAAGCTTTGCAGGTATGCATACTTGAGGTTTGCACAGTACGTAACACTTGATTCCCTGAAGGACATTACATACCAACGTTGGCATCGCAAATCATTTCACATAATGAGCAAAATGGAAATCGTATCAACCTGAAGGGGTTTGCTGTACGTTCACTCTTACACTACACTACATTGAAAGAAGCTAATTTTCATACATTCAGATTGGTAATCCTGCCACGGACGTCGACTATGACGGTCCTGGTGACATTGAGAACTTGTACTCGCATTCAATCATTTCTGAGGAGCTTTACCAAGAAGAGAAGACCTACTGCAGGAGGAATGATGACGAATCAATAGCGAGATGTAGAAATGCTACCTCCCAGATCCTGAACCTGATTGCCTACATTAGTCGTTACAACATCTATGCACCAGCATGCAACTTACTTTCAGGACCAGATGACGAGGCTTGCCTTGATTCTGTGACACCTTATCTCAACCGCCAGGATGTTCAAGCCGCCTTGCACGTCGAGACGAGACCAGTTCGGTGGCAGCTCTGCAAGTAAGCGTTTAGTGCAAAACTGGATATTGAAAGCTTTGATTTTGAAATTGTTTTTTGCAGCCCGGATATTGACAGGAACTACTCGACACTAGATAGAGAGCGTTCAATGCTCCCCCTATACCAACATTTGTTCAAGAGTGGCTTGAGAATCTGGATTTACAGGTCTGTGAGTTACAATACAACAATCTGAAGTGCTTATAGCTTATAACACGTGTAAAACACAGCGGGGATTCGGATGTTGTCGTTTCAACGCTTTCAACCAGGAGCTGGATCAAAGCACTCAATCTCACTGTTGTTACTCCATGGTATGGGTGGAACTACACAAATCAGGTAAGCGTCAACTAAATTTTGTTGAGTGCCAGGAGTATATTAGACAACTCTTTTAAACTGCAGGTTGGTGGATGGACAGAAGTGTACTCAGAAATGACATTTGCGACAGTAAGAGGTGCTGGACATCAGCCTCCATTTGACAAACCTGGCGAGTCACTTGCCTTGTTCCAACACTTTATCGAAGGCAAGGCACTGCCATCGTTTTAGTTGTAATAAGGGATCGTTCAAGAAATAAAACTCAACAAGTACATGTGAAATTTATCTTTTGCTCTAGCTTATATTACTTGAACATGTATTCAGGGGTTTAAGTTGGAATCCATTCGCGAGAGATCCCACTCTGGGGATAGATATCGCGCCGCCCTTTCGATCGATGGAGGGCGATCACATCCAGATCGCGCTCTCGGCCAGCTATGTATCAGCCGATCATGGTAGTGTTCTTGGTTGTCTTGGCGCTTTCGTCACTCCAAACTCCTTCCGCGGCGCTGGATTCGATTGCGCGGCTCGGGCTTTGGTGGCGAGCGAGGGTTTCTCGTGCTTCGAGGCCGCCAGCGCCGAGAGTGATGGATCCTTCTTCCTGCCTTGCTCTCCCGCGCCTCTCGCCTGTCGCGGCGAAGTTCCCCTTTCGTGGCGGCGTTCTCGTATCCTTCCATGGTGGAGCTCTTGAGCATGGCGAGCGAGGAGCTGGTGCTTGGCACCGCGGAGCACGGCGTGTGGGAGCGCTACCGCGAGGTGGCGACGAAGAAGATGGACATCGCCACCAAGGAGGAGCTCTTTGATCGGCTCAAGGAAACGTTCGCGGACTTTAGAACCGGAGAGCTCCTGTGCTCGCCGGGGTGTTTGGAGAGCTCGGCCGGATCGAGGCTGGAGATCAGTGCCTCGGTTCTGGATGGTAGCAGCGGAGGTCCGATCGTTCCTGCAAATCTTCCAGGATGCTTTGTTGGTGTTCTCAGCGGTGGAGGCAAGGGGAAGGACGTGAACCTGCGACGTCGACAGACTCCATGGAATTCGTGGAGGCATATGAAAGATTTGTGCTGCGTCATCTTCCACCAAATGGATCCATCGCGTGGAAGAATCGCGACGTTGCTGCGTTTGAGAGATGATAGAGAAGCACAACTTAGATTGGAGAAAGAGATCTAGCTTGTAAATCAAAGCATTTGATTCCTCAAACTTAGAACACCCAAGAACAATATCAAAACAACGAAGAATTTCCATACCTGTTCTTTCTCTCATTTCTCCAGAAGCATTGCTCGGACGCGAGTGGGAAGGCCATACAAGCGGATGAATCCGGCAGCGTCACCCTGGTTGTAGATCCCACTGCCCTCCTCGAACGAAGATATGTCCTGCCTGTAGAGGCTGAACGGGCTGGTCCGGCTGGCCACCACCGCCGACCCCTTGAACAGCTTGAGCTTGACACTGCCGCTCGTCGTCTCCGTCACCTTCTCCATGAAGGCGTCCAGCGACTCCCGGAGAGGATCAAACCATCGCCCTGCGTACACCAGCTCCGCGTACTTGAGCGCCATCGTGTCTTTCATCTGCATCGTCTCGCGATCCAGCGTGAGCGACTCCAGCTCCCGCGCTGCTAGGCTCAGGATGGTTCCACCGGGTGTCTCGTACACTCCGCGGCTCTTCATGCCGACGAGCCTGTTCTCCACCATGTCCACTCTCCCGATGCCGTGCCTGGCTCCGGCATCGTTGAGCGCTTCCAGGAGTTTGGCGGGGGACAGAGCTTTGCCGTTCACTGAGACTGGAAGGCCTCTCTCGAAACTGATCTCCAGGTACCTGGAACGAAGAGTTTTCTTTCAGTGAAAGAGACTGAGGAAGAGCTTACTCTGGCGTATCAGGAGCTTTCTCCGGATTTGTAGTCATGACAAACATGTCCTCCTTGGGTTCGTTCGCAGGGTCCTCGAGAATGTCTCCCTGGAAAAGAGGTCGCTCGTCGTTAAGTCACGAAAAAAAAAGGAGATTTGCGATACCTCATGACTAATGTGCCAGAGATTGCGGTCTCGGCTGTAGATAGATTTCTTCGTCACGGGCACGGGTACGTTGTGCTTCTTTGCATATTCTATGGCGTCTTCGCGGCCTTTTATGTCCCATTCTCTCCATGGCGCAACAACAGCTAGCTTCGGGTTCAATGCGAAGAACGTTAGCTCGAATCTCACCTACAGAAACACGAGGAAACCACTTCTCATGTATACGGAGAGAAGGAAAAAAACACGAAACTTTGTTACCTGATCGTTCCCTTTCCCTGTGCAACCGTGAGAAACGGCATCAGCTCCAACTTCCTTTGCAGCATCAACCATGGCCTGCACAAAAACCAGCACAAGCTCAATGACCATACAGCAGTTCCTCACTTTCACAAACTTGCCTTTGCAATTACAGGGCGAGCCATCGAAGTTCCAAGCAGATACTTCCTCTCGTACACGGCACCAGCTCGCAAGCAAGGGAAGATAAAGTCTTTCACAAACTCTTCTTTCAAGTCCTTGATGATCAGCTGGCTTGCACCGCTTGCCTTCGCTTTAGCTTCCAACCCTTCGAGCTCGCCCAGGCCCTGGAAATCACAGAACAGAGATGGCAAGGAAGAAAAAAAGAAATGCTAAGAATCGGCAGAACAAAAAACACGAGATCGACTTACTTGCCCAACATCAGCTGTGAAACACACAACGTCGCAGCCATAGTTCTCCCTGGTCCAGAAAAACAAAGCCAAAACTCTCAATCCAAAGAAGAAATCGCTGCATGAGATCCAAATTACCTGAGCCACGGCACGATCACGGACGTGTCCAAGCCCCCACTGTACGCTAGAACCACCTTGTTGAGATTCTGCCGGATCGCTGGAGCGCTAGAATGCGCCTGCTCGCTGGCGATTGCCGCTACATTCCCGGACGAGGAGCAAGCCATCGCCGCCACTCTACTCGCTCTCGAGATCGGGATCCTCACAGCCATGTGCGCCGCCCTAGATCGATCCCCCGAGATCGGAGCTACAGCAATGCTACCGGACGAGGGAGCCAGAGCCGCCATTCCATAAACCCTAATGGAGAACCATACTATACTTTAAACCATAACACATGCTTTAAAAAGTAAAAGTATTTCCAGTCAAATACTTACACCATGGTGGTATTTACACGTAAAGTCAGGATGGCCGAGTTGGTCTAAGGCGCTAGTTTCAGGTACTAGTCCGCAAGGGCATGGGTTCGAATCCCATTCCTGACAAAATATTTTTCCTTCATGTGAACTTCCAGAGTTCGGAAAAATCGACATCCTCGTCTCCCACGGGTTGGAGCTCCTCCTGTTCTTGCGATGGTTTTAATTTCTTGAGTGGCGGCTGGAACGAATCGGCTGTGCTCGTCGTGGTACCCGAGGCTTGGTGGATCTGATCGTCGCAAGTTTGACGGTGTTTGCGCTGTTCTTGTTCTTGAGGACCGGGCGAGGGCTCGTCCGAATTCTTGTGACACGATCGTGTCGCCTCCTCCGTCTTATTGTACATTCTCTCGAGATATCTTCCGTGGTCCTCGATCTTCTTCTGCAAATCTCTTTGAATCTGCCAAGGTTTTACAAGCAATTGGATTAGACCATCAAATGTATAGTTCGAGAAATTTGTGCAGAGAACCTCGAGCTGTTCATGGAGTTGCTTTTGGACTTCGAGTTGCAAGCGCAGTGTCTCGGTGATCTGCAGCCCACTGAGAAAGAGAGAAACAAGTTAAAATTAAAAAAAAAAGTGAAAAGAGTTTTCAAAGAGTTTTCCTAGTCAAGTAATCTCACGTCTACGTATAACGTACGTTTCTACGTTCAATGATGGGAGCTCCAGCGAACATTGCTTAGATTGCTGCTGTTTTGCTGTGGGCCAAAAACGCACAAAATATTGGACCATCCAAAAGCAAAAAAAAAAAAAAAAAAAAAAAAAACAGAAACAGTTGATTATTCGTACCAACGGGGCTGGGTGGAAGATCTTTGACTAGCCTGTACTTCTGTAAAAAATATTTTAAATTAAAAAGTATAAATAGAAGCCAATCCGAAAGTTCTCTCACAATAAAATCAAAAATAGGAAACCTCAATAAAACCAAAAAACAAAAACCAAACAAACAAAAACAGAAAAAAAACAGAAAAAACAGAGAAAAGCTGACCTGGAGATGACTCTTTACGTGAAGAATGTTGACCCCGTCCACGCTCGAGTACGTATTCATGACCCTTAGAATACACTTTGGTGTGGCATCTGTGCGGGGTCATGTCGAAAACGATTGACAGTCGTAAGATTCTCGCCCAGCACCAAAGAGAAAACAATTGGGGAGAGGAGCTTACTTTCGGCACCACCCAGCTCTTCCACTGCTCGTACGAATCGCTCGTGTAGCTCCGGTGTCCATCGCATTCGCGGCTTTGGAACCGGCGAGATGATCGAGCACGGCTGCTGCTGCTGCTGCGAGATTTGCGAGATTCGCGAGCTCTGCGCGGCCGGCACCATGCCATGGAAATCGAAGTTCCTGGATTGATACGCGGCCGTCTGATATATAAACTTATCATACGTGGACTTTGAGAAAGGGCTGCAAAGGTGTGGCGTGATTTACCTGGTGATAGCTCGACTGATCGGTGTGTCCTGGGGCTCCCACGATCTCATTCCATATGGATTCGTCGTCCTGGAGCAGCCCGGGGAAGTGCTGATCGGGCGCTTCACTGTCATCGAGGGGGATTCTCTGATCCAGGCTCGGCCTGCCTGTGGAGAGGAGAGAAGCTTACTTCCTCCATGCTCGAGCAAAGCCGGGGATTCTTCCGGGAGGGATGGATGGATCAATTGTGCGTACCTGGCGGTGAACAGCTCTGGTGGAACTGCTGGAATTGAAAGTTGCTGTAGTGAGGAGGATCAGGCTGCGCGGCCATCCGGTACTGCGGTTTCATCTCCTGCGGCGCGACGAAGCGAGATCGCGAGACGCGAAATGAGCCCTCGTCTTGGAATCGCTGGGACTGGAGATGGCGATGATCCTGCTCAACCATCACGCACGAAGCTGGAAAACTTTGCGCGGGGCAGAAATTCTACACGAACGCTCTAAAATCCCCTCGAGAATGATGACAGGAGAGAATCCCCTGGGGGAAGAGAAGAGCCATCCGCGAGAGCAACGTCCAAGGGAGTGTCCTCGCGCAGCCCGCCCACAGCTAATACGCGTTGACGGGCACGTGGCGCGCCCGGGGCCGTCGGATGCCGCTGACGAGGAGAGAGAAGAGAACACCCACTTGATCCTGTTCGAAAACTATTCACGAAACATACACAAACACACGATAGATCCTTTCGGGCCCAGGGCATGGTTTATGGCCAACAATAATGTATCCAATTGTGCGCCCTCCATCAAAAGCGTCGTCAATCAATCATCTGATGTCCCTGTCGTGTCAAGCTGCGAGCTGAGCAAACAAATTTCTTTAAATTGCGCTCCTTTGCCCCCTTGTGTCGCGGGAATTAGGGCTCTCGTACGGCAGGGCCTTAACTCCCCGCTCCGTACGAGGCCCCGGATCCGGATCTGGGCCGTCGGATTTCGCCTGGATCCGACGGCGGCAGGGCTCGATCCTAGTCGAGGGGAGCGCTGCCTCCTGATTGGCTCCCCGGTTTCCTATATAGACTTTGAGGAGCGCCCAGGGGGATTCACTCCCAAGAAGGAAACGATCGATTCGAGAGCGCGTAGGGTTTGCCATGGCTGCTGGAGGGGGAGGTCGGGGTAAATCCGCCGGGAAGAAGGCTACTTCGAGGAGTTCCAAGGCCGGATTGCAGTTTCCAGTGGGTAGGATCGCCAGATTTCTCAAGGCGGGCAAGTATGCCGAGCGCGTTGGCGCTGGAGCGCCAGTCTATCTCGCCGCGGTTCTCGAATACTTGGCGGCAGAGGTGAGTGAAATCTCTCGTGTTCTTCCCTCTCCCTATTTCATTCTTTTCCATGTCTGGAATCAATCGCGCTGAAATTCTTCCCTGTTTCATTCTTTTGAATCAATCGCGCTGATTTGGTCACTCCATCTCCATCTCCAGGTGCTCGAATTGGCCGGGAATGCGGCCAGGGATAACAAGAAGAACAGGATTGTTCCACGGCACATCCAGCTCGCCGTGAGGAACGACGAAGAACTCTCGAAGCTCTTGGGCAGCGTCACTATTGCTGCTGGCGGCGTGCTGCCCAACATCCACAATGTCTTGCTACCGAAGAAGACTGGCACTGGGAGCTCCAAGAAGGACGCCGCCGGAGACGAGAGCCCCTAAATCGATGGGAAGTTCGATCGATTCGGTCGAACTGGCACGAAGAACCCTAAAAATTCTCTTCACGTGTACATTAACTTGTACGGTAGGAAATGCCGTAATTATTCTCCCTCCCTGTCTGACGCGTCTTGGAAATCTGACGTGGAATGCTGACTGCGCATCTCCTTTGTTCTTATGCCATTTCCAGAGCTCTTTGCTCTGCCGATTTGATTCGAGGTTGCGTTTGCTTCTCTTTTGGCTCTGCTATGGCGATGGTGTTCTTATTCGTGATCTTGTGCTGGATCGCGGGGAATGGTGCCGCGGTGGCGGCCGCGCGCGCCATGTTTGTGTTTGGCGACTCCCTTGTCGATGCTGGAACCAATGTGTTCATCGCTGGAGTGCCCAACGCGGCGAATTTCGATCCCTACGGCGAGACATTCTTCCTCAAGCCCACTGGGCGATTCAGCAACGGGAAAATAGTTCCAGATTTCTTGGGTGCGCAAGAATTTTCTTTAGTTTGTCTATAGAAATTCTTGACTTTGATTTGGTTGAGCGCAGCTGGATTGCTGGGACTCGCACTGCTGCCACCGTTTCTCAAGCCAGGATCGAATTTCTCGCAAGGGGCGAACTTTGCATCGTCCGGGAGTGAGATCTTGGATAGCACGAACAATCCGGACAATGTTTGATTGATTGAGAGAGGGATCTTGGATCTTCGTTTTGATTCCTGGATCGTTTTTGCAGGATCTCATCCCTCTAAATGCCCAAGTCCGGCAATTCCAGGAGTTTGTGAAGAGACGCAAACCTAGGGAGCTCTCTATCCCGGCTTCCATCTTCTTGCTCGTCACTGGCAGCAATGATCTTCTGGGAGGATACCTCCTAAATGGATCCGCCCAGCAGGCTTTCAACCCCCAGCAATACGTCGATCTCCTCCTCGGCGAGTACCAAAAATCTCTGCTGGTAAGGAAAAGAGCAAGGATTGGGATCATCGGTTCAATCGACACAAAAGAGATCTTAAATTCTTGCTTTGATCGAGCAGGCTTTGCATCGATCCGGTGCCAGGAAGATCGTCATCACTGGAATCGGGCCTCTGGGATGCACGCCGTCGCTGCGATTGCTCCAGGAGATCACCAACAATGCCACCGGCTGCTTGGAGGAATCAAACGAGCTCGCGCTGGCATTCAACACGAAGCTGGCGCAGCTCTTCCAGGAGCTAACGAAGAATCTCACGGACGCGAAGATCATCCTCGTCAAGCCCTACGATTTCTTCCTCGATATGATCAACAATGGCACGAAATACGGTAGGATTTCGAGGAAATTGGATCGATCGAGAGATTTTTCTTTCTTTTCTCGCAGGATTTGAGGAGACGCAGAAGAACTGCTGTGGCGGTGGAGCATACAATGCGATGATTCCTTGCGGACGCGATGCGCCATTCCTGTGCCACGTCCCATCCAAGTACCTCTTCTGGGATTTCCATCCCACACACCAGGCGGCGCGATTCATCAGCGACCAGGTCTGGGGCGGAGCTCCCGCGTTCGTGGAGCCTCTCAATCTAAGAGCCCTAGCTCAAATTTAAATCCCAAGATCTTGGCGCCAAAAGTTCTCGCGGCATTCTCCATGGGTGGATGGATCGCAGGGAATGCATCAAGCTCCTCGATTCGTGCACGGATCTCGCCGCCGCGGACAAGCTCGACGCCCACGTCCGTGCTCGCTACGGCGATGCCGATCGATTCCTGGCCAACAAGCGCCTGGAGATGTTTGGGCGGTGCGGGAGCACTGGCAGGGCGCGGGAGATTCTCGACGGCATCGCCCTGGGCGACAGGGATTGCTTCTCGTGGGATCTCATGCTCTCCGCATATGCCAAGAATGGACAGATCGATGCCGCCACACAGCTCTTCCGTGAGATGCACGGCACGACGATCGTCTCGTGGAACACGATGCTCGCGGCATATTCCCGAGATTTTAGTCGGGCCATCGCCGTATTCGATTCCATGCCGGAGAGGAATCTTATCTCGTGGAACTCCATGCTCGCGGCATATGCCCAGAACGGGCATATTCTTGAGGCAAGGTCGGTGTTTGATTCTATGCCCCTTCGCAGCCTAGTTTCGTGGACAACTTTGCTAAAGTCTTATACGCTAGTCGCTAAGATCGATCTGGCAAAGATTGTTTTTGACGAGATGCCTGAAAGGGATCTCGTCTCCACGACCGCGATGCTCAACGCATATGCCCAAAGAGGGGATCTGGAAGATGCCAAGAAAGTATTCCAGGAATCTTCTCGGCACAACCTTGTGCTCCTTACTGCAATGGTGGCGGCCTACGCGCACGGCACCCGGCTGGAAGATGCCAAGAGGATATTCGACTGGATGCCCGAGAGGAATGTGGTGACGTGGAATGCGATGCTGTCCGGATTCGCCCAGAACCAACGACTGGATGCCGCGCGGAGGCTGTTCCAGCAGATGCCCGAGCGCGATGTGGCCACGTGGAATGCCATGCTGGCGGGATATGCCCAGAACAGCCACTTGGAGGATGCCAAGTGGATGTTTGACTCGATGCCGCTGCGGAATATTACGACGGTAAATGCCATGCTGGCTGCGTATGTACAAAGCGACCGAATCGAAGATGCTAGGCATCTTTATAGATCCATGGAGGACAGGAATCTAATTTCTTCGAATATTATGCTTGCCACATATGCCCAATCGGGGCAAATGCACGAAGCGGAAACACTCTTTGAGTCATTGCCGGAAGTTAACGTTATTTCTTCGACCTGTATGATAGGAGCTTATTCTTCAAACAGTCATGTTGACCGTGCGAAGGCAATGTTTGACCAGATTCCACACAAGAACATTGCTTGTTGGAATTCGATGCTCGCTGCATATACCGAAAATGGGCAGTTAGAGCGAGCTAAAGTTTTCTTTGATACCATGCCTGAGAAGAACTTGATCTCGTCAACAACATTGTTGGCAGCGTTCTCGCAAAACGGCCATATTGAGGCCGCCAAAACCCTGTTTGAAAGTTTGCCCCAGAGAGATCTGATCTTGTCAACTGCAATGCTTTCAGCCTATGCCCAGAACGGGCATCTAGGAGATGCCTGCTATCTCATCACTAGTATGCCCGAGACGAACCTCATCTCCCAGACAGTGATGCTAATCGTCTACGCCCAGAGAGGTTTCTTCAACCACGCCAGGCAAATGTTCATCCGGATGCCACAACGGAGCCTCATTACTTGGAACACGATGCTGTGGGTATTCTCCCTCAACCGCGACCTTGCCAGCGCAAAGAAGCTCTTCGATTCAATGCCCGAGCGAGACCTCGTCTCGTTTAACTCGATCCTCGCCGCGTTTGCCACCTCGAGCCAGGACTCTGGAGTCGCAGCGACGGAAGCTTTCCACAGTCTTCTTGCGGTGGAATCCCCGGACTCCATGTCCTTCGTGCTCGCGTTGCTCGCTCGCAGCCACACTGGCGGGACCGAGTCCGCGAGGAGCTCCTTCGTCTCGATGATCTACGACTTTGGGCTGGCCCCGACGAAGCAGCACTACAACTGTATGATCAATCTGCTGGGCCGGGCCGGGCATCTGGAGCGAGCGCTGGATCTCGTCGCGAGCATGCCGTTTGTGGCCGACGCCATGGATTGGAGATCCCTGCTTGGATCGTGTAGCAGCGGTGGTGCTAGTATCAAAGGCGATCGCGATGTTCCAACGAGCGCTCTTGGTTTGGAACCCAAAGACGGTGCGTCCTACGTCTTGCTCGCCAACATTCTTTCGAATGGTAATATGCCTTGAACGTGGGGCTTTTACTTTAGGGCTGACTTGGCACACCATTGGCTAGATTTAGGGTTTGTTGAGCTCACATTTTCTCTCGCCTCCTGAATGGAGGAAGAGCGCGTCTTCACCCTGGACGACGCGATCGAGTCGTTAGGGTTTGGGCGATTCCAGTGCTTGATCCTCGTCTACGCAGGTATGTCGTGGATGGCGGAGGCGATGGAGATGATGCTCCTGTCCTTCGTCGGCCCGGCCGTGGAGCAGCTCTGGGATTTGTCCCCGCGGCAAGAGAGCACCATCTCCAGCGTCGTCTTCGCGGGGATGATGATCGGGGCTTACTCGTGGGGTGTGCTGTCCGATTCCAAAGGAAGACGGTATGATTTCTTCAGAAAAAACTATTTTTTCCATAGTTTTGGAGCTAAGATCCGTGGCACAGGATTGGCTTCTTTGCGACAGCCGTGATTACCTTCATTGCCGGATTCTTGAGCTCCTTCGCTCCAAATTACTACGCGCTGCTCTTCCTGCGAGCTCTGGTTGGGATCGGGCTTGGCGGCGGCCCGGTGGTGTCGTCGTGGTTCATGGAGTTTGTTCCAGCTCCAAACCGCGGGACTTTGATGGTGATCTTCTCGGTCTTCTGGACGCTTGGCTCGATCCTGGAGGCCATTCTAGCTTGGGTACGCGTAAGTAATTTATCTCGCGTTTTTTCTCACCATCTTTCTTTTTTCCTTTTGTTTTTTTTTCTTCTTTGAGACTATAATGCCGAGGCTGGGATGGAGATGGCTGCTGGGAGTTTCGTCCACCCCGCTCCTTTTCCTACTGATCTTCTATCCTTTGGTACCAGAGTCACCGAGATACTATGCGGCAAAAGGAGACACCGCCAGCGCCCTGGCTATTCTCAAGAAAATGGCCGCTGCAAACAAGCTGGAGCTTCCGCAGGGGAGATTTGTTTGCTCCGGTGACAAGCACGACGAGGAGGGGGTGGAGCTGGAAGCCACGCAGCTCCTGTGTGAAAAAACTCCCACTCCCGGCAGCAACGCAGTGATCGCGGTGAAAGACCCCCCGATCCAGTTCTTCTCCAAGTTTGCGGTGCTTTTCTCGCCTCCACTGCTGCGATCCACCATACTTCTCTGGTTGGTTTTCTTTGCAAACGCTTTTACTTATTACGGGCTGGTTTTGCTGGCGTCGCAGCTGAGCAGCCAGCAGACGAGGTGTAAGCTCGCCTCCCCCGCGAGAAAAAATTCGCCGCTCCTTCACTCCGGCGACTCCAAAGATCCAGTTTTTCGAGATGTTTTGATAACGAGCTGTGCTGGTAAGTTCGTCTCAAAGCTCTTGCGGTTTTGACCTTACGTTGTTTCTCTCCAGAGCTTCCTGGACTGATGATCGCGGCAGCAATGGTCGACTATTATGGCCGGAAGGTGTCCATGGCGGTCCTGTTTATTTTCTGTGGTCTCTTCTTATCGCCGCTGGTTAGTCCCCAACCGGAAGGTGTCACTACGTTCCTCTTGTTTGGAGCTCGAGCTTGTATCATGGGCTCCTTCACCATCTTATACGTATACGCGCCGGAGGTGAGCTTGTATTGTAACTAACTTTACGTTGGATCATCACTGATCATGTTCTTTCGTGAAGGTTTATCCAACTTCTTCTAGAACAACGGGCTTGGGCACCGCAAACTCTTTCGCCAGGATCGGAGGCATTCTGTGTCCCCTGGTAGCCGTGGCGCTTGTAAGGACGTGCCACCACTCCCTCGCCATTATGCTCTTCACGCTCGTCTCCGCCATGGCAGCTGCGTTGATCTTCTCGTTTCCAATCGAAACAAAAGGGAGAGCTCTCACCGATGTTGTTTGAGGTCTTCTGGAGCTCCGGCCCCTTGTATACTTCTCGATTCGTTTGTTTGAATAAAATAATTTCTCTTAGATTTGAATCTTCTTTTAACTTCCAGCGAAAATGTCGATTCTGTGATCAAACATATTGACTTCTATCTTTTCTTTTTTGGTATTTCTAGCGGGACTCCATGAAAAGCATGAAAACCAGAGAGAAGAAATGCTCTGGATCATCTTGTTGCTGATCTTACCACTTTCCCACGTATGTAGATTTCTAATTGTGATAAAACTTTTCAAACTTCATGCTTGAAACTGTGGATCATTTTCAACAAGTTGCTCAAGCTACAAGTACTACAAGTCAGGTGTTTTGAGAGCTCGCTGCAAGTGGAGCTATGGATGGCCAAAGAAAGCGTATATCAACCTTAACGATTACATTGGCAACGATGATAATTACCTTGTCACCCCGGGACGAGATTTCTCTTCCACTTGCCACGGCATGAGGATCGTCACTGTCGAAGTCTATGGAGAAGGCAGGTATGTTGATCTTGCTGGGTGGTGCAAAGGATACGATCAAAAGGATCGCTGGACCGGTTTTTCTCTCGACTCTCACCTAGCAAACAACAACGGTTACCTTGAATGGTGTTACTAATTAAAAAAAAAAAAACGATTTTCGTTTACCTTCACACATGGAAGTCAGGAAGAAACGCAGCTTAGAAGCTGCTCACAGAGCTTGCGGACTTCCGGCAAGGGGTCTGCCCTGGAAACTCTGGAGAGAACTTGCAAAGCATTCACCAGTGAGGAACCGACTTCCTTGAGAATGGATTCGTGCACAAGGAGCGCAGCGAGCAGCTTCACGCCAGCCAGCCTCTCCTATAGGAACAGAAGGGGATTTCGGGACCTTTTGAGAGTAACGAGATTTACTTTTGCTACCTCGTCTGCTGCTTTGTCGTTGTTCAGGCTATCGAGGGAGATATGGAGCAAAGTCTTTGCGTATGCGGGCAATGATGCTGCTTCCTTGAGGTTACAGACCGCACTAAACAGCACCTGAACGCACGCGGCTCTTACTATAGATTCGCTTTCACTCTGCAAGTAAGAGTCCCGTTAGAACAAGATTTCCAATTCAAGTTCCAACCTTAAGCAGCGCGGAGACCACCGGAATAACTTCTGACAAGAATGCATCATGAGAGCTGGCTGTTATCTTGGAGGAGGAACTTATAAGGACGTTTGCCATGCACACTCTAAAACTGACCGGAGCAGCAACACAACTGGCGTCCTGGATACTAACCGAGCCGCAAAAATCTGCTGGGGACGTGCCACACAATGTCGCTATGGCATACGGTCGATTTTGCAGGCAAGACATAACGACATTTATAACTCGCTCCACCTTATTTCCTTCATCTGCAAAACGATAATTAGAATGAAAGGAACTTCTTCCATCTTTCGTACCTTTGTCGATCATCTGAATCATTGAGGTGTTAAACTCGGCACGGATCATAAAAGCAAAAGAATCGATACAGCCATGTTGTGCCTTCTGGACTTCTGCAGATGGTGCAAAGTCAACATTTGTTTTTCTGGTATAAACTAGAGCACTTATATACCTTCTGAATTTGTAGGCCAGAGCAACATTGTTGTAAGGAGAGCTTTGATTTGCCCCATTACGTCATTGGAAAGGTTCTGGCAACCCCTCGTCTGCGTAGAAGCACGTTAGATTAATACCGTCTACAAGACTAAAAAAGAGTCCAGTACCATAAGTGAGCTGCAGATTGAATACAAGCACGACTTAACTGCCAATATATCCATATTGTTCATAGCGTTTCTTAATTGATCAATCACAAGCGGGAGCAGTACCTGAAAGGAAACAAGTTATCATTTTCGACAGTGAGGTGAATACACTTGCCTCAGGAAGAAGACGTCCACTTAATTCGGCTGAAAGCTTCCGCACATCATCGAATTCGGAGGTACACATCCTGTTAGACGTAAGAATGAGAAATGGTCGCACGTTGGTAAAGACAATACCATTCAATCAGCATGCCTGTTATGGAGGAGCTTAGTGGCAATCCTGTGCGAGACAGTAAATTAGTAAAACAAGAAACAACAAATGATCATAAAGCTTGCCTTGTAGAGGCGCGTATAGCTCTTCACATTCGATTGCATCATAAGCTCTCAAAGGCAGTAGCTTCAACACAAGCAGTGGACTAAGATTCCGAAAGAGATTTTGATCGCCTACGTCCTTGTTGTTGCTGCATACAAAAACAACACGAGTATGTCGCGTGCTCTTTCTTTTTCTTGACTGAACTTACGTGGAAACCTCCAACATTTCTTGAAGCGTGCGCGCGAAAACGAGTTGGTGCACATCAGCCAAGTGGCTACTGATTTCACTCAGAAACCTTGGAAGCAAAGGATTTGATGGATCACTGAACATCTTCTCAAGGAGGAAAATAGCCAAAACGTTCCAGTCTTTCACCTGTTCCAAGGTATTGTTTTAACCATAAGCCAATACAGTATCTGGCACTTACCGAAGGAGCCCAAGATGGCAGAAGCCTCATTATTTGATCAATATCTAGCATAAAAAGGAAGCTTTAGTGCTTTTGTGAAGCAGCTAAAAAATATACCTGTTTTTCTGGTGAGGACACTCGTTCCACCTTCTCCAGCTCGAGAAGCTAAAGAAAGATTTCTGAAAAACCACAGCCATGTAAGCCATCAGAAAAATTCGGCTAATGCACTCACCGAACACAGTCCAGGAGGACAGACACAGCTTGCCGTTGATCCGAATTGTGTTCTAAAACGGCAAGAAGCGTTGAACGTGCAAAATGTTGAGCTTTCTGATCGGGATCGTATAGAAGTTGGATAAGAGAAGGCATTACAACTGATGGATCTGGGTATCATAGTGCAGTAGAAGTAAATTAGACGTTAATTTTCAAGTGATACGTGCTTACCAAGTTTTACAAACAACGCTGAGGCACTAGTACGATCCATGAGTACCGCATCGTGGACGCGCTTCAACAAATGCGTTGCAAGAATATGACTGTCAAAGCGGATAGATAAACGCAAGTAGTTGATGTGATACTTTCGAACCTTAGAGACGAAGTGTTCAAAGCTTTTGAGTCGCAAACTCTTCGCACTAGTGTTTCAAGAATGTCAATACCGTTTTGTCGCCGACAGAGATTTTCCGAATCAATCAGAAGAAACACTCTTTGTAAATCTGGCGATGGATGGCTAAAACTGTTAAGAAGGAACCATGAATGCTAACAAATGCCAACACAGGATACAGTAGAAAATACTCTGCAACAAAGTCGACGGTCGTGGTTGAGGGCCTTTCGTTTCTGTAGAAAGCCTCCATTAAACTCTTCTCAAATGTGACCATAAAATCTTTGCTCGTCTTCTCGGTGTTTATGAATTTGGACAGAAGAAACCTCAATATCGCAACTGCAATAACCACGGTTTCTTTCTCGTTTCTAGATAGCTGCGTAAATGTTAAGAGCACATCAAGAAAATAAAATTGATTTTTACCATGCACAAAAGAAGTCGTGACAATTCTCCATCATCAAGCGATAGGGAATCAAGTTTGTCAGCGTCCAGATGTCCAAGTAAAAGAGCGAGGCACGTCAGAAAATAGCAACGCATCTTAGACCAGCTTTTTTCGCTTTCACGATCCCCATCTGGCATATGGTGCTTTACAAGTGATAGAACCACTAACATCAAGCTAAAAGTCAATGCTTTTATCACGACGAAAGTACCTGTAGCCCCGTAAAAAATCTTTGAAAACTCTGAGATGGAAAAGATGCTGTGTGTGCATCGGAAATCAAAAGGCTGCTGTATTCTTTCCAGCATAATCTCAGCACGGAGCTCGAAAGGAATTTATCTGCAAAAACTTGAGCATGTCAGCGCTTGTAAAAGTAAAACTGGCTCTGACCTTCACTTGCTGCAATTTGACGAAGATGATTTTGGACCTGCATCAATCCGGCTGCATACAACAGACGTGTGTCGCAATTCCACTTCGAAAGAATAAAGTGAAACAAAAAGGTTCTCAAAGTAGTGTACAAGCATTGTACCTGGTAGAGCTCAGAGACGAGAGCCAATATTTTGTCCCGTTGATCCCAGAGACTAGTATCCAGATTCGTGTCTTGTGCGCAGGCGAGAAACTTGGTGATTCCCAGCGCACAATCCGCAGCTGCAATCGTAAGTCGTGTGGGAAGTATCTTATTCCCGTCCTTGACACTGAAATATCAGCATAGATAACGCAACTTATCGAAACTAAATCGGACCTGGCGTCACGAACTAGTCCAACAAGGTGAGGCACGCACGTTGAGAATATCGTCGCAGACTGGAATTCCCTCGACGCCAACTCTGAGATTAGATGCCTCATGTAAGTCAAAAGCCCAATCTTTTCTTTCTGCGGATTCATACCTCGTTGTCCCGAAATGTTATCTAGCAGCTCTTTGACGACCAAGCAGCTCCCTAACTTGATATAGCGATCAAACTCCGTGGAGCATATTAAGAGCGTGAGAGTCTTCACAACTGGATTCCAGGCTTCGTCTTTTTGAAACAGCCATTGAATTATAAGAAGGGCCTTCTTCCGGTTCTTAGGCTGGTATTCGAAAGGAAGAAAAAAGAAAATGAGAACCATAAACGAGAGAGAGAGAGAGAGAAAAACTTACGTCTCTTAGCAGAGTAACACAAATCTTCACAATTGTTCCCTCGTCGTTGGAGAGACATTTCACGTGTTCTAACAAATAAACCAAGCGCTGATTCGTGCCTATACATTCAATGCAAATCAATCTCCTCTAGAAAGAAAAAATAGAAGAACTTACTGCTGGAATTCCCCGGCAAGCAAGCGCGATTAATCTCGCGCTTATCTGCCAGCATTAAGCCGCCTAGAACAGATCCAAGCGATGGAAGCTGGGAATTCGCGGTGCTGAGCTCCATCGCATCGCTACCGGGATTCGCTAAAACCCTAAATCGCCCTAAAAACTCAAATAGATCCCGAATATCCCGTTGACAATATAAAACTTAAAAGCAGCCGTTGGATCTGGCGCGCAAGAGATCGATCGCTTTTCGTACCGCGTACGGCCCGTGTGTTTGTTACACATCACAATGTCCCGCATGCAGGAAAGCGGGGATCGCTTTCGGTTTTTCATGCCGGATTTGTGCTCGAGCAAGCGATCCTGCAAAGCAAGGGAGGAAAAAAAAAGTGGTGAGTGGTGGAGCTACGATACGAAGATCAAATGTGAGAATTACCAGGCCTCGCAGCGCCACCAAAGTTGTGTGACTCAATCTAACGATACCAATTACGGACAATCATTCCAACGATGATAAAAGGAGCGGAAAAACTAGCCTGGCGCAAGGATCACGAGAGAAAACGATCAATCACAGCGCTAGGAACGCCACTAGCACAATAAATTCGAAGAAGGAAACAAAAACGAATGGATTCCTTACAAACCTCGCTGGATGGAGGGAGGGACCGCTTGCTAGCTTGGAGTGGTAGAGGCGGTCGATCGACGACTTTGATTGTTAGGTGCCTCCGAGCTCGATCTACAATTCTTGTGAGTGTACATCGGAAACGAGAGAGAGAGAGAGAGAGAGAGAGAGAGAGAGCAAAAAGGAGAAACCAACGAGATAGAAAAACACATACCTGGTCTTTAGGAGAAAACTTTCTCGGCCTTCTTTGAACGCTTGTACTCCCGAGGCAAAACCGTGCAAGATCCTGCCATTTTTAAAATGGTAAAGCCCGGCCTCATCCCAAGCGTGTTGAAACCATCCCTCGGATTGACTCGAGTTTCTCCTTTCCAATGATTTTTGACGGCGACGCTGCTACCAAGAACCTGTAATGCCTCCGGAGAGTGACTCTCTGATGCTTTGGTTTAGTCTGCCTCTGCCAGCCACTTGTTCCTCGTCTTCTCGCAGCTTTTTCCGTTGCCAGTCGAGATCGTAGGCTGTGTTGCGTCACAGAAATACTCGAGTTGGACAAGTTTGGTGAAGAACATGATGCCAGTCCATAATCCCGCGGGTACGATACTACTACTTTTTGTTCGTCGTAGAGCTTCTCGGTGGGACGAGATGATAAATTTGCATGCCGCCGCAACGACACCGATGCTCTACTCCCTGTTCAGTACAGAAAGGAGATTAGTTTAGCTTCAAGATGAACGCGCAAAGCTCTCTCAAGCGAGTAATGCACATCAAACGAAGCGACTACTTGACAGATGCCCTTTAGAAAATGATGTTGATATTGGCCCAGTGCGGAGGCTCGCAAAAGCAAAGCCACTTGACTCCGCAACCCCCAAAATTCCCTTGAGATCAAAGACGTCTTACACGACAGTACGTTTCTATTCAGATCGAACGACGACTCTCAGTGCGGAGACAGAAACGTCTAACTTGGAGGAAAATTCTCGCAACACTGAGATGAGCAGCTCAGCAAAAGGGATACGACGAAAGACCGAGACTAAGATGCCAAAGAATGCGTCTCCAACAAGCATAAAAACCTCTCTAAGCACACACACACACACACACACACACACACACACAATTAAGCATGACGGATGTATGACGTACCCCGTGTAAGCGCTCGTCGTTAACTTGGTATGGCAGGGGCTGGGACAATTACTGTACCAGCCAGTCCTCGCTCCGTGCCTCCTAGAAAGCCAGCACATAGCGGACTACACTTATAGCCTCCTATGTGCATGGTCTTCCCTGTCTAGGAGTTGTAATCCCCGCTGGTGATGGAGATTGTCGATATCATCTGCCAGTCGGGATGAAAAACAAGAGTCAGTCACCGACGCATTCCCACCATGAAGCTCACCTCACTCGCAGGGAATAAAGATCAAGCTCGAAGCGGAAGAAAACGAGGTGGCCCTGCATACCCCGGCGTACTACTTGGCGTGCAACCGAGTTCGTTGCTACCGTGCACCGGAACAAAAAGGACGGCTTTAAACGGAACGGAGGAACCCCTCGGTCGCTATATAATGTTGAATGCCTCTCGTTGTCTTCTTCCAGAGAGGGCCTTCATTCCAGCAAACCGGAAGCAAGAGGTGACAACATTCTTCTCCTTCGTTTTGTCGCCATCGTCGGCGTCGAGATGAGCTAGCATCAGGAGCAAGGTACCTGGGAAAAAAAATTTGAGAAGAAGAAAACGAGAGAAAATCTTCTTGCCTTGTCTTCGATTTCTCCACATACTCCTCGTCGCCGTCTCGTGGTCGGGTGAAGGAGGATCAAAATGCAGCATTTTGGGGCTACCACGCTTTACGAGGATCACAACTACTTTGCTCGCTCCTCGGAAGCTTTCACGCTGGAAGGGGGCCTGGGTTCCGACACCGGCGCTGGCTTGCTGGATCTTACTGACACACTCGAGAAGCAGCTCGAGGCCTCGAATCTGGCGCTAAGTGACGCTCCACAACTTAGCTCGGAGTTGAACGTCCCTTCCGCGGAATTCGAATTGGATGACCATGGCCAGCTCCTCCACGACATGTTGCAGCAGCAGCAGCCAGCAACCAGCACCACCGCCACATCCTCCACCACCACTGCCGCCACCTGGGAGGAAAACGTCCATGTCCTCCAGGAGATGCTTATGCAGCAGCAGCACATCCAAGTCCAACAGCAGCAGCAAAACTTCTTCGGCAACTCCACGCCACCAAAGTTCCGAAGAGAGTCGGAGCTTCTGAGCCTTCTCCAGCTTCCACGCTGTGCTTCAGGAGGAACTATCTCTGGACCATTCAGTTCCGTGATCTCCAAAAAGCTGAGCCATCCCGCAGTGTCATCCTTCACCGCCGCCGAGATAGGAGGGGACTCTTCTCATCTCCACGGACAGCAAATGCTTCCCCAGCCTTCCTTCAGGCACTTGCTCCACACCTTGCCTCATCCGCCCGACCACCCGAGCTCGAAGCCGGGTATAATGCGTCCCCCTGGCTTGCTGGACTATGAAGACCGAGATAACAGCGCCGGTCACGAAGAGCGCCGGCTCTTTCCAAGCCTGTTCGAAAAGAAGGACTTCACTTTCGCCAAAGGAGCAGAGAGCCGAGGCATCAACCACTTTGCAACCGAGCGGCAGCGGCGCGAATACCTCAACGAGAAGTATCAGACTTTGAGATCCTTGGTCCCAAACCCCTCAAAGGTTCGTTCCGCATTCCTGAGCCTCCGGCCTGCTGTCCATGCTGTTCGTTCTTCTGCTGTGCTGCATTTTTCTTTTGGCCGAACGAAGTCTCACTCCAATCTATGATCGCAGGCTGATAGAGCTTCCATAGTCGCGGACGCCATCGACTATGTCAAGGAGCTCAAGAGAACCGTCCAAGAGTTGCAGCTGCTCGTCGAGGAGAAGAGACGCGGCTCCAACAAGCGGTGCAAGGCGTCACCGGACGATCCCTCGGCCACGGACGTGGAGAGCACCACCGCGATGCAGCAGCCGGGAGGTACGAGAGTGTCCAAAGAGACAACTTTCCTGGGCGATGGCTCGCAGCTCCGGAGCTCCTGGCTGCAAAGAACATCACAGATGGGAACGCACATCGACGTCAGGATCGTGGACGACGAAGTGAATATCAAGCTCACCCAGAGGAGACGACGCAACTACGTGCTCCTCGCAGTGCTGAGGAGCTTGGACGAGCTCCGCCTCGATCTACTCCACGCCAATGGAGCCAGTATTGGCGAGCACCACATTTTCATGTTCAACACCAAGGTAGTGCTCGCTCCTTCCTCCTTTCTTCTTTCTCTTTTCCTTTTCTATTTCTTTCTTTTCTCCTCCGCGTTGATCTTGCCAAGGTAGACGCGATCCATCAGCACATCGCTAAACTCTGGAAAGAAAGTTTGGATTTTCGGTCTTTGCAGATAATGGAAGGGACGGCTACCTTTGCGGGCCAAGTAGCGGCGAAGCTGATCGATGCGGTGGACCGGCATATAACCCTGGCCTCGTCGAGCTACTGACGATCGAGAAAAGCTCCCAAATCTCCCAGAAGCTGGATCATCTAGGGATTCCAAGAACCGAGGAAGCTCGGCGATTGAGCACAAGATTCTTTGATAGATCACTAGCAAGAACAAGATTGAAATCTAATGCTTAACATACCCGGCTCCATCGATCGATCTCTCTCCCTCGCACGTTGATCGATCTCTCTCGCATTGATCGATCGCGTAGAACCTAAAAACCTTGAGGATTTTACACGTGTCGCAATTCTAGCGAGTGCGCGCGCTTTTCTCGATCATAACGAGAACGGGCAAGAAAACTAGATACAAAGAATAGGGTTTAGGAGGAGTGAGTGGGGATGGAGCTCACGCCGGAGGAGCTCACGGGCATCTACACTTGGGTATGCTTGCTCCTCGCAAATGCGCGCTCCGACCGCTTCTAAGCTGATCGGCATTGTTTAGTCCCGCCGCAGGTGGATGAGATTCCCTTGTCCAGGCCAAAGAAGAACATCGCCAGGGATTTCAGCGATGGAGGTATAGAATGCCCGTTTTTTTTCTGGATTTTAGGCAAGCTCTTAGCTTTGGATGGAACTTATGAATGATTTCTTCTTCTTCTGTCCAGTACTTGCTGCCGAGGTTGTGTCGTATTACTGCCCTCGACTTGTTGACATCCACAACTATAGCGCCGCAAACAGCTTGGCACAAAAGATGTACAATTGGAGCACTTTGAATGGTAAGGGATTTTTCCTTTTTTCCTTCTTTCTCTTTTTTCATTCTCGTGATCTCCCAGAAAGAGTTTTCAAGCACTTCAATCTTCAGCTATCCAAGGAGGACATTAGCGCTGTGGCGGGTGCGCAGCCTTTGGTGATCGAGGCTTTCTTGAAGCTTTTGAAAAGCAAGGTACTGGCACGAGCGTGCACGGGAGCACTTGTGTTTTCTCTTCGGATTTAAACGTGTGATGCTGTGGCTGGCAGCTGGAGAAATGCCCGTCATCCGCAGCCCGGAAATGTGAAACCGATAAAGCTGATGAGGGTAAGACGTACGCTCAGCCTGGAATGTATATACATACCGAGAATTCCTCCTCCTGTGCTTGCAGAGTGCAGGCCTCGCGTTCCGAGAAGGTGGTTTGTTTTCTTCCAGATATGTTTTGATATTGCCATTTACGTGCTTTGTTCCAGACATTTTTCAGCAGTGCGGATAGAACATCGTCTTTGGTATGGTATCATTTCTTGTCTTGTTGATCTAATCTCGGCCTCAACAGGCATCGCACAAGGCTGCCGCTCAACTTTCCGACTCGGAAACGCAGACTTTGGCGTCGCAAGAAAATGATTCAAATGGTGTGGTAGCTACTCCAGCTCCAAACACGGCACAGATTCGCGAGCTGCAAGAAACCATTGAGGTGGTTCCTGCTTTATTTTTTTCCTGGCTGAGAATTCTTGTGTGAGCAGGTCTTAGAAGCCAAGGTTTTCAGGCTAGAGCAGCTCATGAAGCTCAAGGGCGGGAAAACGGGACGGCTGAAAAGGTTATAGAACAAGGTCAACGCCTGTGTATTTTTCTATATAGCGTGTCAATAGATCGTTACGGGTGGCTGCTTTTCTATTTAATTGTCGTCCTGGGGAAAGATTGCCATGCATAGTTCGTAGCTGCTCAACTTTCCTGGATTGCTGATAAGAGCGCGCTTGCGGAACTGAAAACGGTTGAGTCGTCGTTAAACTGGTGAACTTTGTCAAGAGATATTTCTTTTTGCAGAATTCTTTGTGCTTCCCTCATTGAATTCCGTGATGCAGATGGTCTTCTGGAGAGCAGAATGCGACGAGCGAACACTAAGCAGTATAAAGTGCAGAATGTGACGAGTTAACACAATGAAGAAGTAAATGGACCACACAGCCGACCGCAACGTTTGATAGTTACAAGCAACTGACACGCCATGGTCTCACATCGTTTTCTATTTCCATAGAAGACCCATACGTAAGCGTTGCGACTTTTTTTTTCTGGTAACAGTTCTCTCTTGATCGATACCAAAAGGAGAATAACTTTGCTTTGCTACAGGAATGCGCGACAAGAGTCTCTCTCGGTGCCAACTTTCCCGAAAGCCGTGATACGAGATTGCGATGAGTTCAAATGGCCCTGTTAAAGGTATTGCTGTGAATTATACGAGTTGTGCTGAAGTTTTATGAAGGGAGACTGACCAAACGAATGCGACGAGCTACCACCTTTTGATTGAATAGAATCAAAGGACCACACGGGGATGAGATAGCCGCAGCGATTCAAAGGGGTTTGATGAGCGACCTTCACTGGACAAGGAAATGCCATCTCGTATTTGTCAGGCGCAGGCACTGTGAAGTTGCTTGTTCCTCTCAACGCAACGAGAAAGAGGAAAATAGACACAAAGGTGCGTGGTTCTTTCGGTTGGCTCATCTCACTCAAAGAGCGCTGCGTGTTGACGGTGGCTCCTCTATCCGTTTCGCGCTACCCCATTTATAATGAAGCTATGGTGTGCTCTGTTCGCAGAGCTCGACGACGCAAGAAGTCATCAAGGACTTCGTGACAGACGATGAAACTCGGAGGAGACAACGCTATTCATCATCTCTGCTGGCTGTTCTCGCTTCTGTCAATTACGGGTACGTGAACATCCATCGTACATTTCGAGATTTCTAAACTTCCAACTTCTTCTTCTTCTCCTTCCAGGCGCTCAAGCTCAAGTCGGGATCAACTATGGGAGAGTGGCCAACAATCTCCCCTCGCCATCCACCGCCGTGTCGCTCATTAAGTCGCTGGGAATCGACCGCGTCAAGATCTTCGATGCCGACTCTCAAGTTCTCGCAGCTCTGGCCAACACCAGCATCAAAGTCTCGATAATGGTGAGGAACCAAGACATCCCCGGCATCGCCTCCAACGCTAGCCACGCCGATTCATGGGTCGCTCAGAACGTAGTCCACCACTACCCGGCCACGCACATCGCCACCATTCTCGTCGGCAACGAGATCCTGTCCGACACGAGCATCAAGTCGAGCACCTGGCCAGCGCTCGTCCCGGCAATGGAGAACATTTTCGCGTCCCTCCAGGCCAGGAATCTAACGGCCAAAATCAAGGTCAGCACGCCGCTCGCGTCCGACGCTCTCTCCACATCCTACCCTCCATCTGCTGGCGCATTCCATTCCGAAATCGCGACCAGCGTCATCCAGCCGTTGCTCGCATTCCTGGCCAAAACCGGCTCATCGTACCACGCCAACGTTTATCCGTACTTCGCCTACGCCGGGAACTCTGGCCAAATCTCGCTTGAGTACGCCCTGTTTGGGTCAGGGTCTACGGTCGTACAGGACGGCAGTCTGGGCTACCGGGATCTGCTGGATGCCATGGTGGATTCCACGTTTGCCGCCATGGAGAGGTTAGGATATGGGGATATTCCGCTGGTGATCAGCGAGACAGGGTGGCCGTCAGCCGGAGATTCCGGCCAGGTGGGCGCCAGTGTTGACAATGCGCAGCTCTACAACGCAAGGCTTGCAAAGAAGGTGGCGAGCTCGCAAGGGACGCCCAAGAGGCCTGGAGTTTCGATTCCCACGTACATCTTTGCCCTCTTTAACGAGAATGAGAAGTCCGGGGCGGGCACAGAGAGGAATTTTGGGATCTTTTACCCTAGTGGGTCGCGAGTGTATGATCTGAACCTCTCGGGCAAGAGCTAGTCCCCACAAAGTTTTCAAGCATTATAAAACTATAGAAGCTTAGATCATTTTTAGTATATACACACACTCTCTCTATGTCTGTGTGAATCCTCAATGTGTGTAAGCCTCCTACTTAAGACTGGACAGGTTTCTCTGCCTGCCACTGCTGATACAACGCTCACCATGGCCTCCACTATCTCCAGACCCAATCCCATAGGTGATATGTTGCCCAGTCCGAAGCAGTCCCAAGTTTTGTCAAATTCAAAAAGGGTCATGTTGTAGATTTTTCCAATCTTGAGTTGTCTATAGCAAGAAGTGTTTTGCTTCCTTGATTCAATGCTTTAGAAACTGTTGCACTTGCACAATATGATTTATTTAGAAAGAAACTATGGATATTGAAAAACAAAATTATATTTATTAATAATTTGTTAATTTATAATGTATAAAAAAGCTTAAAAATTACAAACATGTTTAAAATATAAATACAAGATTAATTTAAATGAATAATAACTATTAAATGGTAGAATATTCTATAATATTCAGGTATATTCTATAACAACAACAATGTCGAAGGATAGAGGTCTTTCCACAGCAAAGTCTTCTTTGCCATGGAAAAACCTCCATCCTTCAAAACTTTGTTGTTGTTATTTTTCTTTATAAATTGCTTAGAAGAGTTTCTTGCAAATAAAATTTGATCAAATTTAGAGTGGAAAATCCCAATATCCTTCTGCATGATGATCTCCTCTTTGATGGCAAATATGGCAAAATTAAGCTGAAGCTTATCAACTTGCATCAAGTTACTTTGAAGAGAATGGAAGGAATTAAGAAGAGCACGAAGAAAGAAATAGTTTTAAAGAGGAGGAAGTTTGTTCTCTTTATCTGACTCCTTGATTTTCCATTACATGTTTTTCATGTCATCCACAAACTAGTCAAAGCTTTCTGACTCTGTCCACCACATGTTGACCATCTTGTAGAGATGGCCAATCTGGACATGCATCTACTACTTGTGCTTCTCCACAACTTCTTCCACAGCTCACTGCTGGTGTAGACCGGCTCATATAAAGAGTATGTCAATCTCTTTGAATTTAACTTATTATCTAGGGCCAAGATTGCCACACATCATCCAATTCTAACTAGGGATGCTTGTCTAATCAAGGTTCTTATTTGTTATTAGTTTAGCTCTCCATCACCATGAGCTTGATTGTTGCTGTACCCTTGTCCTCATGCCAACTCTAGGTATCCACATTCTGATAGCTTGCATCAGCTCCTGGCTTCAGCTCATCGCCATTGACAATGCCCCAAACTCCCTCACCTTTGAGGATGAGCTCCATTTGGTACCTCTAGCTTGAGAAGTTTCCAGATCCATCAAAAGTGGAAATGGAATGGCCATTTGAGAAAGTCACAATGGCAGCATTTCCATCCTTTTGATCTTGCTCTAATATCATGACAAAGGGACAGAATGAGAGCAAAGAATGAACAAGATCTTTTCAGAAGGAAATTAGAAACAACTGCTTATTGAAAGAAGAATGAAACACTAGCTATATACTAACTATGTCCGGGAATTTCTCCTGAAATTTGCCACAGAATGAGGCCCTTGTTCTCCATGATTCAAGATGCCTATCAAACCTTGGATTTCGGCTCCAACACAATGGCGGCGTAGATGCTCCCCTCCTCGACGTACACCATCTCCAAGGCTCTAGGATGGGTGCCCTTAGGAAGGAAATCAAGCCTAGTGATGAGGTCCAGAGTATTGAGGCCCAGATGTGCAAAAGATCATGCCAAAGTGATCCATATTTGTGGTGTTGGAGGAGTTCATGAGAGATGAAGTCATCCATTGGACACGTTCCTGCATGGGAAGCCATTGATGCTCGTGACACTTATGTCTCCAATGCAAAAGTCTTGGAGTGGATCTGGGAACAGCCAAGAATGTGAAGAACATGAAGAATATAATTTTGGATACAGCCATATCATTTGGCTACAATAGGGACAGAACTGATCACACAAGCTTTAATTAAATGAATGAGATGGAATGGATTGGTGTTTGGGAGATTAGTACTTTATACATACCAAGGAGTTTCATAGCAGAATTTGGAACCGAGTAACAAAGTTAATTTTGTCTCTTCTTGGTTCATTATAACTTTACAATTATAGAAAATAGTAAGAAAAAGATATTCATATGCAAATATGGTGTGTTCAACATTTATTTTATGAGTTAAACATATATGTTAAAACAATTCAGTCTAATAGTTCTTTTTGCCACCCCAGGTCCTAAAACCTTAACTAGCTTAACTAGTATTCAAAGGTTAGTTTTAATTACTTTTTTCTTAAATGTTTATCCCAACATTTTTATTTTGCAGAATCTATGGGAAAATTTCTTTTACATTAAAATGCTTATAAAAAAAAGTTTGTGTTGCATGCTGATTTAACATGCATATAAATGCAAACAACATACCTCTGGATGCTCACTTATTTTTCATTTGGAGACAATGCTCTTGTTGATAGTTTTAATTATCTTACATTCCCTAAAAAGTATTGTCATAAAATTAACCATGCAAACAAGTTGGTAAAGCCATATATACATATGAATTCTTAATCCACACCAATATATTTGCCATATTAGCATCTTATTTTTTTGTTTTTAAAATTTGATTTGTAATGTAGCTAAACCATGGCAGTCAAGTTCTTCACCAAGAACAAAGGTTTGATCCAAGGGAGTAGAATCCTAAAGTAGCTATAAGTTGAAGAGATTATCAACAGATTGATAAAGATTGTGTGATCCTGCTGTGCTTAATGCAATTGAGCTAGCAACATAATATAATCTTGAGTAGTAAAGTGTTGTGGCCACAATTGAAACATAGACTATGTTCTTGGGAAGTTTGGGGAGGTGCTTATCATCTTCAATAGTGTGGTGATGGGTGGTGTTGCTTTTTTCTCTATGTTTTACATATTTTAATTTCATAGATCATGAATTGAATTGAATTACTCAAAAAAAGAGTAGATGACATAGTTGCATATATGCATGAAGTGTTTGTCTACATTCTATTCAAATTTTATAATGCCCCATTTTGATTACTATTATAGCAATCAATATTCAATTTTGTGCATAATATTTTATGTGCAATTGGAAATAAAAAAATAAATCTGCACATATATAAATAAAAGATGCACCCATGTGCAATTACATATTCATTGCTATACTTTAATACTACTCTTGAAACTCCAAAAACCACTTTTATAAATTTTATACATCAATGTCAAATTAAAATGCTTTAGGGTATCATCTCAGTAATATATCTTTTTAAAAACTGTATTAGAAAAAATAATATTAAAGAACCTATATTACCTACAAGTCCAACTAGCAATAAGAAAAGAATTTCTTTCAAACATTGTGTTCTTGTCATATCCTTGATTTACTCACTTGTGCTAAGGATATCTATTACTTCATCTGTTAGCCACTTATTTTGTATTAAATATTCCTAGAATATCTCTTAATTCCATCTTTATCCAATTCTTTTATAATCAAGGGCTAATGCTAATGATTTAAAATTAATATTTATTCAAATTATATTTAAGTTTATAAATCTAAATTGATTGATATATGTGCTCAAATGATCTTGCACTCCTCCACCTTTAGCCAACATTGCTACAAATAGATTTAATCACTGCCATGTGAGGTAAATGTCATACTATAGATTAAAGTATTTTCTTGTAACAACTTTTCTTTTGACTGCAAAGCTCAATAAGTCCAAGTTAGATAATTTAATCTTGCTGAGATCTATAGAATGCACTGGGGTTTGAAATTGCTTGTTCTCCCTAATCATTTACATACTTGTGTTTGAGTGTTCTATAATTAATAACAGATCAAAACTATTGGATTAGAATTAAGTGCATTAAGATTTGTCTATTTAAAATACAAATAAAAATTAATGCAATATAATTTTAAAAGAAATAATAATAATAATAATTAATAGCACATAATCTAACAACCATTATAACTTATAAAAAATTGTTATATCAAAATATCTATAATATCTTTAATTCTAATGAAAAAGAGAAAAGTAATAAGGAACTGTAGGAACACTTTAAAAAACATTTTTAAGGGTAATAAACATTATTACTGAAAAAAACTTGACCCAATTAAAATTTGTTTTGGATAGGAATTTTATGAGCAAAATAGTAAAAATAAATTATATAACAAAACTTGCTAATCCTCTTAAATAATTTTGAGATAGAAAAAATTAATTAAAAAAGAGAAACAAAACCTTCCAATATTGAAAACTTAATGAATTTGAATGTGCATTCAGTTTGGAAGATCAAAGAAGATTAAATCAAGCAAACACGGATCGGACCTGATTGATGGTAGTGTTGTCGATAAAAAAGGTCTTTTCTAGCACCTCGTCGGGCACCTGGGGGCTCGATCCAAACATGGACCTCCCTACAAATTGCGTCCCCGCGAGCTGAGAGTTGAGCGCAGCAATGATCTTGGCATTGTTCCTGCCGACATTCATCTGCCAGTGGATCAATCCACGCGGAATTACCATCACCTCGCCTCTGCTCAGCACCTGTGCAAACAAGCGGTTGTCCGCGGTGACAATGGCGGCGTATACGCTCCCCTCCTCGACGTACACCATCTCCGTGGCCCTGGGATGGGTGTGTGGCGCGATAATCCCCTCGGGTAGCAAGTCGAGCCTGGCCATGGAGAGGCCAAGGGTGTTGATCCCGGGGAACCTCAGCACGGTTCCAAACACTGCGCCCGCGCGATTCATGGCGGTGATGTTGGCCGGATTCACCATTTCTCTGTAGATGAAGTCCTCCACCGTGACGCTGGACGCGTTCCTGCATGGGAAGCCATTGACGCCCGGTGATGCGGTGAGATCCGCGACGCAAAAGTCCTGGAGTGGATCTGGGTCGGAGAGCACTCCGCTGGCCAAGAATGCGATGATCATGGTGCTCAGAAGCAGGATTGACGAAGCGGGCGCCATGGCCATGGATCTATAACTCGAGCTCTCTGGAACGAGGATTCTCAAAGCAAGCTCGATAAGCTCTGGAACAATTGGGACGAGATCAAATGATATGAGGATGGATGAATGAAATTGGAAGAATGAATGAAAATCGTGGCGGGGGAATGGGCTTTTATACTGAGCAATTGGGATGCTACTATACAACACGCAAGGGAGAATTTCAGTGAAGTGAGCCTACATTTTTGTTTTGTCGTGTCTACGTTTGCATGGCAATTTTGAGGAAAACTCTTCTCCTCTGACCATATCACTGTCAAATTTGGCTGCCTTAATTGCATGGAGTTCACACTCTTCAATGACTTTGACATGGTCTTATACACTGTGTTTGTTTATGTTTGGTCGTCCTCCGCGCTTTACACATGTTGTCTAATCTCCCTATATAAGAATTAAGATCTAAAATATCTTTTTCTAATCAATCTTGTTTTCTTTAATGCCAGAACATCAAACAATATAGTCATCTTTGCCAGCACCATTTCCTCCTCCTTTGGAATCTCCTCACCTGGTACGCGTAGCCAAGCACGCCAAACACAATCGCAGCCACAAAGATGAATCTGAGCACCTTTCTCCTGCTGAGCCCCATGCCTAGAAATCCCAACAGCGGCCTCCCCGGGAGATAGGATCGCAACCGGCTTAGATGGGAGGACCGGGAAGGATGAGGCGACTTGGATCTTCGCCTCGGCCTCCCTCTCTACAAGTTTCTTTCGTTATGCCAAGGTTTTCTCTTGTTACCCTTTTCCTCTCGGGAGCTGGCTTGGGTGGCGTCTCGGTGGCGACTTGGACATGCCGGTGGCCTCCTCCGAGCTCTGCGTGTTTTTGCAGAGTCATGCCCAGATAGTACTCCTTGAGCTGGTTCTGCAAGTTAAATATGGCAATGTGGAGGACAAGAGCGAGGGAGAGATTTACGCTACCTTCGGAGGCAATTTCACCTTGTGTTGCTGGAGCCATCGAATCAAGTCCGTCTTCTTCATGCTCATGAGGCGCTTCTAGGTCACGGCCGAGGGAGACGTGAGCTTCTCCTCCTCAGCGGATCGATTTGGAACAATCCTTGTTTGATGTTCTGGCATTAAAGAAAACAAGATTCATCGCCCTTCGCTTTTTTTCCGGGCTATCTATGCTATTTCACCTGGGCAGTTTCAAAAAGAATATTTATTTTTGGCAGTCAGGAAGATCGTGAAGATGGTCACTGGATGATCGTGATCGCTATGCTGGATAGTTCTCGGCGGAGGTAACCAGGGGCCTTGTACTCCCTGTGGATCCAAAACTGGTTATGCATAGACTTCGCCATCGCGGCTCTTCTTGTACTCGAACAGCAGCGACGAGCGATTGAACGAGGTGAGCTTGGTGTACCCAAAGTCGCAGTCCTGATTCAAGCTCCACGATGGCTTGCTCTCCGGGAACTGGCTCAGCCAAAACCCACCGCCTCCCGCAACTACGTGAATCGTCCCGTTGAAAGTCCCTGAGTAGAAATCTTTCTCGTCACTGGCAGGGACTTGCTGCACGAAAGTATGAGAGAAGATCCAGCTATGGGCAAAAACAAAAGCACTCACGTTATAGACTGGATAGGTGCGCTCGTAGTTGTGGATGTGGCCGTAGAAGGCGAGGTCCACCTTGTACTTTTGCCACCAAGCTGTCCCTGCCGAATGGCTCGCCGGTGGTGTTCTCGGGAGCGTAGCAGGACGAGTAGCCGAGGACGCGGTGAGAGATGAATACCAGCCACGGCTGCTTCTGCCTGTCCGCGCTCCAGAAGCAATTCTCGAGGAACTCGTACTGCTCCGTGCCGTCGTGCTCCGAGTCGGCGATGCAGAAGCGGAAGAGACCATAGTCGGTTTTATACCTTGCAAGGAAAAAAAAACAACAAAACTGTGAATCAGCTAGCTTTCTCTCGACTTTAGAACTACAAACCAGAATTTGTCCCTGTTTTGCACGGGCATGTTGAACACGGTTGATGAAACAACACCACACTCGCCTCCCGAGTTGGTGCTGTTGTAGAAAGAGATATTGTTATAGTGATTCTAGTGAAGAATTGGAGGGAGAGTATCGAACCAGAGGTGAGAGAGATGAACAATAGAAAACATCTCCTAAGGTTTAAACTACATAGCTTTAAATATGGAATGTTAAGAATATAAGAGTTAAATAAATTACTCAAATCTGGAAGCACAACCAAATGCTTGCTCAAGTCCTACTTGCTCTATGCAGTTCCAATAGTTGAACATTCAACTTTCTACACTCTATGCATTGACTATAAGTGAAGGTATCTCAAATTGCTGGTCAAATTACCCACTCAAGGCTGTAAAAATTAGTTGTTGCCTATTAAAGCAGTCAAAACATCCAACTTTAGGCATAATACTAGCAGCATCTTATTGGCAACTTAACCCCAAGCTCCTTAAGGCTTAGATTTTAATCCTTTTACCTTCACGAGCCAAAGGCATTATGATGCATGATATTTCTTTTGAGAAGAGTTGAATTCTTACAATCCTTTATTTTAGCTACCACCATATTATATTTTGACATTGACATATATAACTACAATTTTTTTATCTTAATGGAAAACCAATGATTTATTATTGTATTATTGTTATTTGATTATTATATGTTGGTACATCATATATATATATATATATATATATATATATATATATATATATATATATATATATATATATATATATATATATATATATATATATATATATATAGAACCTAAATTTCTTGCTCTAGTAATTTCAACCTCTAACTTTGATGTGGGATGAAGAAAAAAGTCTTATAATTTATGAGTTTAAACATAGAGTTAACATTGAATTTAGTCAATACAAAAGCAAACACTCCCATCATAAGATGATATTCACATGTTTAAGGATTTTGAGACTTTTTGATAACACCTATTTTTAATATCTCTTTGATATGTGTGTGTAAAATTTTGATTTCCTTTAGTGACTGATGCTAAATAATAACTTTGATTGGATGAACATCCTACGTTGGAATAGAATGATGTGTTGCAATCTTAGCCCAAAACAATAAGTTAAAATCAAAAAGATCAATATACCGTTGCAACATAAGAACCATTGAAGGGATCTAGAGAGGGAATAAAAGAGTAAAATTGAAATATAATAAGAAATAATGGAGAGGCAAAAGTGATAAAAGCAGAAGAACAAAAGGGAATGAAAGTGAGAAGAATGGAAGAAATGTGAGGAAGTATGAGACAAAGAGGAGAGCCTCAAAGTCACATTTGCCATGATTGTGTTACAATCAATTTATACCAATAATAAAATCAAAAGCTTGACTTAACATCACCTGTAACAATTGAAGTTTAAACTCAAAATCTCCCACATGCATAGCTAAGTTTATCTCATCCCATGCACATGCATATGTATAATTGTTACCATAAAAAATGAAAATTTATTCTACTACATGACATAACTATAAACAACAATATATGGCAATAGGATGAGCAATAGAAGATAAATTCAAACTTTTATCAACTAACATAAAGAGAATAATAGAAGACCTCTTGTTATAAAAACAAACTTGAAAATTAAATACTTGATGAATTAATGTTGAGTAATACTCTCAAAAGAAGGATAGAAGGGTTATTGATTTGTTCACATAAAAACCCTTTATTACTTGCATGATTCCTTATTTCCTTAAAGAATCTTTATGTTAAAACTTTCCATTACAATAGCACTAACAAAATGTCCTTTTCACCTCCATCAAAATGAGTGCATGGAATATGGAAATGAAATATAAAAATTTACATATTAATTAGTCCACAAATCCTAGTTTATATACAAGAGCAAATGGTCTAGATTGAAACTAATCTAATGGCTATCAAAATCCCACTATAAGGATAATAAGTAAAAAGCATAAATTACACAAAGCTCATAATATAAGAAATAAAAAATATAGATGTCTTTTATTAAATTATACTTTGCATGAATATTTGGAATAACTAAAGATATAGTGGCTTACATATTAATATTGTGAGGTTGAAGTCTACAACTACAATGCTGTAAACTTATATATACATATTTTTATATTTCATACATTCACATTAGTGGAAATGAGAGGCAACTTTGATTGTCCCTAAGAAGTGCTTGAATTTAGGGTTTTGGTTTAGATATAGCTTTTGCATTATCTAGATTTCACTTTTCTTATAGCTTTTTTAGTTTCTTCTCTTTTGTTTGTCTCTTTTTCATTCATCTTTATGGCAAAGTAATAGCATCTTCCTCCTTTAACATTAGAGCACCAATTGGTGCAATTGTTTAATGTTGTATAGTTGTAGTTGAACAATCAAACTCAATTGATAACCACATTCACAACATATGGTATAACTCCTTATACTCTTACTACCAATCCTTGCTTCCAGTCAAAGCTCTTCTACAAGAATCTTAGGGATAATATGTACTATTAGTTTGATCACTTTATGGTGATTGCCATTTAACATTCTTGGGATGATGCTTAGGGTCTACATGAGTTTCCCACATATCTCTAAAGGACGGCATTGCAATGGTATAATGGTTTGAGCGTAACCACTTGTTATAAGCAACCAAAGGGAATGAATAATATTAGGTTGGGTGAACTCTGAGAAATTGGTCAATGACCTTACACTTAAATCGGATAAACATAAGGTAGAAACCATATGTGTTTCTTACGGAGCATACTCGGCCTAGTTTGAGAAACTCATGTTATTGACTTGCATTTGCTAATATCAAGAACCCCTACAATATTGAGATTGGTCCCTCAACATTTGCTAGATAATAGCTTATCGTGTCTGCCAAACACCCTCGCTATTATGCCCTTTGTATTGGTCTCATTTTGTTCTATTGACTAATTATGGAAAGTGTCTAGATTTGCTAATTTGGCATATCTATGGAATGTAGAAATTGGCTTGAACACAATGGTATTCGTCCCATGCAAATTCACAATCTAGGAATATTCCATATTTAGTAAGTTTTAAGCTTGTTCTAGAGACTAATTCCTGAT